ATAATAGTATATCAATAATATATCTATGATCATCTGAAATTAGAATTTACAATCAATTCGTATAATTCTACAATAAAATTGGATAAACCACATGCATATTTGATGATTTAGGTCAAGTTTTTTTTTCTTTGTACTTTAATAAAATTTCAATAAATTTATTCACTTGATCTGAGAGAAGAGATTTTTTTTTTACTTTAGAAAAAAAATTCTTTTATCATCCAATAGAATGTAAGAGTAGTCTGCCTCTGTTCACATAACACACATTTAAATTTGTGTACTAATAAATGTTTTTGCAGAGAAAGCACACTGATAACACAGTGAAAGACCATGACTGGAACTTGGTGTTATTTTTTTTTTTTAAAAACAAAAAATAAAAAACTTAAACTACATTTAGACTAACAGAAAAGGAAAAGGAAGAGAAACAATATTGAGACCGGATATGGATTCATTAAAGATTCCATAAAGATAAATTCCAGTAGAAAGACAAAAGGTGCTATAGAAATTTTTGATTAAATCTAACAATTAAACGTGTAGAGTGAGTTATTCAATTTAAGCTTAAAGGTAGCATACTGAAAATCAGTCTGTATATCTCAGTAATTTAATAATTTAGACCAACCTAAACATTGTCTGGTTGATAATTAATCACATTTCTGTATCTTTTTACTGAGTAGAAATTCTTTCTAAAAGCAATTAACATTTGTTACAAATACATACAACGCACAGAGATAATATAATTTACTGAACAAGTATTCTTCGTAGAATGGGACAGATTGAGAAAGCTCAGTTGGTGTTTGCCAACTTGCATCATTTATAGCCTAGTTGAGAGGTGACTTCACTGAGTAGCAGATCAGTCTGTTTTAGTTTGTGTCTGAGATCTGTAGCCAGCTTAGGTAGGAGATATTCACTGGTGTCTTTCAACTGTTGCTTACGTATGTTAGGACGGTAGAGTTAGTAATGAACAGATTAGACTTAGAGTAATAGATTAGGATAGCATATAGAGTAATGAGGTAGTGAATCCTTATCGACCGAAATAGTTAAGACGTGTATTCTAAATACATAACTACTGCCTACTACAACTGGCAATATTCATTAGTGTGGGAATATTTTGGAAAAAAACTACGACCGGTTAAACCAAAATGTATCACCAGTTTGTAAAGTGACTAACTGTTTGATTGAATCGTATAGATCAGTTAAAACCACTTGATCTAACTCTTTTGGTGGCTGCGTTGAATTCGCAGTATGACTCACTACTTCAGTGACCCACGATTTGATTTCTTCATTTACGAATGGTCGAGTATGCTATGAAATCAATCTTCCCTTCAATTTCCGTATATCATACTCAGGTGAACTGTGTTTGTGACATGACGGTAATAAGAAGCCGAATATGAATTTCGGTTGAATGGATTTTTCTCAGGCAATCGTTCGTGCAGGCAGACATGAGAACCAAAAACGTACAAGCAAGCAAAGCAAAGGGAAGTGGAAAAGGTTGGCAAGCCAACTCAATGTAATGAGGCATGATTAAGCTTTTAAAATCAGACAAAATAAACTAGACTTACGATAAGCGAAGTAAGCGGCACACACAAACTCAAACAAAAACAACTAAGATGTGACTGAGTGATTGACCAAGTCAAAACACCTGTGAATAAGAGAACACGTGAAGAATCGATTCACTGAATTGTCCACAGACTGAGATAAGCTGTGTAGGCTCGACATAAAATGACATATACACTACAGAACATACACTACACCAATGATTGAAGATGTTGGATGTCATTAACTGCGAATTGACCTTTATGATAGAAACTCATTTATTACTTATGTTGTTTTAGAACTTAAGTTTCAAGATCGTTTTATACTTTTTATTCAATAAATTTAATTTTTAAATCATATTCTTGATGTCTAATCATCGTTTGTCAACTTTACTACCACATATACTGTTACTCCTACTGTTATAGTGATATCTAGTTTGTAAATTTAATTTTCGTTGTGCTAAATGTGGTGAGGTAATTTGCCTATATAAGTTTCAAATTAATCTCAAGTGAATAAAAATCTTGTCAAAACAGTTATTCAGAAATAATTAAAAAAGTGTTGCACATTCATTCTACAGATGACAGTGTTCGAGAAACTAATCTACACCAAAAGCTACCTGATCATTACAGGTAGTCTGAAGTGAGGCTCTGATGAAGATATGAACTCACGAATCAGCAAAGCAAAGATAGCATTTCTACAACTGAACAACCTTGAGAACTTAAAACAACTGTTAACCAATACAAAAGTCACCATTTCAAATACAAATGTCAGGACCGTTCTGCTTTATGGTGCAAAAACTTGGAGAACTACCAATGCCGTCATCCAGAAGACTCAAGTATTCATTAGCAGTTATCTACGCAAAGTTCTCCTCATCCGTTGGTCAGACATCACCAGCAACACCCTACTGTGGAAGAGAACAAACCACACTCCGGTAGAGGGAAAAATTCAAGAAGAAGCACTGTAACTGGATAGCGCACACATTGAGGAAATCACCTACAAGACAAGCTCTCACTTGGATTCCTGAAAGCCAAAGGAGAAGGGAAAGACCGATGTACACATTACACTGAGATATAGAGACTGACATGAGAAGAATGAACAACAATTGGAGAGAACTAGAAAGCGAAGTCCAGGACAGAGTTGGTTGTAGAATGCTGATCAGAGGTCTATGCTTCATTAAGCCTAACACGTGTAAGTACACAAAAAAGTAAACAGCTACCAATTATTAGTCCCGATTAATAATCAGTCTGTTAGTTTGTTAACAAAATATATCTGATGAATAGGCTGATTGTTATATGATGCATTGAATGCCGAACTACGTATTGGGATTTCAATATCTCATAAAATATATATAAACTGTTTTGTATGAATGAAAGTTTTCTAACAAATTAAGTCATAGTGTTCCATGATTACGCTTGTTAAAAAAAGACATTTAAAAAATATTCATTTTTATTGCTAACCTCGGTTAGATGAAATTGAATCATTAATTCATCTGAATATCCTTATAGATAGATTAGTCATAAATTTTGTCAACTGGTAACTTTTACACATTGAAATCATCAGTGCATCAAAGTTGGACAACTATTAAAAACCTGGAAGCAATGGACAGCCGTTTTTACCGTAGTCATCCAGGAGATGTGGATGTGCATTGCCACTGATGAGTAGTCCCATTCCAGGACGAAACAGTTGTCCAGTGATTGATTCAAGGTTTGTAATTATGCCTAAATTATTCATATAAATACGAAATCGAAGAAATCAGAGTATAATTTGAAATCATTCTTAAATTACTTGTCTATTGTTTAAATAAAAAAAAGGTGCTATTATTTCTTTTTACTTTACTTCCTTCCTACATATTTTTGCACTATTTACATTCGTACAAATTATATTAGGTTTAAAACACAGTAAGTAATTTATCAATTCATACTGAATAATAGAATTATTCAATGTTCAATGTTGAACAAAACTTGTTGAATTTTTGCTAATCGTTTTTTATCAGCGCATTTATTTACTTACGACCAGTTAAAATATATAGGTGCTATAATACAGTCAGTCGCATAATGCCAGATAATTATTGTAAAATCAGGCAACAATGAACATTTAAATTCCGTTATTCATCATTTTACAATGTCTTACTTACGTACGCTTGTTACTTTAATGGCCACCGACTACTGAATTATTTTTCTGCTTAGCGTTTTGTTCTGGTGAGTTGGATTTCTTTGGGATGGGGTCACTAACCCATCATGCCCAACCCTTCCCGCTTTATCCAGGATTCGGGCTGGCAGTAACCCTTGAAGGGCTCCACGTGGAGTTATTTTACCGTGTCACATAGAGCTAAATCATTTACTTAAACAAGTTTTATAAAAAGCAACGAAGAGGACACCTGTTGAGATTGTTTGATGTTTGAATGGCTTTTAATGAATCAATGAACTACTTGTTTAAATTTACTCAGCTGAATGACTAATATCAAACTTTAGTAATACATGAATTTGATCTATGCCTAATTGTGACTGACATCATATTTGGTTATTCTTTTCAGTGTTAATTTGATTCAATCAATTAAAGTACAGTTTAAGCATGAGTCTAAGTGTACACTGTATGAATCTGTTAGGTAATTGAAGGTAACTTCAAAAACTGGGTTGATAGGGGATTCAATCGAACTACACGAAAATGATATTGATATTTTGTGATCCATTTGTAACTAGAGTAGACTATTTGTAATGCCTTTGATTGCAAAGCTCGATGATACTAACTTGATAAATCTTACAGGGAGCATTAATTCCGAGAAGATTTCAGGTACAGCTTTGTTGCATGCAGCATGTCTTGTTAACTAATTTTAACCATCTAATATTAAGTGTTTATGCATAATTTTTCTCTTTTCATACATGTTGCATAAAATTCACGAAGTAGATAAATGACTCAATTGTTGAAAAGGTACTCGATTCTTTTTATTATCAATAGAACCATTGTTTAGTAGGTTTTTTTCTTGACTTATCATTATTTCAATAAATTATTCTGCAGTTTCTCATAATTTAATCCAGTCAATAATTTTTAGGTTGTATTCATTATAAGTTGATCTCATTTAAGGTATGATTGTAAACGAGGGACTGCTAAACACTTCTTTCATAATGGTACGGGACTCCTTAGTTGTGTGCACACATTACTCCACTAGGAGTAGTAAAACTCGAAAAGTCACATCTGTTTCATTTCAAGCAGTTATGTAACATCATTTAAACTTAATACAACTCAAAGTCAAGCGATATAAACATGCATTTAATTAGTGAGTTAGCATAAAGCTGTGAAATTGACAATGGAAATGTACTGAGTATTTATTTATCCATTCAAATTTCAATATTTACATTTAGATTTCCATTATATTTTATTTTTTAAAAAAATTTAAAATATCCATCGAAAAATATTTGAATGATCATCACATGTATTTTTTGTTCAAAAAACCGAACAAACAAACATTTCAGATGCGTATTTTATCGGAACAAAATAAAAAATTAATGAATGATAATGGTTCAATTAATCGATTATCGAAAGAAACTGAAAAAATTCGTTCAATGTACAATACAGAATTGAAACAATTACGACACTTAGTTGATGAATGTGAACGTGAGAAAGCAGATAGTTTAGCTAAAATTGCTCATTTACAACAGACTATAAGAAATAAACAAGATCAGTAAGTGATGATAATTTCAATTGATTTTTCTTATTTTATTGAGTTATGTATCAAATTTGTTGTTGAATTTCCTACTACAACTCCTGGTTTCAGTAAATGTTCAATTGTCGAATGTTTCATGTTATCAGCTGGTAATTTTTAAAAATTAGCCATCATTTAGTTTTGGTCAATAAAATGAAATGTATATTGTGCATTGTGTAATTACTTGATTTCTTTCAGTTAAGCACGTTTTAGAGAGCAATATACTAATAATAGTGATAATTACAACTAATAATAAATCAGTTATATGCACATAACAATTCATGATTTATCTACATTTATCATTCTTGGAAGGCTTCATTAATGTGAAGCAATGAAACAGTTTTAAAACTTTTCATTTTTATTTAATTAGTTAATTGTTGAAAATCTAAAGTTAATTTTGATCAGTAATCATTGCACAAGATCGACTTTTTGATGTATGCTATTAAAAGTGATGTAAATTGTTATAGATTGCATTTATTTAGTTCATTATACCGGTCACCCCAATGAAGCATAAGCTGCCGACCAGTATTCTCCAACCTATTCTGTCTTGGACCTTCCTTTCCAGTTCTGTTCAATCGTTGTTCATTCTTCTCATATCTGTCTCCAATTCTCGGTTTAATGCATTCTTTGGTCTTCCGCTTCTGCTTTGACTCTCAGGAATCCAAGTGAGAGCTTGTCTTGTAATGCAGTTTGATGATTTCCTCAATGTGTGCGTTATCCAGCTCCAGTATTTCTTCTTGATTTTTTCCTCTACCGGAATGTGGTTTGTTCTCTTCCACGGTGGGTTGTTGCTGGTGATATCTGACCAACGGATGAGGAGTATTTTGCGTAGATAACTGTTAATGAACACTTGTAACTTCCGGATGATGACTTCCGTAGAAATACTATCCTTGCCTTGCTGATCCATGCATTCACATCCCCATCAGATCCACCTTGCTCGTCAATGAGGCTGCCCAGATATGTAAAGGTTTCTACATCCTGCAAAGCTCCTTAATCTAGTGTTATCTGGTTGGTAAATGTTGTGTTGTATAGGAAAATCTTACTTTGTGTATGCTGAGACCTGCTGCTGCTGGGGCTCCTGCCACACTGGCCATCTTCTCTTTGATTTGTTGTAGCTTGTGCAATAGAAGAGTCAGATCATCTACGAAGTTTAGATGGTTCAGCTGCATTCTGGCTGTCCACGGTATCCTGTCCTTCCCCCACCCAATTATGTGGTTAGCATTATGAACTGGAGAAAGGAAGCCCAGGACAGAGTTGGTTGGAGAAAACTGGTGGGCGGCCTATGCTCCATTGGGGGTAACAGGCGTAAGTAAGTAAGTAAGTAAGTATTATGAATTCTAAACTGTCAATATCAGTGAAAAGTCCACTGTTTCACTTTGAACGGAACTAAATATTTTCACAATTTCTGAAAAATTCCTGTTTGTAATTACAACTATGGTAAAATCTCACAAGAGTTTTCAGTCGGTAAAGGTGTTTGTTAGGCTAATACTGATAATCAACGATAAATAATAGTAGGTTGACCATCTTTCAGGATTTCTTGTCGATTGCCTTCAGTTATCTAAAATCTAAAAACTATTAACATACTGTACAATCAAATCGTGGATAAATCGTCGTTAGACCACCATTAGGAACCTGAAAGCACTGGATAGCCTTTTCGTCCTGGTTTTGGACTCAACGGTTGTACACATCTACTACTCCTGCTACCCGGGGGATTCTAACCCAGAACCTTCGGTCTTGCACGTGAACGCTTAACCTCTGGACCACTGTGCTGGCGAGCACCCAGTGATGTTAATGTCTAACCCTGATCAATCAAAGGATTTTGCTCAACCTCATCTATTGTCTTCGGCAGTTACTGCCTACACACGACAGGGTTGAACTCCACTGGTCACATGGATTCTATTCATGATTTCAATGTGTTAAAACAATCATCTCCATAATAAGCATATTTCATATTATTTGATATGATTGTACACTTTTGTTGTTGTTGTTGTTTTGTTCTAATTTTAGAATTAATCAATTGAATCAAAATAATCAACGTTTAGCAAAACAACTTGACGATGCTTTAAAAGAATCCAGTATTAAAGATGCTGATAAACTTCAATTAGAACGTCATATGAAACAAGCAGAAGAAGAAGCGCATCGATGGCGTACAACAGCTGAACAACAAAAGCAAGCCAATAGTCAGTTGCATAAAGTAAGTTAACCTCAATTTAAATTTTCATGTTGATTTTTTTCAACTTCAGTGTTACGACGATGATGATTGATACATAGTTACTGATTGATATTCTTCAAGATGGAATTTAGGGCTGAAAAAAAACATAAATCGGTTGGTAATTTCTTTTTCTGTACATCTATTGAAGTTGAGGCAATATGTGAGTGTGTTCTGCTAAAGATACATATATGTATATACATTTTGGGCAATAACATATTATGTTGCTTGCTAACCTCTTGATGGCTTGGACATGTAACTACTGAAACCATTTGATAACTGTTTGGGATCGGTTGCAAAACAAGCTCATCTCTGTAATATGAAGCCCATACGATCGATGATGAAAATCTATGAAGAAAGAGTTGAGCTGTATTATTTTATGAGCCGAAACTTTCTAACGCTTTGCATTCTCTGTGAGAAGTCAATGCCATGGAAAATTCTGGTTGTCTGGTAGAAACATGCTACTGCCATCACAAACCAGTATAGACAGCAGTAGGAGTTTTCTGGACCAGAAGTTTTTTTACATTTAATGCTACAGTTTTCGCCATCTGAACTGTCTAGCATGTTAGGGCGTAAATAGCAAGGATAGCTTGACTGAACCATCACGCCATCTATAGGGTAGAAACGTCCATTAGGCTAATGTGTCAGCTTGCGGTATACAGTAGAACCATTAAGGATGACCTAAATCAAATCAAATTCAAAATATTTTCAACACAACTTTATTGTATTAAACTAATACACAGATTACCAAAATGAATACAGATTTTTCTTCCAATACATCTCTTCATAAATTCATTTCAATACAAATAGAATACTTCGAAAAAAAATGTGCATATTCTTTTTCAAACTGAAAAAAAAATTTACAAGTTCAAATCACAAATACTAAAATGTACTTTGTATGTGTGTGTGTATATATATATAGATTAATTGTTTTAAATATGGAAATTTTCATAGGTAACTATTAATTTTTCTAAAAAAAAACTTTTGTCGCGAAATTTAGTTTTTTTTTAATACTTCCTCCATTGGACAATCAACCTATCAATCAATCAATCAATCAATTCAATAAGTTGATGATATGCAACATTTTGAAATGTGTACTTTTTCATCTATTTGATCACAATGGAATATGATAAAGTTTCATTAATTAATTATTCAATGATTTTAATTTTTTTCTACGGTTTCATATGAAATCATTTCACATTCTCTCTCTCTGGTTGATTGTTTCACTGGTGAATCTCATTGACCGTAAAAAAAGAGCAAATTAATTACAGGTGATGTAATTTTTCACAATGAAATTTATGCATCATCTGACATTGTATCTTTTCTTTTCTTTCAAAATTTCGGATCGTTAACTCTTTAAACGTGAATAAAATATTAAAAATTATTTAAATTTTCAATTCTATTCTATTCATATTTTTAGTTGTTCTTATGAAAAAAAACAATTTAATTGTAGCTTAAAATTTTTCAAAAAAATTACGTAATAGTTAGCATAATTCAATGCATGAGATGCATGTTTTTGAATAGTGCTTTGATTGTTTGACTAGGGAAAAGTACTGAGTATGTTTGTGTGTGTGTGTGTGTGTGAATTTCACTGTGGACATTAACACTGAGATGTAAGTGTATTCATTTGACAATTTCTAAATAATAATAATAATAATAATAATAATAATAATAAATACATCTTCTAAACTCTACTACCAATCAAAGTTCATTTTATTCTTAAAACATTTTTGAGAAAATGTCTATTTTGAAGCAATTTACTCAAGATAAACATTATGAATAGTGGAATTCCAGAATTGTGTTTCATCCTCTTTAGGACTCATGTAACGCTATAAATTCTTTCACATTTCATAGGCTGTTATCATCTCTCTCTGTTTATCTCACTTAACCATCAAATGATTTACATTTACTCTGCTGTTTGAATGACATATGAGATGATTAGTGACTGATTTTCTATGTACACATATTTTCCCTTGAGTGTTTATCAAGTAGGCAGTATTTCTTTATCATATTATAAGTTGTCAATAAATCAGTAACATTTTATAAAGCTGTCAAGAAATCCATCTCTCGCCCTTGGTAGACTTCATAATCATGAATTGATTTTATTTTATTTCAAGAATCATGTAAAAATCATTTGGATTTACGGTCAAGTTTAAAACGGATCACTATCATTGAACAATGCTACGTTGTTGTTATTTAAAAACATTGAATAAACTCTTTATCGAATTATCGTTGATGTCAAATGATAAAGCCTGTTATAATTTGCAGACCAATTTCAAAATGTTGAATAGAATCATTGATAATATTAAATTGTAATCCTTAATTACATGTTCTTATGTCCATCCTGGGGCTCACTTCACAGTTCTGTTCAACTGTTGTTCATTCTTCTCATGTCTGTGTCCATTTTTTCTCAGCCTTATGTGTTTTAGTGGCCTTTCTCTTCTCTTTTAAACTTGAGGGCTCCGAGTGATGGCTTGTCTTGTGACTCAGTTGGTTGCTTTCCTCAATTTATGCCATATGATGCGAACTATATGGTTGACGAAGTGTTTGTTCAGAGAATTTTATCACTATAGTCTGGGATCAACTGATGTTTCATCAGCAGTGTGTACTGATGCACCTTTTATTCTTGATTGTACTGATTTTTATTGAAATTACACGATGATTATGTTGTCACATTGACTTCATGTTCTATTATTTCTCTTGTTCTTTACTAAATCACATTACATAGAATTTAGATGAAGAAACAGCTAATCGTATGACATGTCAATCAGAAATGCAAACATTAAAAGAAGAAATGGAATTTTATCGTCGTGTACATCAACAAGAAATTGAAGAGTTACGTTCAATAAACAATAATGTACAAGATGATCAAGATGTTGAACATTGGCGTCAATTGATGCAAAATACAATTCGTGATATTAAATCGGAATATGATAAACGATTAGATCGGATTCGTGACGAGATGGAACAAAGTTACTTAATCAGAGTAAGTGTATATTTGGTTATATAGTATGTTGAAGAAGTTTACATCTAATGGATATGAATTTTCTTTTCAGAATAAAAATAAATGATGCATGTTTGTATCTGTGTATAATAACAATGTAGTAAAAAAGGTAATAATTATTCATACTGAATTGAGAACAATCAAGAAACCGGTGGAAGGATTGAATAATTGTTTTTTTTTCTGACATTCCCTAACATTGAAATCATCAACCAATCATTGTTAGACCATCATTAGTGACCTGGAAGCACTGGACAGCCATTTCGTTCTGTTATGGGATGCACGGTTCTAATCCTGAGAATTCCTAACCTCTAGACCATTGTGCCTGCCGGCATCCAAAGGTGTTAATGTCTAACCTGCTTCCATATTTCTAGTGGTGATCTAACAATGATTGATTCATGATTTTAATGTGAAAAAACACTGATTTCCGTAACTATAATTAACAAATCTGACTAACAGTTCTGAATGGTAACTTTGCAGAAGTTCAGTTAAAGAATTATTTAAACTTTGCTAGTATGTATACAGTGCTACAGAGTAAAAGAGTGTGGATCAAATGGTTCACATTGTAAACTTTAATTGATGTCATGAATATAATTTTTAAATGTGTTCAAAGGTTCAGACCACTTTTTCTTCAACTAATTACTTTACTACTGTCCTCTACTGTCAACGACATTACATTTGATGTAGTCAGTCTATTATGTAACACAATGAAATCTTCAACTGATGAATTGGTAATCGTGTAAAAAGCAAAACATTTTTCTGTAAGTCACTTATTCGTATCGATAAAACTAGTCACAACTTTAATTGTGAACTATTTTTACCTGGAATTCAACTGCAATTAAGCTCATACAACTGAAGTTGGATGATGAAGTCTTCAAAAAGTAAAAGAAGTTAGGTTTAAAAAGAACCGTTAAAATCAAGGAACAAATAGATCAGACCAATAGCGAAACACAAAATCTAAGTGTTCGTTAAAAGAATAAATGAATCTAACCTAATGTTATCAATTTCAAATCATACTATATAAGCTGTCTAATCATCGACAACACAATTACCAAACAAAACGCGAGTGAGATTTCTGCATCTCCCTACTTGGATCGCTCAATTTTGAAGCTTTTATTGTTGTTTCGGATGAGATAAAATGATCAGCATGTTGATGACGATATCATTTGAAACGTTAGTGAGAGGTCTTCATCGAAAACTTTTAGTTCAAAGAACGCCACAACACCGAATTCACTTCACCGAACATGGGTGTATGTCCTTAATGGATGTTCTGTATTCTAAAGTAATAACTATAGGGTCTGCTGCTCCTCTCGGGCGAGATAGGCTACCAATCAGGAATCTCCAACCTTCACCGTCATGGGTTTTACCTTTCGGTTGTTATCACGTTATATTCCTAGTCCTAATATCTGCCTCCAACTCCTGGCAACATGTGTATTTTGGCTTACCTCTTTTTTTGCTTTGAGGATCTCGAGTTAGGGCTTGCTTTATGATTTTTGTAGTGTCCTAACCATCTTCAGCATCGTTTTTTGTAAATCCCTTCCACAAATCACAACTGCTTTATTCTCTGCCATAGTAGATTATTGCTAAAAAAAATTTCCGATCAATAGATTTGGACTATTTCTCATAAGGAGTTGTTTATCTGCATATCTACACACATTTTTGGTTCATATCAAAACTCATTATTACAAACAAGATTCATATTTCAAAAAAAATCATACATCATCATTTATCTAGGAAAAACTTTCATTGAAATAAGTGTAATCAGTTCATTTTTTTTTATTAAATGAATAAATTTTTTTAAAATTTATTGCAAACATTGGTTTGTTGATACAGTTACACGCACACAGCACACATGTGTGTACTGTGAGAACGAATACTTGGTTTATTATACCATTTGTAAAAACAAAAGATACATGCACTGCAATCTTTCGAATTTCACTGGTACATTTATCTGATGCGCTCAATTTTTTTTTTGAGAAAAAACAATCGATTTTTATCATCTGATCTCGTTGACACAGTGGTATTATATTGTACATTTTATTTTTCATTTATATTGTACTTATGATATGATCAATATCAGTTCGTCTCTTTCCTTCATATAATTGTACACATCACCGGTCAGTCTGTAATTAACAGCGTCATAATAATTATGAAACTATACAGTCTAACAATTTTCACAAGTTACAATGTACTAATGTCAATTATACAATCACTATTACTATCACTGTAATCTTTTAGCGACTAATTCCAAGAGGTGATGATTCCTGGAGATCTATTGAAAAGCCGTGACTAATGAAGTTCAGCCATGTTAAGTCCATCTGTTGGTATCGGACAATGGATTTACCACATTGATAATTTAATAAAATTAAGGATTGTGAGTTTCGAATTTTGATGGAGTGAATGAAACGGCTGTCTGGTATTTCTTCGTGATAAACGGCTAAATCTACTAATCGATATGACTTGACTTCGGTTTCATGATTGTTTTTTAATTTTTTCCTCATGGAGTTATGCAGATTGTTGTTTATTACTGAAGCAATGAATCAATCATTATTAGACCATCATTAGATACCTGGAAGCACTGAACGGCCGTTTCGTCTTGGTATGGGAGTGTACAGTAGTGAGTATATATGACTTCTGCCACTGGCAGGATTCGAACCTAAGACCTTCGGTCTTGCCTACCTCCTGGACGACTCAGTCGGCATCCAACCGCGTTAATGTCTAACTCTGATTAATGTAGGGGTTTTGCGCGACCTCACTCATCGCTCTTTGGTAATTACTGCCTAGATCCTTCAGGGTTGAACTCCACTTGTCATATCTTCTCGATTTGTTAGTAAGGAAATAAGTACTTACAACCTTTAAGAGATTGATAGTCTCTATGAGATTCAACATATCATTATCCAACTTCCCAGTCTCAGATGTTTCCATTGAACAGTTCTCGTCATGACTATCCTAATATAGAACTGAAATATTTACAATTCATTGAACATAGAGTAGTAATCAATGGTCTTTTCAAATTCTGTAGATCATATTCCTTGTCTTATTTGGTATATTTTTTAGCTGGATGAATTAAATAGACAAGATTCATCTCAACGAACAGAGTTTAATAGATTACAAGAAGAAAATTCAAAACTTAAAAGTGCTTTAGAAGGTACACGTGGTCGTGATGATCAGTTACGTGCAAGAGTAAGTCTACTATTATGTAATACTTAGTTTAAACTGATATTTTTCTTGTGAAAGGATTTTGTAGTAGGAGAAATACATGTATATTTTCAACAAACCGGAAAAAACACCCTTATTCAAACTTCGATTCAATGTTCTTAACAATTTTTAACTTAAGTCTATTGCCTCTTTCATCTGTCAGGTTAAACCGGGTAGAGTGGGTTATGGCTTCGGCTTAACTACAGATTAATTAAGGTTAAAGTCTGTAATTCGCAATCGGATGTAGAAATGTTGCCAAAATTATGCCACTAGTAACAGTTCCATGATATTGTGGTTGCATGTGTTCAAGTACTTCGTATTTTTCAAGTGGCCGGTCAATAAATCTCAGTAGATGAATGTCTACAATTCATATATAAAATAAAATATTGACCTGTTATGTAAGTGTTTTGTGTAGTTGTTATTAGTAAACGGTATCCCATAATTTTTCCCCATTTTTTCTAGTGTGACCAATTGGAACGTTCTTTAAATGAGTCAGTGGAAGAGTCAAGAAATTTAAGAAATCAATTGAATAAACTGATCGCTGAAACTGAACATGATAAACAAGCCGCTGAAGAAGCGTTAACACGACTTCATAAGGAATTATCTTCACTGACTGATGCAAAATTGAATTTAGAAGCGGAAATTGCCGCTTATAGTCGATTATTGGAAGCACAAGATTCTCTCATATCCTCCAATACAAGATCAGATGGTGCAAAGACAAAATCTCATCCACATCTACCACAGCAACCACATCAATCACATCATTCTAATCGATCAGGATCGGGAAACTATCGACCACGTAATGAATTAAATATTCATGTACCATCTTATCCAACGACAACATCATCACAACATCATAAACAATCTCATAATAATGTGTAAGCCAGTTATGTATAAATGAATTATGTTATCATTTGTATTGATAAACTCTATCAGTTAAGGTGTTTGATATCGCGTAAATCTTTGATCAATAGAAAATGTCTTTGTGTACAATGTTTTTGATATTGCCTAGATCGTTCAAGTTTAGTTTTGGGTTAATTCTGAAATGTACCAAATTTGTATTACATAATTCAACAGAAACTTTTGTTTTCCACAAACAAATTTCATATTTGGAAAACACAAATAATAGTATCATTAAACTGTGAGTAGTATGAGTTGGTTAAAACAAAATTTCAATGTCTAAGTAAAAATGATGGGGACAGGGTTGGTGGTCGACTGGATTATGAAGATGTCAACATCTAATGGGAAGAATGGGATACACAGGACAGCTCGGGTACAACTGAACGATCTGGTCTTTACAGATGATCTAGCTCTTCTATCGCATGCACAAAAACCAATGCAGGAGAAGACCAGTGTAGTGGTAGCCTCTGCAGCAGTAGGTCTGAACGTACACAAACGTAAAAGCAACATCCTTCGATACAGCACAAGATGCACCTACCAAATCAAAGTTGACGGAGATGCCTTGGAAGATGTAAAAATCTTTACATATACGGCCGGTATGGTTGACAATCAAGGTGGATCTGATTCAGGTATGAAGGCACGAATTGGCAAAACAAGACAGTATTTCTTCCACTGAAGAACATCTGCAACTCATAACAACTGCCAAAAAACACTACAGTCAGAATTTTTAATACATTCATCAAAACAGTTTTACTGCATAGAGCGGAAACTTGGAGAACTACAAAAGCCATCATCCAGAAAATACAAGTGTTCATTAACAGTTGTCTACGCAAAATACTTCGGACCCGTTGGCCAGACACCACCAGCAACAACCTACTGTGGAAGAGAACAAACCAGATTGCAGTGGAGGAGGAAATCAGAAAGAAGGGCAGGAAGTGGATAGAACACAAATTGACGAAATCATCCAACTGTATCACAAGATAAGCTCTCACTTAGATTCCTGAAAGCCAAAGGAGAAGAGGAAGAGCGAAGAATACATTACGCCGAGAATCGGAGTCAGATCGGAGAAGAATATACACCAAATGGATAGAACTGTAAAGGAAGGCGTAGGATAGAGTAAGCTGAATAATACTGGTCGGTGGCCTATACTTCACTGTGGGTTACAAATATAAATAAGTAAAACATAAGACTGGTTGTAGGACATGAGTTGTTATATTGTTCAAACTGAACTATGAAAATATTATCGAATCTGTTTATACAATAGTATGGAGTAGGATAACACTAAATTAATACTGAATAATTTTGCAGACTTGATAAACACACATTACACATTGTACAATTGAATGATTGACCAAATCTGTTCACTCATCATGTTTTGTCTCCTTTAATTTCTTGTCTCAAACACATACCGTACTACATTTAGGTCAAGTTCTGTAAAAATATTTTCGTAGTTTATTATTAATTTCAATGATATATTTTTCTTCTTTTAGTTCTTCTGGAAGATGGACAGAAAGAGAAGAACCTAGTGGTCAGTCAACTAGATCGCATCATTTCGTTGAGAGATCCATTGAAGGTAAGTAAAACAACACACATACGAATATATATATATATATATATATATATATATATATATATATATATATATATATATATATATATATATATATATATATTTAAGATAATAATAATAATAGTAACAGAAACATAGAAAACAATGGAAAGATATCAGCAAATAAACAGCAAAAACAGTAAATAAAATGCTTGTTTTGATTATGGTGTTTTTATTTTTATTTTTATTGATAAAAAAGAAATGAGTTTTTTTTCACGTATAACAATTCATTTGCTGATACATGTTGGATAGATCAACGCGGCTTAGTTAGTACTGATGACCTATTCAGCTCTTAGGTAAACACACACAATAGAGATAAACAAAATTCCCAAATGGTCACTTGTATCGTTCATTGTCAAGTAGGTTGTCCTAAAGTTAGTAATGGGTGTAACCTTAGATAAAAGGAACACTGTTCGTTTAACAATTCAAATATCTGGACCAATGCATCCATACTGGGATCATGAATGTGTGTTCACACACACACACATTGTATGTCTGTGTATTGCGTCGTTTGTTTGTGTACCATATTTTTTGCTGTTTGGTTTCTTGATGCTTATTTCTTACTACACTAACTGCGCTTTTCTCCACGCAACTAGTTTTTAAAAAGATTACTTGAACTAAAAAAAGAACTCTACAATTTCGAAACAAACAACTTTAGGTATGAAAAGAACAACGCCCATTAAACGCACACTAACACACATACACACTTGCTCTGTGTCATGAACTAATAACTTGTTTTCTAGTGATAAATTATGTAAAACAACAGAGTTAATTTATCTGTTTATTTACTCATTTGTTTAAGGATTGTTTATTTTTATTTATAGACATTAATTTGAATTCACATCTAAACTGAATGATGTGATAATCATAATTTTAAAATCACCAAAAGTATTTCAAAATGTCAAGTAGATTTTCCTGATTAATATCTCCTGGCGTGATATTGTTTTTCTTTTAGGTCGAGTCAAAGTCAACTAATTAAATTAAAACAAATTTAAAATATCCTCTAGTGATATGTCAAGTCTGCAATCATAGGTGTCAACGAAGCATTGTTCATCTATTCTGGGATCATCGAGTTAGCAATGCTGTTGTTGTCAGGAAAAGAGTATTAGGTATGGATAGGAGATCAGTGGATGAATTAGTGAATGTTTATCAGTTGAGGCGGTTGGGACATGTGTTATGAATGCCTAAACACCGACTGCCTGGTGTAGGGGTAGGCTGGAAGAAACCCAGGGTCAGCTAAACCAAAACACAGCACAAATTCATGGAGTGTTGGTAGATGCAGACTACCTGGTTAGGGTCCATGAGATGATAGTAAACGATGGTTAGAGACTTTGACTGACATTGCTCAAAATCATTTGCAACGGAGCAGGTTCATTCACTCTTTGTGTTCTCTCAAATTCTAATCCTCTGAATTCCTCATAACCATTTTTTCTGTTTTCTTTTAAAAACTGATTCCTCTGCGATATACTACTCGAATAATATCTTCGAACACTTATCTTTTTGACTGCCGCTAATACTTATGCTACATCTACTACTGTGAGATTTGAATTGACAATTCGATCTCTCTGCCTGCTAATATGGTATGTCGAGTTGAACCATTGTATGTACGTGCCAAGTTCTACGTTATAGCCGACTGACTAATATTCAAGTATAAAGTCAAATTAATCAGGATCCAGAAAAGTAACTTGAAAAGTCACGAAGCATATTTCAATTTATGATAATCTTGAATGAAGACCACCAAACCAACACATGGACTGTCAATTGTACAATGATCAAATTATCTAAGGGGAAACATCATCAAGTATTTACAATACATTGAATTGCCAGTTACATTACTCACCTGTGAATATGGGAATAAACTGACTCTACATAAGCGTAAACGAAATACATGAGTGAATGATATTTTTCTGTAATGTTTGTTATTGTTACGATCGAGGTTAGAACTAGGATTTATGGTTGAGATTTGAGTTAGATGTAGGGTTAGAATTCATTTTTATCAATAGTTTGCTACGTAAGAATTTAGTTGTTGTAAACTTACACTCTACTCGGACATTGAACTGGTGAATAAATTATTGTTAGGTTACCATCTGAAACCTGGAGGTACTGGACCGCTGGTTCGTTCTGGTATCAGATCCATTAACAGTGCATATCCACAACTCCTGCTACTCGCGGGATTCGAACCCGGGACCTTCGGTCTTGCGCATGAACGCTCGTGGATGCGCACCGCTGTTAGCAGTTAATTAAAGTCTGTCTTTATCCTCATTTTATAGAACTCTTAATCAGCCTTGAAGTATTTCAAATTCTTGAAATCTAGAGTCGATGACGACACATCCAAACTTGTTGTTGGCTGCATTCAGCTAAAACTCATAGTTTCCATTTGTAGTGTACCATGATTGTCATTCTATAGTTTTTCGATGTGAGTACTATCACATTTGTTATGATGATTGATTCCATAAGTTATAGCTTCCTACTAAAACTTTGGAAACTCTATCATAAAGCTAAACACTACTGAATATGTATACTCTTTCAATAGATTAAAGTAATTTAATTTTTGAAAATTGACATCAGCTCAACTTTATTGAAACTCAATTAAGCATAAAGTACCGTTTGCATTTATAAAGTTTGATTCATATAATTAAAAGCAGAATTAAACACTTTTGATTGTAAAGCAAAGCCCAACTTATACGTTCCTGTGTTATTCGCAGAATATTGTGACTTTTTCCATGAACTAGTGCAAACCGCTTGGCGTAGATCAGCTTAATCCACTACTCCTATGAAAACATCCCGGGGTAACACCTTTTAACTAGTGCTGGTTGGATAAACGAGTGTCTACGTGTCTACATGTATGCCTTGGAATGCCGAAGTTCTGGACTTGTGCTGTTTCAGGCGTGTATGCAATCTGTATCTGCTGTATTAAGAACTGGGAGTCTATAATACCCTCTCTGTAATTGCACATCTTAATAAAGTATCTATGTTTGAGTGCATGTCAAGTATATATAAGTCTCTGACTTGTGTAATTTTCATGTGTTTGTAATTCGTTCTGGCAAATTAAATAACCAGTAAACCGTTGGTTTTAGTCTAAATAACAAATAATTCGCCACTAAAAAGGTATATTGGGTCACAAAAAGTATCTCCCAATTAAATACAAATCATTCAGATAAGTAAGTAGGTATTCAGTAAAGTTTTACCAAATTTCATAGCTGGAACAAGGGAGAGGGAATAAAAGTATTATTACAAATAATAAGATAAACTTTTTTCTATAATAATAAAAATAAATATTTTTATTATCATGAAATTATTCTTAAAAAAATTTCTATTCTTATGTAATCTTTTTCAGGTAATCAACACTTATCTTGTAGTTATTCTGATCGTAAGTTGCATTATATGATATTTTTTTAGCTCAATTGCTTTAATTATGACTAAAAACTACTGAATTTTGATAACTATCAGTAGTATGGTAAGTATTTCAGTTGCATTCTTATAATGTACACTTCCTATGATATATTAAACCCATGAAGTAAATTAAGAACAGCACATTCACTACAAAGGTTTAATTTCCCAAACTAAAGTATAATTATATACAAATCATGAATATTTGTACATTTTTCCTTTTTCACGTAGACATAGATATGCAAGTTGAGTGTGTAGATGAGCAATGGATTTTTTCGTTAGAGTGTATCTCCATTTATAGCTTCTTACTTATCGTTGGAATATGGAGATGACCCTTGAGATCTGACCTTTGCGTAGGCAATATGATTTAACTAGATTCACCCAAGCTACCACTGTCATTTACACTAGCTATAAGTATTTTAGAGTTGTTCAAAAATACTTACACACTGTACACATATATAAAATGTACAAATCAGCTGTTTAGTAGGTGAAAATATAGTTTTCTTATTATGAATCATCACAGTTCATCTGTACTGAAATTACTATCTTGATCGACTTGTGTTTACAACTGTGCTATTGCTAAACTTGTTTGGGGTCCATGAGATGATGGTAATCGATAGTTAGAGACCCTGAATAAGATGACTCAAAATGTTTTGCAATGACGCAGGTGTATCCATACTTTCTCTTCTCTCAAACTGTAATCTTCTGAATTCTTCATCACCTTTATCTTTCTCTTTTTAAGTTTATTTCACTGAATTGTACTTCTTGAATAACATCTTCGAACTCTAATCTCTTCGATTACTTCGAATACTTTTACTACCTCTACTACTATAGGATTTGCATTGGCATTTATATCTCTGTGCCAATGTGGTATGGCAACTTGAACTGCTGTATTTACGTGTAAAAGTTCTTCATTGCTGCTGGCTGATTGACTAACTGACTGACTATTGCTAAACAACTACTGTATGTGTTACTCAGAAGTTCTTCTCTAGTCTTGAATGATATTGACTAGGCTTTGTTGTGTAGTTTAAAAGGTGACTTTTATATTGTATCGACGGCTCAGAATGAAAGAAACTCCCCTTGTATTAGATGTCATTCCAGTCAATAATTAATTGTTAGCTTGTCAATGATTTTTAGTCAGCTGAGGATTGTAAATGCATTCGAGATTCAAACTGCCCTTGATATTTACGCCTCCTTATTCTTTTCTAACCATAGAAAGAAAAGAAACAAGTTACGCAATTAACAAAGGAAACATCTTTTTGATTAGTACCTATAAGATAAATATTTTCATGATTATGCCTATCTCATCCCATTTTTTTCTTCACTGTTATTCATTAGAAAAAAGTGTTATTGGTTTTTCAATATTTTTTTTATTTCTCCAGTTGACAAACAACAAAATTCAATGAGTCATAGTGAAACATTCACACGTGGTCATTTAGTGATTAATGAATGCGCCAAAAATGGCAATTACATTGAAATAACAAATAAAGGGAATACAGTGAGTGAATAATTCGAATGTTTATATACTATTCTTAGTATATATATATTTATACATATGTCATTTGGCTAGCAGTAGACATGTGTTCGATCCTATTGCCAAATTTGAACTCATTATTTATTAGTTCAAATATCAATGTGTTTTTTTCTCTATTGAACTATTGAACATTGGCAGCCATCGAGTTGTACAGCAGATACGAAGATATTATTGTAATTATTATTATAAAATAATATTCTTGAGACAATAATCTATAAGTTGGTTAGTTAAATATCTCATAAATTGTTTTGGTAATATGTTGAATGTGTTAGCGTCACACGATTCCAGTTCGTGTTAAACCATTGGATTATAACTCAATAGTTTGAAAGGATTATCAACTACTAATCATTAAATTATTGACTTTTGTTTTAGTTATGTTCTATTTATGGTAGATAACAACTTTTAATTAATAATTGCAAAAACTATTTCTTGATTGATTGTTCATTAACGGATAATTCAACAATTGAAGTTTATGAAATAGATTTGTGCCGATTGGTATTCTGAAATGCTTTTAGATTTTGTATACTGCTCGTTCAGACAACTGTTACTAGATAACGCCCAAAGGTGTATCATTCAAAAGACGAGTACGAAGCGTTGAATGAGTTTATTGTTGCACCGCAGGCACACGAAGCAAATGATATGCGAGTGCCGAAGAGCAAGCGAGTGTATGAGTGAGCGAATGAATGAATAGGATTACAATATATATATATATACTACTGAAATGAATGAGTCATCGAATTATTTTAGAGGTGAATATTAAGGTGAATAGTATGAATATGCACGTAAGGCGGTAAGCAATGCTCAATCATACCTGCTAATAAGAACGCGACCATAATACCATATATGGTCAATTTCGTGTTTCAGTTGAAGCATCTTAAGTATCACTTAATTGTTTAGTTTGCTACTTCCATTGTGTATTTAACAGACATTTTTATTAATAAGGACTAGTTTTTGTCTTTGATGACCTATTTAGTTAAGGGTTTAAATTATCATGACTAGAATCTGAAAGTTAACACTAACCATCATAAATGACACTCCTGTTTTATGCAACTATACTATCACTTTGAAAATAAAAATTAAGTGGTATTTTTTCTTTCTAAATTGTTTCAAGTGAGTCGAGAAACGGTTAGTAAGTCAGAATCCTAAACTTACAGTATACTTACTCACTCACTTTATTACTCAGTATCTGTATCAACCTTAGAGGAGCAAGACACATTTGTTTCACTGATACGTCTAAACAATATGGTTTGTATGATTTAATTCCAGTGGGTTTGCAATAAAGCCATTGGCCAATCATCCATGGTTGACTGTCTCAGTTCTGACTGGGTTGAAAAAAAATACATAATACAACTTTTTAACACTGAAATATGAAGACAATGGTGTCGGGAAGAAAGTTAATTTCAAGCAAATAAGTATGATTGATTTATAAGGCTCTTCATAACTTTCATCATAAACTGAAACCTCATTGATTCTGCAAACAAACATGTTTACATTGAACAAGTAATCTAAAATTGATGATTGAACTGTGGAACAATTACCCGATAATATTTCATATGATTACTTGTTTATTGATATTTAGGAAGAATCATTGTTCGGTTGGTGTCTCATTAGAAATATTGACCAAGGAAGACAGATCATTCGATATACATTTCCTAATCACACTTTATCACCTCATTCAAGTGTTAAGGTGAGTGGAATTTATTATTTATTACATGAATATAAGTCGATAAAATATAGGGAAGTTAATTAGAATAATTGAGAACAAATGAATTAGTAAAGTTTATTAATTTAATGAATTTTTCATTCTACAATTATGGAGATTGTTGTTTATTACTAAAATCATGAATTAATCATCATTGTTCGTGTATTGTATTGAATCGATTAAAGTTTAAAACTGTCAACTCATCAGTTCAATAATAACATATTCCTCACGACAAGATCTAAGGTCATTTGTGTCGTAACTTATAACGAAATAAATAACTAGTGCCTATTGGTTTTGTGTTTGGTATGATGCTATTTTCGAATTAAGTGGATATGTGTATCAACATCTCTTATGACTTTGGATCACATGAAAAGAACACCGATTGGAATGCAGTTTTTGTGCTAATAACCTTGATTCAACGGTTAGTTTCTTATTGATTGCCAATTCTCTCGTTTCGCCGTACCATACTTCTGCCCTTGAGTTTGGAAATCAGAACAAGTCTCCACTATATTTATGTCTCGGACAGATGTAGTTTATGTACACGCAGACCAGATGACATTACATCATTAAAAATAAGCATCAATAAGGGAGATTGTAAATAACAATAGTTAATGATTCAAACGGGAGCTTATAATAAATAGTAGATCAATATGTTGCAATCTAGATTTACTCAGTAATTATACAATAAGAATTTATAATAATGATATTCCACAAGTTAATTCTAAGAGTCACCATTCTTTCAATCTTCGTTCGAATGTAACGTCTCAATTCATTTGAGTGTTGGGTGACTGTAAACTGTGCTGAGTTTACAAAAATTTAACAAATACTATTTGAAGCCAAATCAAATTTGTTGTCTAAGCAACTTGATGAACTGAACTATGCTTATTTCCCAGACATTAAGCTCGCCTACGGTCTAATGGGGATCTCCTGTGGAGCAAAATCTTCAGATTTCATTAATCAACAAAGAAATTTTTTGATGTTTTAAAGAATTTGAAACGTTCCAACCATAGCATAATTGGTGACTGGACACTTTCTATTTACATTAAAGCAGATAATTATTGGCTTCATATAAAGCTGACGGCATTGTGAATAAATACTTTAAACACATACAATGTTGATAAATATTTGTTTGTCATTTATTGCTGAATACGTTTTCTGCAGCAATTTGGATTACTCTCCCGGTCTCTCACATTGTACGAACATTCCATGTACCTAAACTAGTGGTTGCTCTGGTTGTTAGAAGGGGCATCGGCTTTCATCATAAGACGTCATCATTCTTCTAAATGAAGGAGGACCTTATAACTCCAAGACGAGAGTTAAAACGGCTTGAATTATATTTCTGGTTAGTGTTTTTCTAAAGAGTTAGTTTTCCACGGGATAGACTCACCGACTCTATGTCAAACCTTCCGCCTTTACTCGTGCTTGGGACCGGCAGTAGCCTCAGATTTTTAAGTAAATGTTGATATCATCGTCAGTAAATACTTTTGCACCTTTTATTTCTTATTTATACTTTGTTTAAAATAATATTTGAGTTTATCGTTACCATACATTATTTGGTAACCGCTGAATACATCAGAAACAGTTGGAATGTATTATTTGAAAATGTTAGATACTATGTGTTAAATATTTATTAAAATCATGAATGAATCATTGGTAGATCACCATTAGAAACTTGACAGGATTGGACGACCGTTTTGTCCTGGCTACTAGCATGATTTAAAGCCAGGAACGTCGGTTTTGCACGTGAACTCTTAACCTCTAACTTTGAAGAATCTAAGGATTTCGACACAGCCTCAACCATTTGTCTTCGATAGTTACTGACTACATCTGACAAGGTTGAACTCCATCAGTCATATTTAACAATGATTCATTCATCATTTAAAAGTGTGTAAAAACAATCAATAATTCATAATGTTATATTCTGGTTAATTTTGTATAATTTCTATTTGAATAAATTTCTTACTGTCAATCAACAGATGACTTTATTATTTTAATAATTGATCTATTTTTCAATTATGCATAATTGATGATAAAAGTATGAATTAATTTTACAAGATACAATGTATGTGATGAAGGAATTTTTTTTGTCTTTCAATTTCAATGAAATTTATTAAAACTGATATAATAATACTTTCTTTTTTGTTGTAATAAAAAAAATATTTTAGATATGGGCTGGTAAACCAACTCCTACACGTAGTTCGAATACAAGTGATATTGAAGCACCATATTCAACTTGGGGTACTGGTTCATACATACAAACAAGTCTATACAATCCAGATGGTTTAGTAAGTTTTATAATCTTCTTTTGAGATGATCATTGATGAACATTCGTTTGTCTGGTTACTTGTTACAATAGTTCATATTCACATTACGTGAATAAACAATGTGTTATTCAATTTAACTTGATCAATAATCCAACGAGGTACAGGAGTTGTGGATGCGCTTTACTGATGAGTTCCATACCAGGATGAAACATACTAGCTCCTTACTTTGAAGATCATTCCGCCAGCCGCACAGGATTGTGGGTTACTATGAATTGTGGTGTTTTAAAAGCTGAACAATTTCATCTCTTTCTTACGTTGTGAGAAGGCAAAATCTCTACAGAAGCTGGTTCTCTGAGGAAAGAACCATACTGTTCTACCAGTACAGTCGGCAACAGGAGTTTACTTCCGGACCTAAAATTTGCTGTCTGTAGTTTGACCACTCTCCAACCGCCTTTGAATGGTAGAACTTAAGAAATGAATGTTTTGGTCACTATTTGCACTTAAATAGGAACCCGATTATCAAGTCAAGGCAGCAGTTATGCACAAATATACCGCTGAAAAAGCGAGATTACAAATGCTTATTTATCAGTAAAATAAAGGCGCACCGGATCAAATCCAGACTAAATGTCACTGTAGTTTGTTGTTTTCTATTCAGTTATCAGTATAAATGAGAGTGGGTCAAACGAATAGTCTCCTGAAATGTTTACATAGTACATGTTGGCCAAGATTATTCATATTGGATTAGGAATTATTGGAGACCAGAATTAGCATATCCTTAAAATTAGTTCTTCATGTTCATCTTATGATCAGTTCATAGAATAAGAATGACAACACATTACTTTCAAAGATATCAATACTCAGTGTTGTAAAAAGCGACTAACGTATAAACGTATTCATTCCGTTCTACATACAAATAAATTAATTAGGTGAATAAGGAAGTTAAGTTTATTAGACTAAAGGGTCACTGGATATCCTCACCATATAATCTCATAATCTATGAATGTTTACAGCAACAAGCTAAAAGTAGATTACCCATGAAATCATCCTTAAGTTGTGACTGAAGGTGAAATATAAAATGGTCGTTCTGTTCTATTCGATACTTGTTAACTGGATAAGTGAACTCAGTACCTATTTATTTAAACATAGATGTGTTCTTCTCAATCATACAATTACTGTTCTTAATTTTATTTTTATAAAAATGATTCTGAATCTTCAATAGTAAGTAATATTATTAACATTATTTATTGACTGCTTAACTTACAGGAAAAAGCAACACATATTCAGAAATTACAGTAGAATCATTTGTCGTGTGTGACCAGTGGAGCAAAGTTGCAACAGGCATAAAGAATCATTTATTGTTTACTGATTTCCACAGTACTACACATATCATTCATTATTTCTTACTGCTTAGTAATATTTCTGTGTATTACAATTTCATTTTTAATTTCAATTCGTTTATTTTATAAAATACAATGGACAAATTTTTTTGTGGTATTCTGAACTGCCTTTCATTAGTCAGTAGTTTGTAAGTAGTCTAGATTTTTTTTCTGTTTTACTTTTAACTTGGTTGTTTTTCTAACGAAACAGTTTAGCACTACATACAAAATGATGCAGTAAAGCATCAATTTTCACTTGTTTTCTATTTGCAATTTATAGACTGAAATACTTTTTTTTTAAGCATATTGCTGATGAGTTGTAGGAGTTTGTGCACATATTGTACAGTTTTGTTATTGATTTTCCAATGTTTTGAGCTGATAATTTTGTGTTTTTTCACGTTAAAATATACTGTCAAATGTTAGTTCTAGAAATTAATAGTAGCCTATAATAAAATAGGGATTTTGCACAGCTTAACTTGAGAATTTGTGAAACTTTAAAAAAGATGCTGATTTATTACGCTACTTACTAATTGTAAGTAGGTTGATGATTAATCTTAAATTTTTAATTATAGAGTTATGGAGGGCCACTATTAGAAACGTAGAAGTACTGGAAGGCCGTTTCGTCCTAGTATATAAGTTTTCATCTTACTGTGCATAAAACCAGGCTGGTTTGGGACCTGGGCGTGGCTGAATAGACCACATATTCACCCTTCGTCAGGTCCTCGTTCGAGGTGAGAACCGGTGTTAGGCAAGGTTGCTTACCCTCAACCTGAAGATCAAACGAGAAGAGCAAGGCCAGGGAACACATTACGCCGAATAATGGAGACAGACATGAGAAGGATAAACAAAAATTGAACAGAACAGGAAAGAGAGGCTCAGGACGGAGTAGTTTGGGAGTACTGATCGACGGCCTATGCTAAATCGGAGGTAACAGGCGCAACTACCTAAATAACTAGTCAGCTCATGGAATGTGGACATAGATATGGGGCGTTACACTGTAGCTGTAGTTCTTGAACTTGAAGCGGATCCGAATCTGTCCATCTTCAGTTCCTTCCGTTCTACTTTATGGCTGTGAAACATGGCCAGTAAGGTTTAAGGAGATTCGTAGGTTACTGGTTTTCGACCATAGATGTCTTCGAAGCATTGCTTGTGTATCCTGGGACAACCGAGTAAGAAATGCAGTTATTAGGAAACGAGTACTAGTTAGGTATGGTAGATCAACAGATGAAGTAGTGAAACTTCATCAGTTGAGGTGGTTGGGACGTGTGTTACGAATGCCCAACCACCGAGTGCCTCGACAAACTATGTTTTTTGGTGTAGGAATAGGTTGGAAGAAAGCTAGGGGCGGCCAGACCAAAACATGGCACAAATGCATGAAGTCAATGACAAGTGGACTGAACCATGTTGGTAGTTGACTACCTGGACGGGGTCCCCGAGACAATAGTTACAGATGGTTAGAGACCTTGAACAACAAGGCTTAAAATCGCTTGCAATGGCGTAGGTTCACCCACTCGTTGTTTTCAATGAAATTCTAGTCTTCTGAATTCGTTATCACCTCTACCTTCCTCTTTCTAAACTTATTTCACTGAATTATACTGATTAAATAATATCATGGAACCCTAATTTTCTCCATTGCCAGTAATACTTCTTTTGTCTCTACCACTATGAGATTCGAATTGACAGTTTTGTCTCTGTACTAATGTGATACGGCAACCTGAACTGACGTACTTGAGTATGAAGTTCTATGTTGTAACTGATTGATTGAAATCATTAGACGTGTACTCTGGAATGACTATCCTTTTTAAAACAACAATTTGTTGTCTACACCAATCATTTGGCTATTATTATCAATATTTGTCAACACTCACCTTGTTAGCAGCATTTTGTATCAATGAACTAACTGAAGGGGGTTGCAAATTTCTCGAATGTCACTACATTAACGAAAAAACATCATTTTCATTTGATACAACTAAACTTAACAGTAACAAAATATTGACAATAAATGTATTTTTCACATATCGAACAGGAATACACACATATTTTCAATGCTAAATGCTAATTTAGTTCCGTTTAAGCAGAAAATGTGATTTTAGTTTAGACTGCATAACAGCATTTTAAAAATGAGTAGTTCGACAGTTATTTTGGAATAAATTATTGAGATAGGATATGTAGTTGAAAACTGATTTACTATATAATCTTATATCCAGTTATTACAATAGTGTTATGAGAGCAGAAAAGAGTTCAGAGTCAGAAGTTTCGAGTCAATGACATTCTTTTGTTTTATACATTTGAATAATAAGCACATGGCACATCGAATAAATTTGTATATTCAAGTCATATAAACATTATAATGAAATTACCATAGACCGATCGACAATTAAAGTTTAAACTGTACAAAGTAACGGTACGTCACACACACACACACATCTCGTAAAATCTTGAGATCTGGTAAAAAACAAACAAACCAATACATTGAAAAGTCATAAGATCGAGGATTTTTAAATGTTAGTGCTATTTCTTTGACCCTAAACTGCCTATGAAAATCACGATTCAAAGTGCAATAAAATTTGCGGACAATTATGAAATTGATGCTTTGATCTTATTTTTCTGTTACAGTCAATATTCTGAAGATCTTGATTAGAATGTTGTTATCAATGTACCTCGAATAGCATTTGGCATTTTTAATGTCAAGAGTAAACCATCTTGTCCATATGATATTATTCTGATTATTTTGTTTTTATAAGCAATGATGAATAAATTTTTCTTTACAAATCACATATACAACTTGTCATATTGTTGATTAATTGACAATGAAAAGTTACTGAGTATAACAGTAAAAGTAGAGCATAAACAGTGAGTTTGGGTCATACTTAACATGATCAGATGTTTTTCAAAGTGAAATTTTTGCCACTGAGCAGAGACCGTATACGCTAAGTTTAGTTCACGACAGTGGAGTTCAACCTTGTCGGATGTAGGCAGTAACGACCGAAAACAATGGGTGAAGTTGTGCAAAATTTTTAGACTGATCACAGTCAGACATTAACGCCATTAGATACCAGTTCAGTGGTCCAAAGGTTCGTGCGCAAGACTGATGGCCTGGGGTTAGAAACCTGCGAGTTGCAAGAGTCGTGGATGAGCACTGCTGATAAGTCCTATACGAGGAAACAGCCAACCAGTGGTTCAAGGCTTCTAATGGTGGTCTAACTATGATTCACTCATGATTTCAGAGTGAAAAAAACTTTTAGGATTTGATAGTTTTAAGAAGTTTATTAATTTCTCAAGGCTTGCATCACCAGTTTTTTTTTTGATGTTAGCATTGTAGAAATAAAGCTACATAATATCATCAGTATGAATGTAAAGGTTTCATTTTGACTATTGTTCATAAAAGATTCACTACTATCCATAAAATACACATTGGTAGATTCACTGAAGGGTTATGAAAATGAGTTTATTAGGAGAACCAACGTTATTGTCACTCCCATTATATGCAGAGGTCATAGTTTGAATTTGTTACCTATTTTGGGATTTCTTAAATCCAATCAAACACAGTATAGATGATTTCAGACAGTTATGATGTGCAATGTATTTTACGTTCATTTCCGGTGTTTTCGTTACTTCTAGATTATAACAAAATCTTATAAATTGAACACGTATTCTCTTACTAAAATATAGTTTATGTATGTGATTAGTTGTTCATAGAACACATAATTAGTCATTAGGTTTTATCGATCGGTTTACATAAAATCATCACTTTTTTTGACATGGTATGATTTTGCATTAATGACCGAACGTTTACATCGACATGTCAACTTAATGTTCAGAGATTAGGCATACACAAACAGCAACCATCAGTGAACACCGATATTTCATTCTAGTTGGATTAACAGTCAGTCAGTCAGATGCAACGTAGAACTTTGTACGTAAGTTTATCAGTTCATGTTGCCGTACCTTATCAGCACAGAGATATAATTGTCAATTCAAATCCAAAAGTAGAAGAGGTAGTAAGGTTATTAGGAGTAATCGGAGAGGTTAGGGTTAGAAGATACTATTTAAGAAGTATGATTCAATGAGATAAGTTTAGAGAGTCGAAACTAGAGGTGTTGAAGAATCCAGAAGATTAGGATTTGAGAGAACACAAAGAATAAATGCACCGGCGCCATTGCAAACGGTTTTGAGCCATGTCATTCAAGGTCTCTAACCATCGATTATTATCATCTCGCGGGCCTCAACCAGGTAGTCGACAATTACCGACATGGCTAAGTCCACTCGCCAATGATTTCATGGATTTCTGCCATGTTTTGTTCTGGCCGCCCCTAGCTTTCTTCCAACCTATTCCCACACTACAAAACATAGCTCGTCGAGGTAGTCGGTGGTTAGGCATACGCAACACATGTCCCAACCACCTCAACTGGATTAACACATAACATAACTATGTATAAACGGAGAGGAGCACAATACGCCCAAGTCAAATAAATTATCTAACATCTGAGAAGAGGTTATTGTTTACACATGTAAAAAGATTTTCATTAATTCGGTTTACAAGTTTTAAAATCAAGTGTAGTGTATAGTGAAATTTTGATTATTTTATAAAAAACAAAAACAATAACTAAAAATACACATAACATGCAATGAAAATTAAAAAAAAAAACGAATTCTTTTAAACAAAAAACTCAGTGAAGAGAGAAGTGTTTAGTTTGATTTTTTCTCTCAAGGAATCAATCGCATTAAAATTACTCAAATGTCAGTCATGATAATAAAAACTGAAGCATTTCCCCATTGGCCCTTTTAACCCGTTAAAAAAAATTATAAAATATTGATCTTGGCGGGAGAATGATGATTGTTAACATTATCAATATTCAATAATCAATACCATTGGATTATACATTCACAATGAAAACAAATTAATTTAGCATTAAGAAATAAGAGAGATAGAGAGGAAATAAATCGAAATATCTTATCATAATCATTATGTAATAATATACACAGGAAATAAATTTGAAAAAAACATTTGATTGTGTTGAGAGAGAGAGAGAGAGAGAGAGGAGATCAGTGGAGGCGCGCATAATACAGATTTCATTTTTTCAATACATTAAATAGAGTAGTATGCTGTATGAAAAGAATAAATTAGAGAAATTACTAGATAATAAATAATAAGAACGCATAAATTTTATGTATACGCATAAAAGATTTCCTATGAAATGTAAAACAATATTACAGCCAGATGGAATTCTACGATAACTATCATTACTACAACATTTCATTGAGTTGATCCTAGAGAGCCAGATAAAAAAAACTGCACCAATCACACAGTCAACAGTTAATCAAATGAACTCCAGGAAATATTTATCAAGAACTCTTAGCGAAAGCATTCAACTCTATCAAATTTGAATGCACTCTTTCCTAGTTCATAATTGATTTGTGAATGTGTTGTAAAAAGCATAAACAATCGCTCTTTATGGCAGATATTGGTGTTCTATAAGGCAGAAAGCAAGTAAGTCTTGTTAATTAAACACCTCTTCATGCTGTTCAAAATGAAGAATGTCAACTCATTCCCTTGGATACTAGAAATCTTTGTTAAAAACAATAAGCTTACAGAGATTGCACAAAATTAAAAATACACACAAAGACAATTAAGTTCTTAGGAATGAACTATTTAGATAGCAAAAACTGAATTACTCATTAACAAACCATGTTATACTCACTTTTTTCAATTGATTATCATTTGACAATGAATAATTCGATTGATGTTGGTGTTGTTGTTCATGAATACAATGACCATTGGAATGATGATTACTAAATCGAAGTGTTTGTAATTCATCAGTTAAATTAGCCATATGTTTAGCCATTTCATTGACTTGTTTCACTGTATTCAATTTGGTCAATTCTAATTGTTGTTTTAATTGTTCATTGTATTGTTTCATTGTTCTGAGGTCATTTTGTTGTTTTTGATGTAAATGAAGAAGTTGTAAAATCCATGGAATAAGTGATTCCAGCTTGAAAAGAGTAAATGATTATCAATGAATAGAAAGTCAGTCAGTTAGAACATAGAACTTTGTATGTACACACTCGCATACATCAATTCCAGTTGCCATGCGGCATTGGCACAGAGAGATCGAATTGCCAATTTAAATCCCATTGTAGTAGAGGCAGTAGAAAAATTAGCGGTAAAAGAGAAGATTAGGCTTTGAAGATATTACACAAGAAATATCATTCAGTGAGATAGATTTAGCAAGAGAAAGAAAGAGATGATGAGGAATCCAGAAGATTAGAATTTGAGACAAGTTGAAGAATAGATACATTTGCGCCATTGAAAATGGTTTCCAGCCATGTCGTTCAAGGACTTTCACCATTGGTTACGATTATCCAGAGAACCCCAACCACATAGTCTGCGTCTAATAACATGGCTCAGTTCCTTTGTCAGTAACTTCATGGTTTTGAGTCATGTTTTGGTATGGCTGCCGTAGCTTTCTTCCAGCCTACTCCTACACGACAAAACATAGCTCGTCGAGGGAGTCGTTGGTTGGGTATATGTGAAACATATTCCATCCATAACTAGTACTCGTTTCTTGACTATGGCATCGCTTACTTGGTAGTCCCAAGATATACAAGAAATGCTTCGAAGACACCTATGACCGAATACCAGTGACCTAAAAATATCGTCTACCCTATCTGGTCACGTTTTGCACGGACAGAGAGAATAGAAAGTTCATTTACGATGAACATTGAAGCATATTTAAATTAGATTTATATGTTAAAACAATGGTAACTCTCATTACGTTCATTATGATTAGAATAGAATAGTGTATACTACTCTAAACAATTTTTAATATGACTTGATCAACATCGACTTACGCATTGTCTATAGAGATTTCAAACACAATTAAAAACCATTTTGTGAAGAAGTGTTAGTGTTTACTTGTATAGTTACAAATAACAATAGTTTATTATAATTTGATAGATTTGTTTGCACAACTGATGCGTCAGATTCTGTTTCTGATGACTAATTGTTTTATTCTATATTATTTTATTTAAACGCATAATTATTAATACAAATAGACACCTAAATATATATTCATCATATAATTCATTGGATTTGCTTGTGGCATAGAGTACCACTTGGACGCCCAAACCGAAGTACATGATTTCCTTAGGAGACCATTCCCTAAGCCTTTGACCAAAAGGTCTCATCCACAGAGCAATGGAGCAACAATAGGAAGTGGAATCGCGTGGTAGCATGTGATCATCAATAGATTCACACTCCATTTGTTTCCAGAGGATCCTGGAGCCCATGAGCACCAGTGATTTAGAATCAGCGTTTTCCAACTCCGGTGGGCGGATCTTCCATTTTGAGCTTTTCTATACATACGTTTCTGTTCTCTCACTTTCGTAGGAAACACTCTAGCCATGAAAGGGAAGCAAATATAACTTCACCGGTAGTGGTTATACACGCGTGATCAAGTGAGAGCATTTGGAGATGGATGTTGGAATCTTCCCGCTTTCGACTGTACCCAGGGCATTCGGAAACTATGACTGATTAACTGAATGTGTATCATTGATGCAAGGTAAAAGGTTGAAAAGTACTCTGTCGATCAGTTATCATCAATGAAAGCGATCGCTAACATGAGAATAGACATAGAGAATCCCACAGAATATAATACATTTACACTTTCACAAGGTGTAGTAGTGTGTGTGTGTGTACGTGTAACAACATTCACTAATTGGTACGAATATATAAACATACAAATTACTAATGAACAATATTTTCACATAAAAATTGATTTATGATAAGCAACAAATACTGATTTTATTGTCAATAAATTAAGTATATTCATAGAAATGAATATATTAATACTATATATTTTTCTACAAAAACAAAGTGATGGTTATGTGAACAATAGCTAGTTGAATTTTATTCATTTAGATGTGGGTTCGAATTCCACTGCAAACTATCAACTTAGCGTTGAAACAATCGAACAGTATTGTAACGTCCCTATTTACAATGGGAACTGTTAAGTTAGTCACTAGGTACGCTTGAAGTTATTACGAGTTTGTAGCACCTCACGTGTATCTTGTACTTTTATCATTGTTGAGCTTGTATGCGCATGTACGCTTGGGCATTACTTGCCACCTACACATAGAGTTATTTGACTAGCTGTATCGATTAATAGTTTGAATAATTCGATGTCAATATCGACTATACATATTTGAATTAAATCTGATATTTGTATCGATCATTAAATTATTTGAATAATAAAGAAGTTGTGGCAACGACTCGTGTTCTCTAGTAGCGATCATCAAGACGGAGATATACGGAACTTCGAAGATAACGAACTTCCAACGCCACAATAAATTGGTTAGCCCGAGGTGAGAACACAACGCCGTTTCCTACGACTTCAAAGGAATACGTCTCCGTCTACATTCGATCTGTTACTGTGGTCTTAATTACTTTTGCTGAATAGTATTATCGTATTTTCATTTGACCTTTATTATTTCATCCATATTGTTGAAAATATTTTGACAAGTGGTATGGCAACATGAACTTATGTACATACGTACGAATTTCTACGTTGCAACTGACTGACTGACGAGTAATGCCCAAGCGCACATGCGCATACAAGCTCAACAATGATAAAAGTACAAGATACATGTGAGGTGAAATCTCAAGGTCAGCTGACCAGCCCATGCTCGCAAACGTGAAATCCAAGATAAGGCATTCAACAAGCGAGTTCTAGGGATCTAACATCCCCAACAGGAACCGAGTAGATGAATGCCCAATTAGTCATTGCTTAATGCTGATTAATTGATTGCACTGCTGCGGTCGCTTTGACTTCATTATTTATCGTCTCTGTATAAATCTTTTAGCTTTGCCCGTTAGTTTAATTCACTGTTTTAATTAATGCGCTTATTATTTTTTCCTAATTTACTCTTCATTTTGTCGATTTCCTCTTTTTCTGAGCTGATTACGTGATCTTGGCGTTGTTTATAATTGAATGCAATAGGTCAACCTAATTATTTAGTGCACAATATAGAGTAGTTATACAATCTAGGAAATCTTCAAAGTAACGCTTGTTGTATTTAACAACTGAGTGTAGGATTATCGAAGCGGTGAACTAAGTGTGATAATCAAAACACAAAAACTTTTAGTAAAGGTGCAATATGGCTGGTATCGGATTTTAGAACAACTTTTTCGTCCTACTTAGTACTCATCAGCCAGATTCAATTATATCCTAGTGTTGATTTGTCCCCTTGAGACTCAGACGTAGAACACTGACCTATCGAATACCAGAGGATAAAGCCACATATACAACTACGAAGAATCATATTCCTTAGACAACATATCACACTCTACATGCATTCTTCAACAATGAAATAGATTGCCTAATAAGTAGGAATACGAATGAAGTTTGCGAGTCGATAAATTTCTATTGTACCAACATCAATCATTTGAAATGTTGACTTCTGTTTCAATTGATTTCTATGAATAATTACATTTTTCTACATGGAGGTTACATTTATACAAATAATCTTATAGTTTTTACAACACAGACATTTCTCACATTACACAATTAACCAATTAATTTAGACAATTATAAATGCATAATAAATAATTTGAACAAATATATTTTAGCAATAATTTCGATAAAACATAATAATCATGCAAAATGTCAAGCTTACTTCATCCTGTAAGAGATTAGCTCTTGAAGCGAAATAAATTGATTCTTCAATGGCTGTGTGTAAACGTTTCATTATCAATTCATTGGTATGGGAAATTTCTTTAGATTTTTCACTGCCAACACTACTGGATAATTGGTTAGGACCGTTTAAATTGATCTCTTGACTATTGTGAACAGTGAGCTTAGCGTCGTCTGTTGTTTCGGATTGCTTCAATCAGAAGAAAAACAATTGGAACAAGTGCACAGTATACATTTATAAAAAAATAGCATCCAATTCAAGGCAGGATATTTATGCAGAATAATTATCATACAAGAAAAAAAAATGGGAAAAATAAAAAAATTAATGATGATACAAAATTATTATATGACAGTTGTTGGATGTAACACCAGTTTGTTCGAGTCCTACTATACAAGACAGGGGCCCACTAGAGAGTGAGTGATAAGACTGAAAGGTCTGAGGGTGAAATTTTATTGTTGACTGTACTGGTAAGCGATGGCCTTAGGGTGGTTCACTCAGGTAACCAGCTTTCGCAACGATTCTGACTTCCTACAAGGGAAAGATTGGCCTTAAAAAGCCCAACTTTATATTGTCCCATCAATTTCTGTTATCAGTCACAAAATGTGAAAAGTGTAGAGCAAGAACATTAATTACAAACTTCTCACAGAAAGATTAGTGTATGCGAATGGTTTTAAGCAGTTGTCTATAAAGCTCTGTGATCACATTGTCAGCTAGCCGAAACTATATACGATCCAATATCCTTTTCAGATCTTTTTGGAAGAAATATTTTTTACAGTTTGTGAAACTAGAAAATAAAATCCACTTAAAAGCCACAAACAACAATACAGATCATGTTTTCACAACTAACTAATTGGCTCACTTTCGAACAGAGCGGTAAGAACGATCCCTAATTAAAAAGGGACACTAAATTCGATACCGAGAATAAAGAACGAGTACGTTTAAATTAGAGGTAAATAACAACAATATGCATAACTAATTAACTAACTAACTAACTAACTTGTTGTTCTTTTAATCGACGCTTACGTTCAAGTTGATATTGCAATGAAGCTTCACATAATTGACTTTCTAATTGTGTAATACGATTAATAAGAATATCATCGATTCTTTCTTTATCTATTATTGACAATTTTCTATTAGTTTTAATTGAATTCATCCAATTATTTAATAATTGTACAAATTGTTCAGTTAATTTCTCTTCCGTTTCTACAACTAATCTCCAATCTTCATCTGATGAAGTTGGACTATTAAGGGTAGTAGAAGTAGTTGTAGTACTGACATTATTATTATTATTAGTAGTAGTACTGGCAGTGGACAATGTAGTTGTTGTCGTTGATGTATCCTCAGACAGTAATGAAGAAGGAGACGGTATTCTTGAAGATAATGGCGATGACGAGGCTTTAATTGGAACCAAACTTGAGCTGGATGATGTATGATGCATATTGAAAACATCATGACAAATGTTGGAGGGATATGAAGAAGCTGAAGTCGTTGAGTTACTATTAGTTACAGTGGAAAGTGAATTGTGTTTTGTAAATTGGGTAGTTGTATAGGGAGTATCTGGTAGTTTTTTTTCATCCAAATTACTATTTAATTCCTAGTATTGTATAAAATAATAAGACTAAAAATAAGTAGTACACAAGAGTATCAGCAAATAACTAATCAAATTAAAAAAAATTATAAACACATACAATCTGTAGGTACCAGACTATAAGTAAGAAGCCGTTAACTTATGGTTTATTAACAAGACAAGTGTTTACCTTAACAGGTTCACTTTCTTTATCGAAATTATGATGAATACACACTGCTGTAATTGTTTAGATAGTAGCTTTGACAATTATTCCTCCATTTGATAACCAACCGAACAAGATAGTTTGATTAAACGCAGGTTGGACAAAAAACATTAGTTTCAGCCGACGTGCCGTTATACTCCGGCCATGAAGAAGAAAATACTCCACATACACAAGGTGTTTCATTGATGAAGCTGAAACTCATAAAGCACTGGACAATGAGGCGAACAGCATCACAAAAGTTTATTACGTCCTTTCTTTGGGATACTGGCAAACCCAGTGAATTCAAAATAGTGCTCAACAATAAGTTCCAGGCCTTTCACGATCTATTCATTAAAGAGGAAACTACCATGGAGAACAACTGGAAAGGAATCGAAGATGCAAAAGCTTTAGCATGTCATGAGGTTCTGGACGACAAGAAGCACCATAACAAGGAATGGATCACTGTTAATAATCTGAGTAATACTCAAGAAAAGAAGAACAGGAAGGCAGCAATCAATATCAGTCGAACTAGACCGGAAACAGTCGAGGCATAAGGTTAACACACAGAAGCAAACAAGTGAAGAGGAGCATCAGAGCTGATAAGCAAAAATATGTGCAAAACCTAGCAATAATAGCAGAAAAATCTGCAAGAGACAACTACACGATACAACGAAGATCGCTAGAAAATACAGTAAACTAGAGCAACAGATTAAAAACAAGGGAGGCAAAACAATCACCTACTTTGAAGAACAATGAAACAGGTGATTTTAGCGCTTTGAAGAACAACTGAATCGACCAGCCCCACTGGACTCACCCAACATCAAAATATCATCACCCACGGACCTCCCAATCGATGTTGACCTACCAACAATTGAAGAGATCACTATGGTCATTAGAAAAGTCAAGAGCGACAAAGCAGCGTGACCAGACAACATTTCGATTCAGAAACTGAGAGCAGACGTAACGGTAACTGTAAAGATACTCCACATTTTCTTCAGCAAGGTTAGGGATAAAGAACAAGTATCAACAGACTGGAAAGAAGGACACCTCATCAAGATACCGAAAAAAGGAGATCCCGGCATGTGTAAAAACCACAAGGTATCACTCTTCTCTCAATACCAGGATATTCTTCAACAGAGTGTTATCAAACCGAATAAAGGATTCCGTAGACATCCAACTTCGAGATTAGCAGGCTGGATTCCGTAAGGATCGATTATGTACCGGCCACATCGCGACACTCCTAATCTTTGTAGAACAACCAGTTAAATAGAATTCAACACTCTACATCAACTTCGATAGATCAAAGACTCGTCCCAAGTGAAGACCGGTGTCAGACAAGGTTGTTTACTTTCATCCCCTTTTTCTTTCTCTAGGTGGTCGACTGGACTATAAAGACATCAACATCCGAGGGGAAGCTCGGAATGTAGTGGACTGTTAGGATGAAGCTGGACGATTCGGACACAACAAAAAATGAAGATAAAGACAACCAGTGTAGCAGCAGTAGGTCTCAACATACACAAGGGGAAAAGCAAGATCCTCCGATACAACACTATATGCACCGACCGAATCACACTTGACGGAGAAGCTCTGGAAGATGTAGAAACCTTTATATATTTGGGAAGCCTCATTGATGAGAAGGGTGGATTGATACAGATGTGAATGCTCTGAATGGCAAATTAAGGACAGGATTTCTACAGTCGAAGAACATCGGGAACTCACAATCAATGAACACCAAAGTCAGAATTTTCAATACAAACACCGAAACAGTTCTACTGTAGGGGCGGAAACTTGGAGAACTACAAAAGCCAAAGCCATCATCTAGAAGATACAAGTGTTTATTAACAGTTGTCTACACAAGATACTGTGGATCCATTGGACAGAAATTATCAGTAACAACCTGTTTTAGAATAGATTACATTAGATTCCGGCAGAGGAAGAAATTAGGAGGAGCTGAAGGTGTACGTAGGATATACATTGAAGAAAACACCCAACTGCATCATTAGGAAAGTCCTGAGCTGGAATCCTCAGGGCCAAAAGAAAGAAGGTAGACTAATAAAGAACCTCTAGTGGCAAAGGTGTTGTTTACGGAATTGAGAGGATAAAGAGTGTCCGGTAAAGTTTTAATCTGGCTGGTGGGGTAGAGAAGATCCACCCACGACAGTTGGAGAGCTAATTTCAAACTAATCATGCACATGGGCCTCAGGATTCTCAGGGAAAAAATTGAGTGTGGATCTATTATTAGTCACCGGCTAGCATGAAACTGCACTTCCTATCGTTGCTACTTTAGCTTGTGGATTAGATCTCTAGGTTAAAGGCTCGAGGAGTAGCTTTCTAAGAAAACCATATTCCTAGGTTTAGGCATCTGAGCAATGTCTCAGCTTCCCAAATTCAATGATCTATGTGACTCATACTTATTCTACGTGCCCCTCTGTATCAATAATTATGCTGATATAAAAACATAAATTAACCTCTCTAATCACTTAGAAGAGTCGCACAGAAGCAGTACAAAATCACTTGATCGATATGTCGATTTGAAGAAAGGTTGAATGATGATAATTGATTATTTAGTACTCAAATTCTTAAAATTTCTAACAATATATACATATATTTTCAGTCCCGTATAAGTGAATGGCATTGATTAGACTGGTTATCAAAAGCAGAAAGTATTAGACGGATATTTCGTCCGAGAATCAGATGATGATACGGTGTGGTCGATTGTTAACTACTCACAAGAACAGAATTATTGACTTAAGCCTGTGCACAGTTGTAAGCGAAAACAAAAGGAAGAATTTCAAAAGAAAGAAAACATACTAACCTGAGTAGTGATTGAATTCTTCGCTTCTGTATTTACATTGACAGTATTGGTGAAGAAGGATAGTTGATTTGAATTGTCATTATTATTATTATTATTAGTATTCAGTAGTAATGATAATTTGGTTGAGTTTTCATGAGTGATTCCATTTAGTGGAATCTGTTGTTTATCAGTAAGAATATTATGATTGATCAATCTTAATTGTTCAATTTCTTGTTTCAATTGTTCAATCTGTAAATCTTTTTGTACTATTTTATTCTAGATACATTTTTTCCACATTACAATGTTGAAAGAAGACAGAGAATGAGTAGCAAATCATTGTGAAATGTTTCAGTTTTATAAAAAATATATATTCAAGTAGGAATTGAGAATCATTTTGGTTTCCACTGTTATTTACCAGTCCGTTAAATTTAGTTATACTAACAATTTTATCAAATTGATGGGGGGTGTTACAATCCTATGAAAACTTAAACAGCATGATTTCATCTTATAACAGTAATACATTTTAGATAAGATAAATCTCAGTAATCTATTTACATTAGTATAATATAAAAAAAATTTACATATACCTTTGTTAATATATATCAACAGAATGAATTATTTTACTTGTATAGATCACATGAACACTTTGATGGCCAGTAATGTGAAATTTTCATCAGTAATGTTATTTTTGTGTGAGATTATCAATCAATGTTGTTTACACAAAAATGCTATACAACTCTCATTGAAAACATGGATCGAAATCTGAATATAATAAAAAGAAAATCAACTTATAACTAAAATGTGTATCGAAGTGACTTGTTTTAGAGGAAATAGAGACGGATTAATTGTGGAACTTGATATCAACGAGGGGGAAATGAAAAAGAACATTTTTACATATATTGACATATTTGAATTACAAACACATGGAACTTGTCAGATACATAAGTCAACTGGAGTGATAAACACCGTTCTAAAAGCTTGATGATACAATGATTTTATTCTTTTAAATATACTCACTGTCTCATCTGTGCGTTCGTTGTTTAAGATGTTCCTAGGAGTCTTTACAAGTCTGACTATCGAGACGTTTCTTCATTTTACATAACCTTACCAACCCCAAGTATTTATTGAGATCATGCGCAAATACATTTCTTGTAAATATGATTCGTTAGAAGTGTTTCTAATGATATATCATTAGTCAGAAAGCACGAGAAGCAATACAAATTCGATGTTCTGATCTTTACAGATGGACAGTCAATATTGCTCTATGTATAATTCTGTTAAGATCCCTCTCTATATAATCCAGGTATTATTATTACTTATCTACTGAGATACTGCATGAACGCATTATTAAAATAATTCATACATAAGACTAGGCTTCTTATAAGTAAGTAGATGATAGTGAAAAGAAATCCTGATTAAAATAGCTAAAAATCGATTGGCCGTTCCTATTATGGTCGTAAGAACTTTTGTATTACAAACCAAATTCGTTTGAGGCTACCAACTAGTCAACTACATTTTCGTATTATATATGAAGGATATTCTATGAGATATACCTAAGATTTACGATTTAATGTTGAAGTACTATATGTCCTTAGGCTTTTATAATAGTTTACCTGTGAGACCATCGTTCTGGGGTTTAAATTTAGGTCTTCAAATAATGTATCTGTCTAAGGACTGTATACATGGACGTTAACTTTATTACTACTGACTTATGAGGAATTTTTAAATTGTAGGTTAGTGAAAAAAGTTGAGTTTTATAGTTTACCTACATAAACAACGCGTAGACAACTAGAGAGTACAGGGCAGCTATTGTATCTTAGTATGGGACTCCTCCAATAAAAAGTTACCAATACTATAGAATGAAAGCATTGAGATAACAAATGACACGCACACAAACACCCACCTGTAATTGTTGACTTAATTCATTATCTTTCAAAGTTTTATACTTCGTACGAAGCTGTAAAGTAGACAATTTATTGTAAACAATGACAGAAAAACAAACAAACCTTTTTAAATTCCACACATAATCTTTCATATTTACTTTTTAATTGCTGATAATCATCCATCACTTCTTCTTAATTTATTAAAATATTAATGAATATAAGAACATGTATAAGCTTACATGCATAATTATGAAATTTTTATTTGGGCACAATTTTCTTTGTTATTCGAAGTAACCTAGACGAAGGAAGAAAGTACTATCTTTCTTCATCACCACGAACATACTGGCACATAAATTGGGTAAACGAATCACTAAAAAAAGTGTAGAAAACAAACAATAAAGTGGATGGTCACGTCTATACCATTAGATGGATTAAAATTCTTAAGTCTGTGAATCCTATTATCTGATTCAGAAGATGATGAGTGAGTAATAGTGATCTGAGAATTTGCCAGTCTAACAGTTTATATATTTTTAGAGGACGAGTATGAGTTAAGAATTTGTATTGTTTGCTCAAGTCCGAGAAACTATTTAGGTATGGTGAGCTGTTAAAATATATATATATATATATATATAATATGGGAACATGACGTGTTTGCTAATTGTTACAAAACATAGAAAACCATGACCTACGTTTTGTGCTATTCGTCCCTTGTCATTAAGGTATACGTATTGTCTTGATAAAAATGACTCCTGTGTGGTTTCTGTCCTCGTTTTTGTCGACTACCAGTTTATTCGATGCAGAACAGGATGTGATGGCACAACTTAGAGGTCTTATCCATGGACTGATAGAGTAACGATAGATGCAGTCCCATGGTAGTCTGTGACCATAAATAGACTCATACTATTTGTTCCCTGAGGATCCTGGAGCCCATGGGCACCACTGATTTGGAACGAGGGTTTCCTAATACTCGTTAGTGGGTCTTTCGTACCTACCAACACGATTTGGGCTTTTCTGGACATTTGCTTTTCGTTTTAATTTAGTGAACAACGACCTTTCCACAAGAGGGCAGTGAACATAACTTGAATGGTAGTAAGCATATGCGTGAGGCCATAAGAGCGGACTTTAAGGGAGTAAGTTTCTTCCACGTCCAGAAGTACCAGAAACTTCGGGCGACCGTAGAAATCGTTATTTACTAATTTTAATGATAATACATAGTTTATTCACAAGGAAACAGCCATGTTCGAAACTACGATCAAAAAAGTTAAACTTCTTTATATTTCCCACATGAACAAATGACGAATCAAATCTAGAGCATTTAAAACCACGATTCAAGGCCTAATATTTCACTTCTTCACTTAAGATTATCATTTGCTCGTTAGAACCAGAACTAATAGAAAATACGTTTCTAGCAGGGAGCTATAGTTGTCATTTTTATTCTATCCAGATAACAGGGGGGGGGATAAATGCGTTTATCAATGATCCTAAATTACAACTGCTAAGTGGAATAGTTGCATCACTTCTGAATCGGTTATGCTGTGATGAGCATTTTAATGTTTGTAAACCATAAAAAGGCGAAAACTAGTGACACGTCTGACGACTCTTAGAATTAGAGATAGGTTCAAATATTTGTAGGTGCGTGGTCGAAAAATCCACCCGAAGTGAGGAGCATGAGGATATTCAACTACCAAAAATAAAAATTAAAACTAGATGAGTTTCACATACTAGGGAGTATTTTTTCACTTTAGAAACTCTGAGAGCGATAGACATACACGGAGATAGCTGTACGGATATTTTATTCCTATATCTTTTTCACGAGATATCATAAACCATAAGATACTTTGCGCTCCCTTGTTGTTTCGGCACGGCTCCAGGAATATGAAATATCAACGTCAACCCGAACTTAGATATTTATCGGCCATTAGCTTAAAAAATAACAGGTTAATATAATGATCATGTGTTGAGTCTGATGCAGTATAAAGTGAGCAGACACACCCTATAAATATAAAAAACAACTTGCTGAGTAACGCAGAGTCCAAACTTTGTGCATGATACAGTATCCAATATCCAATATAAACGGGTTGATTTATTTGTGCTAGATTCTTGTTCCTTTAGTAAAAATCCAGGTGTTTGGTAATGTCCAGTGATCTGGAGTCTAGCCAATCAACTGTCTAATTTTAGTCAGGTGGCAGTTGTTTGTGAGTATGTGTCCAGTGATTTGAAAGACTATGTTTGTTTCAGTGCAGTAGGATTTCTGGATACCAGCAACTATCACATTACCAAATTGTATATCAGTTAGTTGTAATGTGAGGAATAATAAAGGGGAAAACTCCAATGCTAGGAAGAAGAAGATTCCAGATCTAATTAAATAATCATATAATTTAGTTTATTAATTGGTTTTGATCATTGTGCGTAAGTGTAAGCAAGGGAGAGGAAAAAAAGATGATATGTGAGGTAGATTAACTGAGTGATCTGAGGAGACGGCATTAATAATGAATAGCAAGTCTTAGGGCGTGCATCAAGTACAGCTCGTCCATGACGGATAAAATAATCCGTATATGTGAAGTGATTATCAAGTCTCTTCTTAAAGCTGTCCACTGAGGTAGCTGTGGTCACCTAAGCTGGGAGAGCATTCCAAGTTGCAACTACTATAATGATAAAAAGTGTGCAAAAACCTGAGTATTCACTATTTGATGAGCAGTTTTTCGAGGACTGTCTCGAAGGAAGTGGTGGTGATGGATTGGTAAGATACTGACGTTGGGAGGATTACGTGTGCTTAACATGTTGTACGCCGTAATCAGATAACCTCAGATTCTCCTGTGATTTGGCGGGAATAATCACAAATGCTGGAGTCTGTCTTAGCAAGCTTTATCTTTCAACCCTATCACCCTATTGGTGAATAACCAATCTCTAAAGGGAGCAGTCAATGACCGCGAAAAACTTGGCTAAAACTTTTCCATTGGAAGTGTATAAAACGAAGTTAGGAAATCTTGTGGCAAAATGGTGATATAACTACTTTCACTAAACCAGCTAGGTGCGCTTATTCACGTAAATTTCTATCCAACTTTTTTAGTTACTTGCTTAAAAATGGGCATCATCAAAACTTACTTTTAGTGTACACAGGGTACACAGAACAGGAGGCGGAGCGTCTCTATATATTAACAGCCATTTCGAAGCCAGAAAACTACACGGAAACCAACTAACTGATGTGACGGAATCATACTGGTGTCGCTTCAACATGAATGACACAAAATGGTTGGTTGGAGATGTTGATTGTCCCTGTGAGGTACAGAGGCCGGGAAAGATAAATTGACCGGAGTAATACTTCAACTTGAGAGAACATCTACTCATCTCCACATAGATGAGGGAATGGTTGAGGCTAACAGCAGAATTACTGGCAAACGATTAGAGACACCATTTGGAATGCTGTCCTACACAATGTACATTAGGGAAATCACATATAGGGAAAGAAAAAAACCTGGGTTAAGCGGGACAGTGAACGCTTGCTACAATCGAAAAGAAGAGTTTTGGGACAAGCGGAAGTTCTTTTTGGAGGATTTCGACCGTACTTACTACTTGGAAATGAAAAATCGATTTCATGGACGAAGGTCAAAGTGATAGAAGACACTTCTAGATGAAGCTAGCTGCCAAAATATGGGAAAATTTTAGATATCTGTTTGAGTTCATGACCAAAAGGAAACCTACGAATCAGGGTGTTTTTGTCCTAAAAGGTCCAAATGGTAACGAGCTCACCTACATAGTGATGGCTGGGACTATAACACCAACTTCATTGATCAGTTAAACCAGGTCGCTACAGGTTCATAGTTCTTATCTAGTGCCAGCTGATGGCCTAAGAAATAATCAGCTTACTGTCAACTAAGTACTGAGAAAACTAAAATCCTTGAGTCCAATAAAGTCACCAGGATGTAACAATATTCGTCCTATAATCTTGAAGTCGTGTTTTTAGAAGGCCTCGCCAGATATGTGACCTGTTCATGTATTCACTGGAGCCACACCAACTCCCAGCTGGACATAAACAAGCAACCACGTCTACTAGTTATTGCACAGGTTGCAAAAATAGGTTTCAATGATCCATTTTTATCTTGCCTAAAAAACTACTTAGAGAACAATAAGTTTCGTACCATGGCACATACAGTGCACATGAGTTGATGAGTCTCGACTTCAGGAGTTTCATAGGGGACTATCTAAGGTCCAGTCCTCTTCCTAATATTCATTACCTCAGCGGCAATGATCTACGAAAACGATCCAAAATCTGAAGGTCCATAAGATAAAAAGAAGATTTATCAAAGCTTCAAATAGACCTTACAACAATAGAGGAATGGGTAGTGGAATACTGGTTTAAACTTAGCCAATCAAAATATCATGTCGTAAACATGCGTTCGGGATAAAGAAATCAAACAAAAAGAGAAAGGTGTAGCATGCATGTAGTCTGGGTAAAAAGTCCGATACCGTATCCGTTACTGTTTGAGATCTAAGTCGCGGCAGCGTACAGGTAAGCTTACACGGCGAATGTGGTCTCTGATGTATCTTGCATGGGGTCCGAAGGAGAAATTTGGATCTCGCTAGTGAGTCGAACTGATCTAGCATTGGGTCTCAGCTTATGAGGCAGGGCACTGTCATCAACGTGTGCTGGTTTGAGACGAACACTGCTGACTGTGTCCACCAACCTTGAAGGTCTTTTCGTGACGAGAGATCACGTGAACTGTGGGTGTTATATTCGAGCTCACACCAAACGCAGTGTTCGCATCTACGCAGATAATCGTTGGACGTTATCGGATTTACATGGAACCGTCGAAACGAATTTGTCCAGTGCCAATCGGCTAGGTTTTGCCGTGACTGCGGGTCTGTAGCTGACGATGTGGCTTACCACATAATTATCGCCGATAGAATCTACTCGTCACTGTTACTTCGGGGAATTTATGAACCACAACGTGAAATAAATAATCATACGAAAAAATACATTAGTGGTTCGGTAGACATCTGTTGGAGCGTTCAAACGCATGGATTTGATATTCGACATAGTGTCGATTAGCTGCAGCGTACGTGAATTGAATAACAATTGACAGAGCTGTACAGGATCCATACCGACTACGGCTACGGGAACATCAGCAAGGACGAACGTCCATAGATACTGTCGTCGACTATTCAGGTTGATCGTTAGCTGTCGTGTACAGTAGGTAGGAACGACAGAGCCACTCGCAGTGCGTGGTCGAAGCATCATAGCTAGTGACTTGCTGCTCCCAAACGATACGACAGAATCTCAGGCACCTGTGACCACAAAGTGCCTAGCGTTAGTACAAAAATCGTGCACGTCGAATAAACTAACAACCTGAAGTGACGAGGAGGAGACAGGTGAAGATGCAGTGACCTACACCTCGGAGTCCATTATGATTACTGTTCACCATTCCGAAACGTTGTTGCAAGTGTAATATAGATTAAAGGACATTAACAATAGTAAAGCAACTTTACAAAAATGGCGATAGATGAATAATATACTGACCGTAATTGGCTTCTTTGAACATACGTAAGCTCACCAATTTTAGTGAGTCGGGATTAACGGTTACCGTAAAGATAAATAAATCCAGGGTAAAGAATGTGTACGCTTTCAATTTCGTGGTGTCGAAAGAACACCGAAATCAACCAGAAAAGTGGGCGAAATTAAAAAGCCATAGAGCAAAGAATGCCAGCAACACAAAGAGAAAATTTGTATGCAAATACTGTTATAAACAAAAAGTACAGTTAAACAAACACTTGTATAATTGGTTGTAATAATGAATTTTTCTATTGAACCGAACTCATTCTCTTCATAAAGGTGGATCCCCTACACTATAATAAGCATAGAAATATGAAGCTAATCAAAAAGTTGGTCTGTAAGACGCCAATAATTTATCTGGTCAGCGGACACTCTTTACCTGCCGTTAAGAGCGAGGTTATAATAAGCTGTCACTGTCGTTTATTTAACTTATTTACATGAGGAATCATGGTTCAACAGGGTTCCAACTAATAAAAGCTTTTTATAGCCTTCTGCTTTAATGCACACAGGTTATTTACAGTGTGTATATTTACTCCCAGATTATGGCACGTTCTGAGAAATAAAAAATCTATGTAGAATATGAAACTTGTTTGTTAAACTTGCACTTCTCATTTTACTTCAGAGGGACCGTGTAGCATTTCCTGTGATCTAACTGATTTAATTTATCTGTTCAAAAGAAGACAGTTTATAATTTTTGATTTCATTATGGTTCATTGGACAGGTGATCAAACACCTGACAGCCGAAAGGATGTTAAGAAAATCACTCTTCATCAAAATTTTGTTAGGTATCTCTCCGGGAGCATTTTCTCAGATATTCTTGTTTGTTTTAGTATTTTTCATGCACCTACTAGTTCTGATTTCTATATCGAGGGCACGTGCAACATATTGGGTGAGATAATTCGTGGTACTGAGCTAAATGGTAATGAAATTAGATGATAAATAAGGGCCATATGTTACAGCTGTAGATGAATTCTGAGTATTGGGTAAAGGGCATTCTCATTGTTGGGGTTCAGAAATTATTGCTAGTGTGCACCAATATAGCCCAAACATGACAAAAGCTATCAGCATTCTATCGTCAGTATATCTATACCGCGATTGCAGGAACATTAAGATTTAGTGGTATCACTAAGCTAAGACTTCATAACATAAAACATTCGAATGCAGCAGCCAATAAAGGTTTCGAGTGCAGTGGTCACTTTGTTGAGCATTCAAATGCTTTGATGAGCATATGTTTTATATGCCACCCTTTTGAGACCTAATGTAAGTACCACATTCAAATAACTGTTGTGTGCCTAAATTGCTATCATATTCAAACGCTTCATGCGTGTGAGATCTAAGTTAATGAAATTTTTTTCCAAAACTCCACTTCGGTGAGCTCTCAAAATGGCTAAACTATTTCCCTCTTCGTTCAGTGCAGAGTAATTTTATACTTGCATCACGTATCTTGGGTATTACGAGGTTTTGTCATTTTGCTCCCTCCAGAAACCGTCTCCTCCAAGGATATTGGAAGAAGATTCAATAAATGTGGTCGATAAACTAAGAATGGGTTTCCATTTTTATCGTTGGGTGATCATTGGCTAAAAAACCTGTGGTATCGGACCGGTCAGTTAGTTTTTTAAAAAGAAGCTTCAAGGAATAACTCTAGTTCTGAACATTGAATGTTCAAAGGTGACAGGATTCAGATGAACATAAAATAAGGTTATAGGGGTTATTCATGATCATATTGCTTTTCTGAAGGGTGTGAGGAGTTCGAATCTTGCCAATAAAAAATAGGAACACAACAACTTCAATAATGATTTCAGGCCTTAAAATCGGTTTGCATATCTACTCAAGAATGGAAACATACTTTCAAGTAAATCTGCAGTTATAAGCATGCTCATTACATACTTTAGTCACTTTTGCCCTTCAGTCTTGCAATTTTGCATGATTGGTTGAAGCTTCTGCAGTTTTAGTTTTACTTGACTACATTAGTTCGTACTCTAACCGCGCGAAATAGACACTTATCTTGATTTGTCAACAAGATGTCGTTGTTCTCCACACCTGCTTTAAACAATTATGTATCTAGTGCTACAACTTTTATCAAGAAGTCAATCGAGACAAAAGTATTTGATGATTCTGGATCGAAGGGCGCTTTTATTGTAAGTGTCTTCAAATGTTAGTATAATATCTATAAATATATAACTTGTAAGTAATATGTGTTCATTATATAAAGAGAGTGGGTAGTAGATCTCATTTTTAAATAAAAAGCATTTACTTATATTCTCTTACATACAGTCATTTATCAGTGCCTGGGCTTCAGGTACTTGATTATATACAATTTTAAACCCTTATTCCATTTGTTGAAATTATCTATAATAAGACAATACTTTGTTCCAAAAAGTTGAGTTTGAATCAGTTTTATCTTGTAATTTACAATGATAAACTCATCTACCCAGATTTTCGAAGTTGTGCAATGATGGCTGTCAATCCTTTTATAGTAAGCTGCTGTTTGCTTTTAATTTTCCGTTGATTGAGGGTACAAATGCCACTTTATCTTGCAGAATATTTCACAAGTTAATAACTTGAATCATTAACTCAACGCTTTAACTAACTAATCATAACGGTTTGTAACCTGGAATAAAAAATAAACTGCATTAAAAATAGATTATCAAACTTTTGCGAGGCCTACTGTAAGCCATTATTAAATGATCTTCTTGTTTGCTTTTATTACTTATTGGTTACTTCAATGCCCTATCACAGTGATGTTGAGTTCTCAATTCTCATATACATATAACAGATTTAAATGCAAGCATATACTTCCGTAGATTGTGAGAATATGATGACTCTGCTACCGGAAAGTGTTTTCGCTTATGAAGTTACAGTCACCACAGTAGTGTTGCCTATTGATTGGATTACATAACACCTGGGGAAAAATATATCAGTTCCTAACTTAAGTCACTGTCATGCACCCATAAATCGTTACCGTTAGACGAAGTGAAAAAATGCATCTATCTAAATCACAACTGGGATATTACAAATATATATTTCTCTTGTTATTAGATCTCCATATTCAGCGGCGCAATATATTTATGTCGAGGTATACAAGTCCTACCTAATATTTAGCTTCCTAGTTTCCATTTCACTTCGTCGATGGTGTATGGCAACTTGTAATAATGCAGATACGTATCAAATTCTATGTTTTTAACAACTGATTAGTTTGTTTGTTAACTAAATGTTTCGTGGTTTGCAGTGCAAAGCTACATTTTTTCATGTGACTTACAAAGATTTCCAGAGTTCTTCTGCATTAAATAATGCAGAATGACCGTGTAATTTTTTTACGCGCATATTTTGATGCAATAATACATAAAAATATCTCAAATTCATTGTTTCTAAAAGACACCACATATCTAGTTATTTATTTCAAATTTTCATTGTTTTACACATTTCTGGGAAGAGGAAACCCAGGAAACTAGACAGCATTTGTTTGAAAATTAGAATGGCCATCTAGCCTTGAATCTTACAGTTCAATAAGTAGATTTGTAACATTAGATATGATTTATCTGAACCAAGAATGTTATGTTTAAGTGATCTTAACTTGAAAATAAACCGAAAATGAATCAATTATGTACACGATAAATGCACTTTTTCACTAGATTATTAACTGATATTCATGAGAAACGATGTTTATCAGTAGGAGTAAAGCACTCACATAAATTAGGAACGTGACAAATTTAAATGTAGAACGAAGTCTCAAAATTTGAAATAACGTTGTGCTATATTCAAATTTAAGGTAAAAATATTTGAAAATATTTATGTTTTTAAATGTTTAGTAGGCAAAAGATATTTGTGATCTTGTTTTGAGGCTTGAATTATTTCTATTCAAGACTATTTTTTTGAAATCATTAATATCCTCAGTAATTGAAGTTGTGCATAACTGTTGTCATGATGGAATTAGATTTTATCCTTGTAGGTATGTCAGTTTATGTGCATTGAGAAAAATAACTTATGCTTAATCAAATAATTTGATTTTTAAACTGAATAGTTATTGCTTCAATTTAGTCGCATTTTATTCACGAAATAAACTGATTTAAACTAAAGGTTTGAGCTATGTTTAATTCTAACTCATTAGTGTAAAGGTGATGCAGTCACAGTGATGCCTAAAGGTCGTGCGTGTGCTCTGCTGATGAAACCTTTGATAAGACAAATATGTTCTTTATTGATTTCTAATTTTGTATGGTTGTTTAGACAACGTCTATTTAAGGCGCATAAATCATTCTCACATTGGATAGTCTCTAAAAGTATTCCTAGTGGCCTGGAACCTTGCCTTTTTTGTGGCTGAATACTCCTTAGTTTTCAGTGGTATCTCAACTAAGATCAGCCTGTAACAAATCTAGCTCATAAACTAAGACTAATCTCCACAGAACTGTTTCAGTTAGCGTATTTGGTTACTTAAAGCGAACTTAACCGAGTCTTATGAATCTGCTAACTAGCATTTGAATTTTTTCCAGAAGTACTAGGTTTCTATATTTAAACGTTTTGAGAACAAAGTTTTAGCTTAAGTGACGAACATTAATTTTGTGCTCTCAGTTCATAAGGTGTAATTGTCTTGACGTAGAGGTCAAATTAATCAAGATTAAACTCACGCATTCAGGAAGTGAAGTGGTCGTGCCCTTATGGTGGTTACGTTAGGGTAAATATTAGCATATTAAGTTGTCGAGTTGCAGAACCCTACCCCACCTATTTTCGTCTTTGGAAAAATTGTCAATATCACTAGCTTTCATACACAACTATGAGAGGATAAGCTATTCTTCAGTAGCTGAGTTAACACTAAGTGTTAATAGTTATAATTAAAGCACACTATATAATTGTGGGATAAATTAAGTAAATACTTTTCTTATTTTACTTTTCATATATAGGGGATGAATGCACCGATTATTGGACGTTATGGCATAACAATCACTTCAGGTGGTACAATTAATCTTGGTCGTTTTAAAGATCCAAGAGCAACTCTTCGTGATGCACGTGATAATAAAGTGGTTGTACCACCGGATTATGGTGGTACATCAACCAAGCCTATACCGGCTACAAGAGGCGGTGATATATCCTCTGCAGCATTATCTTATGATCAATTGAAAACACAGTTGCTCCAAAGCGGTAAATTATTTGAAGATCCAGAGTTCCCACCTAACGATAAAAGTTTATACTTTAGTCAGAAACCACCAAAACAAATTCAATGGTTACGTCCACATGTGAGTTACAGCTTTTTCTTTTAATAATCAGTTAATTGTGGTTATGTTCCATTTATTGAGTTGAAGATGTTTGTTAATTCAAATATTCACCTACATTTACTTGTTGATGAAATGGCCATGTGCATTATTCATTCACTAAATACTATTATGACTGATATGGAGTAAGTAACGTGGTTCTATCTTATCTTATGCTCACTGACGACATTAATTACTTCTACCGCCGAAAAAGTTTTTAACCTCTATATAGGTCATTTGATTTTGAGTAAGAAGCTTTTATGAGGTCACAAAAAAGATAGAAGCTCAATTTATTACCAGTTGAAATTTACTTGGTTGGTTTAGTAGAGATTTCGTTTAGTTTACAGTTCATTTCCATCACAAAACTGATACCAGTTACATAAACAATTGGAATATCAAGAAGTTTTCTAATCCCTCCATTTCCACTGTTATTTATCTGATAGCAACTTTCAATGAACAACCATTTATCTTTATGAAATCAACCATATTGAACAAATAACACATAATCAATTGTCTAAGTAACCTAATGAGCATATTCATTCAGTTTAAGTAATGGTTACCGGTGCATTAGAATAAGAAATGTTCCAAGGGATAAATGAATAATGACTAATAATAGAATTATTTAGCTCAACAAATTTAAACAAGTTTTTAACACTGAATTGATAATAATAAAATACACATAATTAAAGGATCCGAATTGTCGATAAGTATCGATGAAAGTTAAACTATGATTGAAAATGTACTGTTTTATTTATTCGTATTTATCTAGAAACACGAACCTTGGTATAAAGTGGTACCTATATATATATATATATATATATATATATATATATATATATATATATATATATATATATGAGCTACGTAGATCATTGGGTTTGTGAGGCTAAAACACTGCCAAAGCCCTAGAACATGGTTTTCTTAGCAGGCCACTCAGCGCGCCTTCAACCTAGAGGTCTAATCCACAAGATGATGGAATAGCGATACGAGATACACTCTCATGATAACCAGTGACAAATAACAGATTCAGACTGCGTTTATTCCGTAGGGATCCTGGAGCTTGTGGTCACCAGTGGTTTAAAATGAGGATTTTCCAACTCCCGTGGGTGGATCTTCCGTAGCTGTCAACCCTATTTTAGCTTTTTTCAGACATTCACTTTTGTCATCTCAATTTCGTAAACAACAGTCTTGCCACGAGAGGGCAGTGAATATAACTTTACTGGTAGTAGCTATACATGTGTGATTATGTGAGACCATTTGGAGATGAAGAGCGGACTCTTTTAGGGCTTTTGGCTTCGAAGGGAATAGATCAGTCGGAAGAGCCTGAGAATGAAGACTTACCGTTAGTTTGTTTTTGAAAATTCCAAAAAAATCCACTACATCATAAAGTTGAATCGTCTGGCCTGCTAGCTAATTTCGTTTTTTTTACTCGGTATATACTAATCAATAATAAGATTTAAGTTCATTATTGATCAGAAGAGTAAACTTACTTTTCCAAATAACTTAGAGTAGTACAAAATAAAAGCACTGTCACTGAAGCTATTGGATGAGTTAAAAAAACCCGGTATAATAATATGTACCTTGTAAATTTTGAAAACCGATAAGGGATAAATTCTAAAATCTTTTGAGATTTTATTAGCTGACATTGGGTTATTAGTACTTGCTTGTTACTAGAGCTTAGCTTTGACTTCATTATCAGTATTACGTTTACTTATGATGAACATTGTTTTTTTCTCACTTAAGGATGATTCGTTTGACTGTAAATATGAGGCTTCATTTTTATGGATATCATCAGTTCTATCATTTTTTTATAAGTTTGAGTCTCTGTTCATAATTTCTCATAACACTTATTATCGATTCCTTTATTCAGCAACAAATATGAGCTTTTGTGTGAATACTCCAAATCTTAAATAAAATTGACTTTTGATGTCGGTTGCTTTCCATGGGCAGGGCTCCATGCCACTGTATGCGATCATGTGGCATAGAGGTGGAGAAATTTCCTTTTCATTAAAAGACTTCATGGACAGGAATGCAACATCAGACAAAACTTTACCAATAAAATGTCTAAATATCATAATCCACACACTAACAGGCATCATTTGTAAATGAAATAAACATTCTCTAACATAATTTAAAGTTCTTACAACCATGCTAACCTATTTTAAATTCGAACAGTGAAAAATATTTAACTATGATTCGAAAGCCCTTAAATCTTCAAAATTTTGTAAATATTTATTCTTAAGTACTGAAATCCAACGACTTTGTTAGATCACATGTATACCTAATGTCAGAAAATGAGCTTAACGAAGTTCCTTAAGTTTTATGAACTGAATAATAGGTTTAAATTCAAATTATAATTTTCATTTCACGAACGTACTGATTATGAGTAGGTGCAAGCTATTTAGTTGGAGTCTGCGTGATCATCTCGACCAATGGTTGGGGACTTTAATAGACATTACTTAGAATCGTTTACAATGCATTTGCCTCTAATACTCCAGAAATTTCCCTAACAGTGCTAATAATGTGAGGTCTTTTGAAACGATGCACACATATGCTAAGATCTATGTTGCCTATAAACGACCGAAAATAATTTCAAACGGTCTCGCTTCTGCCCACCTTCAAACATACTTTTAAGTGATTTCAGTGCTTACATGAAATAGGATGGAGAGATGTATTTGACAAGAAGGCCGTTGTTTACCCACTTTCAATGTAAGACCTTATGAATACAGATATTTTATACTTATAAGTCACTATTAAGTGATTAGAGCTAGTTGGCAGGATACCATGAACTAAAGTTTTGTGTTAGTTGACACTTGTAGAAAAGATGTACCTGAGGCCATGAGTGAACTAATGGTCAGCGAGTGGCATGCAAACCCGTCCCATCTGAGTTCCGATTCTGAGGCAGTACCTCTGTGTCATTTAACCTGTGTCTGACCACCGTTAGGGCTGTTATATGTACATTCATCAGTCAGCGAATAATGGTTACTAGTATATCTGTTTATTACTTGGCACTAATCAAATTTCATCAAACATATATATCTTGATGAAATATACCTTACTGATAACTACTGACTGGCAAACTAGACTAAGGTGGCTTTTTATCTACTGGCTATGTTCTGCCATCTGATATCAAAACATGACACAGATAGTATTTTGAGTTACTTAGATCAATATTTCCATTGGAACTTGATCAACAGAATCAGTGATTAGTCAGTGATGACTAAACAACTATAACATCGATCAGTATTCAATCATCAATCAGTAGTTTTGTTTCTGTTTACCATCTCATAGTCATCCAATGGATAATGTGGTTTTTCACACTACGAATCAATAAATTAATTACTTAGAAATAATTTATTCACTGGAATGGAACAATTTTGTGTTTTCTGTTTTTGTAATTTAAGTGAACCAACAAATATATATATATGTATAATTTAAACTATGGTAGTCCTAAAAATAAATTAATAATCAAGGCAACTAAATGAATTCATCCAATTCCCACACATTACAATTTAGTGTTGTTACTATTTATCAATAATACTAATAATAATAATAATAACAATCATTATAATACTAAAACTAATATGAATATGAATAGTTAGAATAAAGTGAAGTAAAGCATAGAATAAAACATTTTTATTGAATAAAATAATTCTAGATTTGGACAAATCTCTAATTTGTCTACATTGATACATTCTTTGTTTGTACAAGTGTGTATTGTGTTCTGTTGTATTCCTTTTTTTTTCTTAATCCAATGAGCTGTGTTTCATTAAATGTGCACAGAATTCAAAATAAACCATAGGCGAGAGAGAGAGAGAGAGCGAAAGTATTACAGGCAAATTATTGATCTGTTGGGCATGTAAATAATTTTCTACATTTGGTTATGTAACAATGTTATGAGTGTATAGGACAGGAAAAAGCTTCAAACGATTGCGATTAATAATAAGCCAGCTCGTAACCAATCAGAAAAGTAATTATAAATGGATGGCTTGTAGATAATAAAACCAAATATAAACAGATTTAACATGGTCGATGAATTTATTGAAGTCTTGTACAGATTGAGAAAATAAACCACAACGATTTATATATAAACTCGTTCTTATGAACGTTCTCAGTTGAAGTTACGATCAACAATAATAATAAGCTTAGTGTGTTTTTACATTATCAACTGATATCATCGATAATTGAAAAATACCATATGAATTAGTGAATCTTGTGCAAGAACCAAAGAGTCGCTGATTATATTTCAGAATTAATAGGTTTTTTGGGGGGTTCAGGAATTGGAGATAGTGTAAATTTGCTTTTTGTATACAATGTAAAAAGACAGGAATTAGTATTTGCAACGTTTAACTACATCTTTTTCACTTGAATTTTCCAAAAATAGTATAGAAAGGTTATTTTTACCGATTGTTACGCATAATATTTGAATTTCACACAGAAGACTGAAGTTCCTATGGCCATTCTCGATTTACTTATCTCAGTGGTATGCATTTAATGTGGAGATTTGGTAAAATTTAAAGAAAGACAGATAAGGAGAATGTTCATTGGTTTGCAATAATTTTGTAGTTACAGTCAATTTGTAGATGTAGACTATGTGGTTGGGTTCAACGGGACAATCGTAATCGGTGGTGAGAGACTTTGAACGATATGGCTCAAAATTATTTGCAATGGCAGAGGTGCATTCATTATTTGTCTTCTCTCAAATTCGAATCTTCTGAATTCCTGATCACTATTTTCTTTCTCTTTTTAAATTTATTTCACTGATACTTCTTGAATAATATTTTCTGATCTTAATCTTTTCCATTAACGCTAATACTTCTAATACCTCTACTACTATAAGGTTTAAATTGACAATACCATCTCTCGGTGCTAATGTAGTTTGGCAACTTGAACTGATCTACTCGCTTACATATGAAGTTGTACGTTGTAACTGACTGACTAACAGAGAATTTGTAATTGGAATTCTAAAAAGAGTTAATTGAAAAATCATTAGTAATAGGTAGATTCAATTTTAGTCACAAACTTCAATACTCACCATAATAAATTTTTATTTCTGATGACACAGTAAATATGATCAATGAGAGAGGAAGATTTTTTTGTTAATTAGCCGGTAAAATATATATTCATCCTTTTTCTTCTTCTTAATGTGAATATAAGTTGGCTCGAAATCGAAATTTCAAATAATGCTTCAATCATCCATTCAAGTTAGATCACTGTGGCTGTGTTGTTTTGTTCACTAGTTTTGTTCGACAGTTTTAATTATTCTAATTATCAGAATCATACAAAAATTACTTAAATCAATCGATCGAATTTCATTTTCGTTCGAATTTCGATTATGTGTTTTTAGTGATTAACATAATATTGTGCTAAGATAAAACCAGTATATATATATAAGTGTACACATTGTAAATGTAAGAACCTACTTATCTACTGACATATTTGTAAAACTGACCTATATCCTACCGTATCAATAATAGTTGAACAGTCTAACGTTATAATTAGTTTTTATTCATATGGTGAATATGTACATTTTTTTTAATAAACAGTATTGTACATTAAACTAATTCACAGGTGGTTGTACTGTTTCCTTAAACTTTTTATTCATATTCAAATCAATACATTTAAACATCAAGCTTTTCCAAGGTCAGAAAAATTGTGATTGATACTGGTAGATTTAAACGTACAATATCTGACTAGGAGAATTTATTAGCTTGTATGGTGTACAAATGGTGAATTATATTAGATTTGAATGTTGTAAAATTGTGTTTTGATTTGTCATTAAAGAATAGTTGAAAATGAAACATACTGGATTAAATACCGACATTAGTAACAAATTAAATTTGAGCTCTGGTTTATTGTCTACATTTCTATCTGTTGCTTCTCTCTCAAGTTTTGAACATCAGTGATAAGTTTAAGTTGTTGACTTATATCTATAAAAAAAAAACTAGGACTCAATTCTATAAATGTGTATGACGGACTGTTCAGAACTAGGTGATTATTATTTTCAGGCAGAGTTTTTTGGAGGTTTGCGTTTTTACACATTTGAAATCATCAATCAATCATTGTTAGACCACCATTAGAAACCTGGAAGCACTGGACGGCTATTCCGTCCTGGTATGGGACTCATCAGCTGTGGGCATCCACGACTCCTGCACCTCGCAGGATTCGAACCCGGGACCTTCGGTATTGTGCGCGAACGCCTAACCATCGGACCACTGGGCCGGCATCCAACGGTGTTAATGTCTAACTCTGATTGATCTACGGATTTTGTGCGACCTCACCCATTTGTCTTTGGTAGTTACTGCCTACACCCGACAGGGTTGAACTCCATTATTATTTTATTTATCAGATGGGTTTTTTTTGACGATTATCTTTTGAATTTCTTAATGCGTTAAAACTAGATGAACTTCACACTGTCCTAGCTCTATATTGCCAAATGAATGAAATTTCAGTCACAGTAATGGATTTACACTGTAAAGTGAAGTGTGAAACAGTGAAAATTTAAAACCTGTCGTTCTGTAGAGAAAGCTATGGAAAGTGTTATTCTCTTAAATTATCATAAAACACACTAAAAAAATTTAAAGGATGAGGGTTGATTTTCTTACATCAGTCAAGTTGTCATTAACTGGAAGAGATCAGAATAATTAATGAATCCGAGTATTACCAATAGAAATGATATATAATTGACTTGAAAATCATATTAAAGAAAGGTACATCGGTGCTTATCTTTTGTATGAATTTTCTTCTGCACAAAGATTTTATATCGATTGATGGCTTAGTGTGTTAGCATTCCAGTCCTACAAATGAGTAACGTCTACTATACAGATCCCATATATTTGTTGAAAACCAAGCGTGATCGTTAAATAATAATAATAATCTGCAACCTATATATATATATATATATATATATATATATATATATATATCAGCGTTGCATAACTTTTCAGATAATGTGAAAACTATTCAACTATAAATAACAAAGTTATGAATCGTTATAATTCTATCAAAACATAAGCATCCTCAACGCTATTATAGCATCCTAAATTTAACAGTAAGGGTTATCATGTAGAATCATTTGCTTGTGAATAGTAGCAACAGATGAATCGACTTAAAGAAAAACTCCGACACTAGTTCATATATATACACAAAGGAAAAAGCAAAATTCTCCGATGCAACACAACATACACCAACCAAATCACTCTCGATGGAGATGCCTTGCAGGACGTTAACACCTTTACATATCTGGGCAGCATCATCAACGAGGAAGGTGGATCGGATGCAGATGTGAGGGCGCGGATCAGCAAAGCAAGGGCTGCATTTCTACAATTGAAAAATATCCGGAACTCCAAACAACTTTCAACCAAAACCAAAATCAGGATTTTCAATAAAAATGTCAAGACAGTTCTACTGTATGGAGCGGAAACATGGAGAACTACCAAAGCCATCATCCAGAAGATACAAGTGTTTATTAACAGTTGTCTATGCAAAATACTTCGTATTCGTTGGCCAGACACCATCAGCAACAACGTAATGTGGGAGAGAACAAACCAGATTTCAGTGGAGGAGGAAATGAGGAAGAAGCGGTGGAAGTGGATAGGACACACACTACGAAAAGCACCTAACTGCGTCACGAGACAAGCCCTCACATGGAACCCTCAAGGGAAAAGGAAAAGAGGAAGGCCAAAGAATACATTACGCCTAGAAATAGAGAAAGATATGAGAGGAATGAACAAACATTGGACAGAACTGGAGAGAGAAGCCCAGGACAGAGTTGGTTGGAGAAAACTGGTGGGCGTCCTATGCTCCGTTGGGGGTAACAGGCGTAAGTAAAAGTAAGTAACTAGTTCAAAATGCGAAATCGATCCAGTATGATGTCTACTGCCAACAAGGTGGTTTATAAGTAGTGTGCAGTTGAGTGTCATCCAGATGTTACTGATGAAGAGTAGCGTGTTGTATCTGGATGTATGACGCCATTTAAAGTGTTCTAAAGATTAGTAAAAGATGTGAAAGAAGACTACCAAATCATTTACCTGTTTTGCAATTACACGTCTACACATACGTTGTAGACATTTAGTCTTAACATCCAACAATGATAAACGAAAAAATATTATACAAAACAATGATCATATCATATGCATAAAAGTTTTACTAGCAGAGGAAGGCTTTAGTTATTCTGAAGAAATATAATGATAATATTGATTAAATTAATGATTTCATTAAATATTGGAATATAAAAACAATAAACTAATAAATGATAATTTATGTGAATGAACTAGTTGAGAAAAAATTGTATATCCATATCAATTAAGTATATATATAAATATATACTTTTTTTCAAGGAGTCAATAGATTATATGATAAATTAGGTGAGCATTATTAGCTCGTTTAACATAAATAAAAGTGCATTGAAAGATATAATATAGCCTATTCGAGACCATGAAATAGCTAAGTGTCTATTCATGAAGTCGTTAATTTAGACAATATAGAAACGTGTGGATTTCATGAATGATATCACCATATATCTATGGTTGAAAATGTGAACCGACATCATTGTGAAATCATTCACCTTTGAGCCGAGCAATGCAAACAGCCATCAATTCCTACGAGACTGTAGGTTTGTTTTGTTTACGAGTACCAGTTAACATAAAACTTGAAACAGACATGGTTACGTACTGAGTAATTTTAGGCTCCTAACATCATTATTCTTTAGTACTGCTTAGGCATTTTGAACTGTGTGTGCAGGTTTTTTAGGCTTTTACATTTCTATAAGCTGATTAACTAAAATTATATTACTGTATATTACTGTATTTTGATGTTTGTTCAACTCTAAACATTTGCACACTTCGTTTTTGTATTCCATCGGTTGAGAGTGTAGTTGAGCTGATGAAATCTAGTTCAACGACTGAATAACAATGAAATTTTTCCTTTCTGAATAACCAGAATTATTATGAAACTAAACCTGAAGTCTTGGGTTTGACTTTTGGTGAGCTCATAGATGGCAATGCCTAATAAGTCTCAAAGTAAAAACGATACATTTATCCAGTTTTTCCGAAGTTTTCAATGGTTCTTTTGCTGAAGTCAGTTCATGTGAAGAAGGTACTTAAGACAAAGATATATTTATACACTTTTCAACAGTAGTTCATTAGAGAATAATCATCTGTGTAGTTTGGAAATAACTTGTTATTCTCATTATTCTTTCACCAAAGGATAATTCAATAAAAAATTTTTTTTTCACATTGTTTTTCTTTAAATTATTGATTGTGCTTTTTTTTTCAATCAATTTTCTTCTCATTCAGGAAATATGTTCGAATCCGGAATTTATTACTGGCGGTGCATCACGATTCGATGTACGTCAAGGTGAATTAGGTAAGTGTTGATTATAAAATGCCAAGAAATGAATTTTCTCTAAAACTCACCACTATTCCATCGTTATTATTATTATTATCATTATCAGTATTATTATTCATCTTGTTGAACTGATGATATTGAATAATCTATATACATTTGAAAAGAACAAATCAGTGGTAATTTTATTTTCAATCATGCATATTAGTTAAATTCAGATATTGATAAGCGTATGGTGCTTATATGCTTTTCATCATGTAAATACAAACTATTTTATTGTTACTAACCTGAATTACATTTTATTCTGATTAAGATAGTGAATTAGTTGATTGCACTAATCTTGGAATCCTTATCTATCTCAGTAAAGGATGGGGATACTACCCCCTTCCCCTAACTCAGGTTTAATATGGTCGGGAAAAAAAAATGAAAATTTCACTTGTGAGAAAAAAGAGTAATAGATAGTAGAGTAATACATTTTTTTCGAGTCCATTTGTGTCAAGCTAGATTGCATCTCTCACTATCCTATGCTATACAATGTATCTGTCATTAGCTATATTGCTATATTAGAGCTAAAGATTTCCTATGAGACTAGAGGTTCACTGTGAACATTGTGAATGGTTTGGCATTACTTTGACAAGTTTTGCTAATGGGCCATATACAAATTCAGTTTGCAGGGTAACCGATTTCATTGATACTTGTGGTTTTCTTGCAACATTCCAGGGGGCCATTATCATTGGGAGTGCTGTATTGCATATAACCATTGCTAATGATAATAATGAGTTTGACTGTCGTGTAAGCGGGATAAGTCGAAATGGCCTGTTCACGTTAGGCATTTTGATTGACGCAATCGTGAATTGGAAATAATCACTGTAAGCATTGATGTATATAAATGGTGTGAATGGTTAAGCAGGATGTCAGGTACCTCTGTGTGGTTATGCCACAGGATTGATCTGTACTGTTCACGTTGTAGTGTTAACACGTGGGCAGTGTCTTGTTCTCCAGGAAACCAATGGACAATTACTCTTGCCTGTTGAGTAAGAATTTATATAATATAATAATTTCTTATTGATAATTGTTAGTGGAGGATATATTGTTTATTTAGTTGACAGAAAGTAACATGAACTGATTTCACTCAAAATGTAATAAGTCATGTATCAACTTAATAATATATATAGGTATTATCATACTTTTATTCGACTACATTATTACATCAGTTAAAAATCAATGAGTCGATAACAAAGCGATTCACAGATTCACTCCCAGTCAACTTGATATACATATAGGTATGATTAAAGTAACAATCCCATACTGGTGATCGAAATTGCTTCCTTCTAATTTCGGTTAAGTCAGCTCAACACATGACGACATCTTTGCAGAACTCTAGTGGGAAAATCAATCTTAATGCTAGTTACAAGTAGTAGTAAGCGTAGTAATTTTGTGTAACTTATGAATAAGGGAAATCCAACATCTTGAATAAAACCACCACATCACAAATAGATAAATATGTGATTATGCAATGAGAAAGACAAAAGAGACCAATGTATACATTTACATTTGTATTATACGGTGAATGATGTTAATATTTTTACTGTGAAATATGCAAAGATTAAAAAAACCAATCCATTGAAAACTAATCAATTGCACAAATGATTTAATGTGAAGTAAATAATTTAAAATACTAATCATCATGTTGTGAATAGTATTTGTAAATAAAAATTCTATTAAACATGAACGATTTCATTGATAAACAGTTATTTCAAGCAATATACATTACTGAGCATCATTTAGAAAACATTGATCAATTGAGCCAAAAACCGAACACTTATTCCCTGATCATTAGTTAGACGATCATCGATTAAGAACCAAGAAGCTAGCTTGAGACCTCATCAGCGATGTATATTCATGACCCTATCTACTAGAATGGAGCTGAAAACCTTTGGACGTTTTTTATCCATCGTTTAGCCGAGTTGGTAGCATTTTTAGCTTCAGTGCTGTTCAGTGCTTCCTGGTTTCCATTAGTTCTCTAAAGTCGGTGTATGATGTACACTAGGGAAATTCAACAATGTTCACAATCAAAGAAAGCTTTTATAATAAGCGTTGTTTTAGATTTGTAAAACTTTGTCAGAATCGAACTTAGTTTCTTATACTACTTTTGTTTTGTGTTCATGAATCACTACATAGGATTACAGGTTGAAACTCAGTTTTATAAACATTAATTTCGGGAATCATCAAACATGTCTATTTGTCATATAAGTCTGTTTCAAAGAATATTCACTTAATTATTAATCTGGAGAGCAGTGAAGTTTAATTTTCAAAATTTAAGCCACCGACCAGTATTCTCCAGCCTACTTTGTCCTGGGCTTCCGTTTCTAGTTCTGTCCAATTTTTATTCCATCCTATTCATTAGTTTGGTGACTACAGCTAACTTCTGCTACTGTAGTGGTTATCAATTTTTAGTGATTTGACTTTCTTTTGCAACTAGTTTCTGAAGAAACATAAGATACGAATGTGCAGATGGAGGTGAATTCTGCAGGAGGAGAGCTGTCTAATATTTGTCAATCGATTACCGAGGTGTAGTAATTGATGATGTTCATTTTTGATAAGTTGATAATAATGCATTGTCTTGTGCATATCTTTGTTTAACAAATCATATTATTAAAGAGCTTGTAATTTACCTATTTAATTAAGCTCAGTCTATCGGTATTACGATTATAGAGGTTGTTGACTTTTGTTAAGATTATGGACGAATGAAGGTTAGAGGACCATTGAAAAACTAGGAGCACTAGATTTCAGTTTCGTTTAAGTTGTATAGGCATGTCCCATAGCCATCGATTCGTAGTTGAATCACACACATGGATGCATCCGCGCCATTGTAAGTGATTGTGAGCCGTGTCATTCAAAGTCTTTAACCGTCAGTTACTATCGCCTCACCGACTCCGACCAGGTAGTCTACATTTACAAACATGGCTCAATCCATTATTCATTGACTTCATGCATTTGTATCATGTCTTGGTTTGGCCGCCCCTAACTTTCTTCCAGCCTACCCCTTACATCAGACAACATCGGTCATTGAGGCAGTGGGTGGTTGGGCATGCGTCCCATCACTTCCTCAGTTGGTCTGCCATCCTTACCTAGTACCCTTTTCTTAGCAACATTTATGTTTCAAGAAGAATTAAATTTATAAAATCAGTTTTTAGTAATGTTTGCAAACGGTTGGTGATTGAAATAACTCATCAAGAAATCCTTGATATTCGGTTTCTTTAATATTTGCTATCCATCATTAAAAAGAATGATTTTTTTTTGGAGAGAAACATGATTTATGAGATAGGATCTGGTGATCTATGAGTCAAATCGATGAAAAGCCACTCATTAACATTACAAGTCTAAATCCGAAAGCCTCCTACTTCTGTAACCATATAATAATGCTACTTTCTATCATTACAAAGCAGTGAATTAGATGAACTAAAAGTCTTATTTCGATTGTCTGGCATATATGATTTTGTTTACGGAGGTCATATTAATTTTGGCCATACAGTTCGTTAGATAGGTAGGTAGATAGTGAAATATTTAGACTTTGACTGTAAAAAAGTTTCGAGAAAAAAAAATTTGATACAACACTGTAACATTTTTTCTGAAATTGTTATTGTTTTCATTCTTATATAGGTCAAAAGATGTTTGATGAAACATTTACAATTTGATCATAAACAATCTTGAACAATGTAGCAAACCTTTTTTAGATTTCTGTTATTACTCTCAATGTTACAGGATATCTATGTAAAAATAAACAACTCGCGAATTTTACAAATGGATTTGTCACAGATTTACTTCAGTTGAGGTACTGTTGGAAACCAGGTCACACTAGATAGTTGTTCCATCCTAGTATGGTATTCCTTGGTAGTGTAAAATCACAACCTCATGATGGTTCGGTTTCGGGATGAAATCTTAATCTTTAGAATTACTGAGTTGGTAACTAATGGTATAATTCAAACTGAAATTGATTTGCAATATGAGGCAACAATCAATCATTGAACTCCATAGATGACAGCTGTTTTGTAAATCGATAAAACATCGATCTCGTCCTACTCTGATCTTTGTGATCGTTTGTCTGAGCTAAAGTTATAGGTGTTTTTTTTTGTGAGTCATTTAAAATGTCAGTGTTCCTCCAGTAATAAATTCTTGGTAGGATAATCAATGCAGCAGATGCTTCATTCAATTTTCAGTAGAAACACTAATAAACAATTCATCAATCAATTAGTATAACATAGAAACTATGCAAAAGTTTATTAGTAAAGCTTTGTTCCATGTGTTTGAGGTTTCTTCGAACTGAAATCTAAATGTATCGACACTTCAAAAGTTTGGTACCTAAATTATTTTGACGTATTCATCGAGATTTAGTCGCATGTAGTTATTGTTGAGTTTGTGTAATGAAACCAAGTGAAATTAACTATTTACATAAAATTAAATATTTCAAACTGTATTCTGTTTTTCAATAGGTATCATAATCATAGTATAATGTTTACACTAGTTGGTGAACAGGTATACATTCGAGGTATTGTGTACTTTAAAGCATAAATTAACAGGATAGACATTATTTTTTAGTTGAACAAGGAGATCATCCCCATTCAATATTAGTGTAGTTGTGACGAAATCTCAGCACCGATACAGAAAGTTCGATTGGCTTTTACCAACTTACGTCACTTATGGCGTAGATGAGATATCCGTTTGCTAACCAAAGGACGAGTGTACTGCGCAGCAGTTCGCTCCGTCCTACTTTATGTCTGTAAAACATGGCTAGTTAGAGTAGAAGATATTCATAGGTTGCTTGTTTTTGATCATAGGTGTCTCCGAAGCATTGCTCGTGTATCATGGGACAACTGAGTAAGCAATGCTGTTGTTAGGAAACGGGTACTAGGCAAAGATGGCAGATCAATTGATGAAGTAGGGAGTCGTCGTCATATGAGGTGGTTGGGACACGTGTTGCGTACACTCGACCACCGACTTCCTCGATGAGCGATGTTTTCTGAAATAGAGATAAGCTGGAAGAAAGTTAGGGGCAGCTAAACCAAATGAATGAAGCCAGTGACGACTGAATTGAGTCATACTGGTAGGTGTAGAATACCTAGTTACGGCTGGCGAGGCATTAGTAATCGATGGTTAGAGACCTTGTATGACACGGTTCAAAATTGTCTGCACTCGCACAGGTGCATTCACCCTTTGTGTTCTTTCAAATTCTAATTTAAATTACCCATGACCGTTTTTTTTCTCTTTTACAATTTACCTCACTGGATTATACTTATCAGATCATATCACCAAACCCTAATTTCTTTCAATACCGCTAATACTTAAACTACGTTTACGGCAACTTGAACTGATGTACGTACGTGCAAATGAAGTTCTACGTTGTTGCTGACTGACTGAAGGTTAGCATGTATACTGATTGATCATTGAGTAATAACCAGTGTGATTTTTGTCTAGTCCTTAATTGTGATTGAATTCTGTCAGTCAAGCTGCAGCGGGGCCATTAATCTAAGTGATTCCAATTGTTATATACTACTGAGTTGTTATAGTGTTATAGTTTTCAGTGGACTTCTTATTGATTAGGATAGAAATCGATTCAGAAACAGGAACGAAGTTATTGAAGTAATACAATAATCTGACTTTTATTGGGAAATCTGATTTTACTAAACAAAGTCGTTGGGCTATTAAAACTCAATCGTTGGAGATTTCAAAAAAAAAATAGTTCAAACTTGATCACAATATTGTCTTCATCAAATTTCTGGATTCAAGATATTTCATAGGTTATTAGTTTACATCATAGACTGGTTGAAAACCTAGGGGCAATATATAGTTTTTCTTTTCATATCTCACCGGGCATTGAATGGACGACCACTAAACCTCACAGCGAACACTCAATCTTCAGACTACTGAGTTGAGCCCTGTTGATTTACAGTTGTAATATAAGTCGATTTGTGATTTTACACAACCCATCTTTCAATATATCTTTGATAATTGGTAATTGCTTTGCACACTCACCATACTTGAACTATTCTGATCATAGCTTCTTACTGCTTTGTGAACTATCGCTGAAAATTATTCACTAGTGAATAAGTGATGATGATAAAATTTTTTGGCTTTAGTTATACTTCTGAAATTGTGTAGGAATGTAAAAATATGAATAAATGAATGAATAAATAACTATCTATGAAAGGTCATTCAATTTTTTCTTTTCTAATTTAGTCACTTTTTTTCAGAAAAAATTTGTCTGTTTTTATTTTTTCTAAGGTGATTGTTGGTTGTTGGCTGCTATTGCATGCTTATCAATGGATAAGAAATTATTTGAACAAGTTGTAGCAATAGATCAAAGTTTTACCAAAGAATATTGTGGTCTATTCCGTTTTCATTTTTGGAATTATGGTGAATGGAAAGAAGTTGTGGTGGATGATCGTTTACCAACTTATCATCAATCATTAGTGTATATACATTCAACTGAGAAAAATGAATTTTGGTCAGCTTTATTAGAAAAAGCTTATGCAAAGTAAGATGTTATAGTCATTAATTGAGAATGATTGTGAAAGATAATCAGCTCTGTCTTGTTTTATAATGAGTGTTCAGCCTGTTAGACTGTTGTACCTTTGTTTGAGACATGTGATCATATAGACAGCGATTACTATCTTGGTGATTTCGCGCACAGAATGTTCAGGTTTTGTTGCAAGTATAGATTTTTTCACTTAACTCAATAATTAAGTTTCACATTTCCAATTATAGTATTCTGTTATTGATTGGTGAATATCCATACTGGTGCTTGATAGTGACTTTGAATTAAGAAAATTGTAGATTGTAGAATGTCATATCCTGTTAATAATTGACTATTAAGTTTTATCACTTATGCATAAATTGTTTAATTAACATTTCAAAAATGCATTTAACATTCTATTTCTTCTATCCACCTTCTTAGTACATTCATAATTTGCATACAATATACAAATGGCATGATTGTAATCATATGTTACATTGAATTTATTGAATGTCATCTTCTACTGGATGTTTCGGAAATTGTCTACAATTTCCGTGACTACTCTTAACTATCCTGTTCGATTATCCAAACAAACATAAATGAAGTAATTTTGTACGCCACACTAGTTAGACAACCAAGTCACATATATTTAGGGCATCTATTTTTAAACTTATACTTTATTAACGCATACACATACACACACACATAGAATTTAAACAAATTGGCAAGTTCAGTTGGTTAATTTTCATTGAATAAATGAGTAATTTATTTGGTTTATGTTAAAATGCATTCTATAACTAGAATATGCGGTTCATATGAGGCGCTGAAAGGTGGTACAACCAGTGAAGCATTGGAAGATTTCACTGGAGGAATTTGTGAAATGTTTGATTTGAAAAAAGATACACCACCGAATTTATTGCAAGTTATGCTGAAAAGTCAAGAGTTAAATTCATTGATGGCATGTTCAATTCAAGCTGATCCGAATACTTACGAGGCACGATTGCCAAATGGTTTGATTATGGGACATGCATATTCTGTTACTTCTGTTAAAATGGTAGGTATAACTTTATTTATACGCTTATTGATAATTTCAACATAAAGTAATATTTGTCTCACAAAATGTTATACATTCCAGTCAGATTGATAATATTTCATAGGGGTTTGCAAGTTTCAAGTATTCTTCTTACTGACTCTTGTACTTGCCATTATAGTATGTTGAGGAAGTCGGTAAATGAAGATACATAAGTAATGCATGTTCTATCTTATTTAATAAAAAAGTAGTTTCAATAACTCTTCAACCAATCCTTACTTATTTCTCTGCATCCAACCTCAACAACACTAATTCAATGATACCTAAATCCACTAGCACTAATACGAAAACTCCTCTCATTAAACACTAGTGACCAGCAACTATCTTCTACGATCAATATACACTTTCTATGGTATTCATCCTCACACTTTGAACCTTTGCCATGATTGTACAATTATTAGTGATAGTTAACAAGAATAACCTTACATGTCGCGTTTGTCATCAGACAGACAGACAGTATGAATTGATCATTTCTATTGAATAGTATACCTAATTTATTAGAAACTACTTCTCATTGATGATGATATTCGTAGTTCTCCAAGTTTCCACCCCATACACTAGAACTTTCTTGATATTCATATTGGAAATGGTGACTTTGGCGTTCGCTGATAGTTGTTTTGAGTTCCAGATGTTGTTCAATTGTAAAAATCCTGCCATTAAAATCAAATGTGACTTATCTGTCTGTATGAATGCAATTCATCATTATTCGGTTAGGGTAAGGGTCATCGACTCATTCCGGCTGGACAATTTTTTTTTACATAATTGAATAACTATTAACTTGATAAATTTAAGCTATAAATTTTTCATACTGTATGACAGATCATCTTTCATCTTCACTGGATTCGAACTATGCTATAATTAGCAAGCATACATTGTGTTCCTTAATGTCATATTTTATCGATTGGAAAAAAAAATGAATCCAATCAAAGTTGATTTACTCAAATCATGTGATTTTTCTACGGTGAAAGAAAGTATCAGTGAATTGTAATCATAGAAACTTTCTAGCATGTGTTTAATTTCCATTATGACAGTCAAAGTTTATCATGTCAAGTTTAAATTATTTCTTAGATATTTGTACTTATTTTTAATTTATGTATAAAATAATTCACGATAGGATTTGACTTGTAAAAGGTGTCTAGTAAATAGTTTTGATTGCCTACTACTCTGCACTACAGACGAAAGCTAGACAGATAGTTGTCTGTAGTAATAATTTAGAGTTGGATTAGAATAAAATTTACATCTGAAATAGATGATTGAAATTATTTTAACTCTACTGACAGTCAGATCAGCTTATCAATTAATTGGCTGATATTTTTACAGATTCACTGAATTCATTTGATACAGTGAAATTATTGATCAGTGTTATTGGTAAGCGATCATCTACACTTTCAACACAGTTTAGTGTATAACATACAAATCATTTTTAATTTCTCATTGTCTTTAATCTTATCAGATAGCAAAATTTGTTGAAATATTGTTTGCCCGAAAATGCATATTAAACATGCGATAAACTAAAATGTTCAATTTCTCTCTCTGTTGTTCATGCTTGGTCACAGATTGAAATTGGTTATTCTGCCCTCGTTGTTCCACATTTTTATAGACTTTAAAATTCACTTCTTTCACACGCTAGACGGTTCATTTTGTGCCGGTTATTGAGATTAACAAACTGTAGAGTCATATGATGATCATTGATTCAATTACGTGGTAGTCAGGATTTCTGTCAAAACGAAATCGCTCACCAACCTCGTTACTTGATTACTTCGAATGAAAGTTGGTTGATCTGGCTGAAAGTTTGACGCTTTTTATGCAATGCCTAAATTAAACAGGCGCAAACAATCATAATAATAGCAATACTACTACTACTACTACTACTACTACTACTACTACTACTACTACTACTACTACTACTACTGTGGTGCGAGCTACTTATAAGTAGTATATGACGTGAGTGTAAACGTAATGTCTGGCAGCAGAAGATGGGGGAAGATCAAGAAAGGAAGAGTTAGAAAACAATGGAATTTGTATGAAACGCATGAATAGTGACAATGGATTGATGTTTCGCAACAGGAACAGTCCAGTTCGATATGATGAACTGATATTTTGTAAATGAACGATTTACGATATGGTTTTCCGATTTTACTGAGTAACTCTGTAATTTTCATTAGATGCAATGCGGTTGCCCCACCTGTGTTCTCCTGCACTACACTACTACTACTACTACTACTACTACTACTACTACTACTTTTCACTCGTCGCTCCCAACTTCTGTCTATTCTACACTACACAATTATTTATCCGTTGAGGAAAGTTGGCAAGCAACTGAAAGAGTGATTAATGTTGTTTGCTAGTGAACCGAAATACACAAATATTATTTCTATTCAGCGATGATGATGATAATAATAATATCAGTAATATGTGTTGTATATTGAATTAATTGAATGAATCTGTTTTGATGATTAGTTTGTGATCTGAGGAAAAGAACTATGTAAATATTGATCACAGTGATTTGTGTGTGTGTATGTGTGGGTTGTAGGTATATGCTGTGAAGTGACCTTGACAGTAAAGTTGTGAATAGAAGTGATGAACTTTATTCGCATTGAATCTGGATAAAGTTCAGTGTACTTTTCGTTTATTGTGTTCTATATTGGTGTAGAAATCAACAAACGTTGAATTTATATGTTGTAGAAACTAACTATCGATTACTTTATCAAGAATTTACTAACAAAATATAGTGTAGGAGTAAACACGAATTATCTATTCCTTCAATTATGTTACAGTTATGGTACTTTATCCAAATATCTATTATCAGGGCATTCTATTAATTTCTTTTATCAAACCACTGAATTTCATGTTGGTCGGTGTATGACATTCGATGCTTAACTTGTTGAACAATATCTACGAGATAATAGTTTAACATTTCGTTAATTTCTAACTTTACGCGAAGAACAATCTGGTGAAATTTTCAGTAACGATATGACTCTGACATTTAAATGAATTCACTTATTTGGAAGCTCACTCACTCAGTGCATTGTTTGTCTAACAATTAAAATAATATCATAAGTTACCTATAATAAATCCATTGTGGGATCGAGAAGTGGTGTTTTTTATCGTGTTTGGAATGCATCAGCTGAGTTTGTCTGGATCCTAATGTTGATGTGTACTCACTAGGACTTGATCAAAGTACCATCTTTACCTTCCTAACCCACTGAACTATTAAGTTTTGGCACACATCAAATTATAAAATGGGGTAGGATCTTTATATCACTTATCTGTAAGCGTTTGAATCATCATGGTTTTTCATTTTAAGGACTGAATTTTGATAATTCTTTGTTATTATAATAAAATCATGAATGAATAATTGTGAGACCACAAATAGAAACCTGGAAGCACTGGATAACCATTTCGTTCTGCCACTATCAGGAGTCGAACCCAGGACCTTCGGTCTTGCACTCGAACGCTTAACCTCTAGACCACTAAGTTGTCACCCAACGGTGTTAATATCTAAGGATTTTGTGCAACCTCAGCCATTATCTTCCGTAGTTACTGCCTATACTCGATAGAGCTGAACTCCACTAATCACGTCTTCTCACTAGGACTTCGAGAATTTCCTCTTGAAGCTAGTAATTGGTGAGCATATTTTGTTAGCATACATGCGCACTCCATCTACTTTCAATAAACCTGTAGCAAAATGGTTATTACACTCCATACACTCATAAAGGATGCACATGTTCTAACCAAAAAGCTGACTAAAATCCATTTCTAAATACTAACAATGATTATATAAGTTATTTTATTCTCATCATTGTGTCGGACAGTTAATTTCCAAGGGCTAAGCGGCAATTCGACTAGGTGTGATGAAATTTGAACATTTGACAAGTGTTTATTTATCTTTTACTGATGAAAAATATAACTTATATAACCTACTACACATAAATTTCCACATCTTTATTTGTTTTGATAGTTTTACGTGTTTGTGTGTGTATACGGTTTACTATTTTTAGTTAGATATATCTATTCCAAATAAAACTGGTAAAATCCCATTAGTTCGTGTACGTAATCCATGGGGTGATGAATCGGAATGGAAAGGTCCATGGAGTGATAAATCGAGAGAATGGTCATTGATTTCACCAGAACAACGACAACAACTTGGTCTAACATTCGATGATGATGGTGAATTTTGGTAAAATTACTCAAATCTTATTGTGTTTATGATTATTGAAATTAGTAAAACAAAAGTCTTACAATTTGAATTCTATATTAATTATTGTTTTGATTGAATATTGAAATTCTCTTGAGAATATTAGTTTGAAAAAGATTTAACTGACAAGAAATTCACCATTCATTTTGTATAAGTCTTTCTTATGCAGATACATCTTAGTTCAGTATACAGGGCTATATTACCTTACATGTATTTCAACCACAGTACATTTAGATTATGTCATGAGTTCAGATATCTTTCAGGCGATTTATTGATTTAAAGTTTTCTGACTGTTTTTTTTAAAAATATAATGTAACCATGATTAGCTCTATTCAACCCGATACCTAGGCTGTTACAATAAATATTCACGGTACAGAATTTTCAAATCGATATCATTTTGCTTACTTCGGATTGTTTGAATGTTTAACAAGTTTTGGAAAAATCATACTGCTTGGTCGTCTAATTAGGGAGAACTAGTGGAAGCATTCTGCATCTTTGATAAAATCATTCAAAAATATAGCGTATAAGAACAGGGAATTAGTAAAATGATTTGTTGCATTGTGAATTAACCAAAGTGATGCTTTGCAGGATTCTACTCAATTTATTGAATGAAATTGTAATCTTTTCAGTAAAATGTTGAACGATAACTACAAAATGGTAGACATCTCCACAAAAGGTAAAGTATCTGCTGAACACTGTAATGGGATAAATTTGTCCTGTAATTCAACTGCAACTGCGGAATAATTATCCGACCTGACTGAGGCACATGTTTTAATCTCGTTTTTATTGTTTCTTGTATGACATTATCTCCTTCAATGAAGGTCTATTTTCTACCTGAACAAAATTAAATTTTTATTCTTCAAGCTAATTTATTTTGCAAAATTCAGACAAAAATAGTTATCATTCATTAAATATGTTTTTCTTTTTCGAAAATCTAACCTGAATACACTTACTGCGTTACTTCTGCTGTTGTTTGGTTTAGGGGAATTGTTAAAGCGAACAGACAAACGTTGAATTGTTTTTATTCTTATTTGTAATCAGTTTTTATTCATGATATTTTATCAGTTAAATCATAAATATATTTTGTTTTATTACAGGATGTCCTATCAAGATTTTGTATCGAATTTTGAAAAACTTGAAATATGTCATCTTGGACCACAGTCGATGGGAGAAATGGGAGGAAGTCGTGTTTGGGAAATGTGCATTGAAGAAGGTTGTTGGCTACGGCGTCAATCAGCCGGTGGATGCCGTAATTTCCTCGGTAAGACGATAGTCAGTATTAACTAGTGTCATTGTTTAATCTAAATGTGTTCCTTTGTGTTAGACAAATCAAGTGCTGTTTATATGAGTCACAATATTTGAAACTATGGTTTCAGTTGAATAAAGCCCGAAAAATAAGTCAATATAATTGATGATAAACGAGATGGAGATGAAAGCATATTGATGATCATTCTTTGGCTTTCACTTTTTTTTTCTATGTCGATTGTATTTGTCAAAGATTCATGTTGTTTGAGGTTGCAGCAAATGCTCCAAAAAATTGGACAGATATTTCGTCTTAGTATGAAACACCTCAAGAATGAGATAGATTATCGAATAATCAATTAGCTAACTTTGTACAGTTCACTTGTTTCATCGACTTTATTGATTTTTCTTTTCCCTAATAATAATAATAATAATAATAATATCAATTCAGACAATCGATTTAAAGCTAATAAAGTAATCGGAATGTTTCAAAGTGTTCGCTGTATGACTGTGACGTCTATGTATGCATCGAAAGTGTACAGTTTTATTATGATGATGATTATTATAATTATAAAGGCCAGTCAAATGATTTGTAAATATTTTATTATAAAAGTACTTTCAAAAAGATTATTGTATTTATGCAATTCAAATTTTAAGTTGTTAGATGAGATAACAGTTTGTGTGTTTACTTTATTAAAATTTTTTTCTTCACATCATAAATTTTTATCGGTATATTTTGCCAAATAACAATTCACACCTATTTAACTGTTGTATGTTCACATCTACAACTCCTGCTACTCGCAAGGTTTGAACCCAGGACTTTCGGACTTGCACGCGAACGCTTCACCTCTAGACTATTGAGCCGTCACTCAACGGTATTAATGTCCAACTCTAATCAATCTAAGTATTTTGCACAACTTCACCCATTTGTCTTTCGTCGTTACTGTCTATACGTGATAGGTTTGAACTCCACTGATCACGTCTTCTCACTAGAACTTCTAGAATTTCCTCATGAAGCTAGTACTCATTAGTGAGCACATTGGTAATAAGTGACTTGAAAAATTTGCTCAGTTTTTCTTAGTCAATTCAGAAAAACTTGAAAAACATCTGAAATTTTCAAAAAATTAAATTCACATATGAAATAATTCATAACATAACGTGCTAAGCATTAACTAACTAACCAGTTTGCAATACCTATTGACTCACGCTTATCACCCCCAATGGAGCATAGACCGCTGACCAGGTTTTTCCAACTTATTCTGTCCTGGGCCTTCCTTTCCAGCTCTGTCCGATTTTTGTTCATTCTTTTCATGTCTTTCTCTATTTCTCGGCGTAATATGTTTTTTGGCTTTCCTCATTTCCTCTTACCTTGAGAGTTCCAAGTGAAGGCTTGTCTTGTGACTCAGTTGGGTTCTCTCCGCAGTGTATGTCTGATTCACTTTCAGCGCTTCTGTCTGATTTCCTCCTCCGCTGGAATCTGGTTTGTTCTCTCCCACAGTAGACTGTTGCTGATCGTGTTTGGCCAACGGATCCGAAGTATTTTGCATAGACAGCAGTTAATAAACACTTGTATCTTCTGGATGACGACATTCGTAGTTCTCCAAGTTTCCGCTGCATATAGTAGAACTGTCTTAACATTTGTATTGTTTGCAATACAATATTTATTTTAAATATACTTCTATGGTTGGATTTTATTTCGAAAAATAATGTTTGAGTTCATAGTTGATCATTTAAAATTTCAATAATCATATCATGATCATTATTGATATGATGATAATAATAATAATAATTTTCAATAGCCAATTCATATGAAATAACGATGTGTTAAATGTTCACTGGTTTTATTTATTTTGTTCTTTTTTTCAATCTAAACTGATTGTTTTCAATCCTGATAAGTTAACTGGTGCATCAGTTCAATTTACCACCATATCATGTAAGCAAGGAGAGATGAAGTTATCATGTCCACTGTTAGTAGAAGTGTGGTGCGCGCTACTTATAAATAGTGTATGACGCGAGTAAAAACGTAATGTCTGGCAGCAGAAGATGAGGGAAGATCAAGGAAGGAAGAGTGGGAACACAATGGAATTTGTATGAAACGCATGAATAAGTGGAATGTCAGACAATGGATTGATGATGGATTGAAGATTTGCAAATTAACGGTTTACGATATGGTTTTCCTATTTTACTGAGTAACTCTGTAATTTTCGTTAAATACAATTCGGTTGCCCTCACCTGTGTTCTCCTTCGCTACAGAAGTAGTAGCATAAACATAACAGAATCAAACACTTATCAAACAATTCTGAATATGTGTCATATCAATGTCTATAATTTATGGATTATTACATTGACTGTTCAGTGATTTCGGTTTATTGTTGTTCTAAGTTTTTTTATTGTAAAAATTGAAACACTATCATTTTATTGTCTCGTGTTGTTTTTTTTTCTTCATATAAAATAATCAATTAAGATACATTTTGGACAAATCCACAATATGTAGTCTCTGTTGAAGATCCAGATGAAAATGATGATGAGAATAAAGGAACATTAATTGTTGGTCTAATGCAAAAGAATAGACGAAAAATGCGAAAAGAAGGTGCTGATCTGTTAACTATTGGTTATGCTGTTTATAAAGTAAGATAAAAAATTTTTTTTATTACAATACGATCAATAGTTGTTCGTTTGTTCTTGATTACTGATTTTATTGATAATAGTAGTTTGAATAAAAGAAAATAACAATTATGTTGAATGATGAAAAAATTAATAACGTTGAGATAGTTTGAGTTTGTTTGCACAAAAAGTATCATTTCAGTAACATTATGCTAATAATTTGAATGAGACAATCATTTCATTGGATATTTATTCATGAAATTGCTGAGCAGTGGACTTTCGTTAGGACATAATGAAAACAAATAAATCAATGTGACAGTTGGGTTTCTGTTGTTTTTAATAATAATAATAATGATTATTGATTCAGTCCTGCAGGTTTGATGAAATAAATTCATATAGTTTGTCAAACAACTTAGTTGTATCACCTTACTGTAGATTTATTTATGCACCACCTAGGAGAGAGTGAAATCAATTCTACTTGTTACTACTGTCACATGTAATCAAAAACGGTGCTTACTGGTTAACTTTGTCATGCCTAACTAGTTGTCGCCGATGGATCATACCATTTTGCCATGCTCCATTTCATTTGTAAATCTGGAACACGTTTAAAGCCTTATTATGCTTGTAAATGATTTTGTAGTATGTGTTATCGAGTTCTTTGTCGTCCTTAATAATACTATGTTCACTAGATCGATCAATAAATTATTTTATCAATGCATGAACAGTTTACTCATCCATGTCATATTGCCAGTTTAAAGAAACGAATCTGATGAACATGTGTTTGTTGTACAGATGAATTTCTCTTGATTTTCTGTCATCACAAAAATAATAATTTCCGGCTATTTTTCTCTCACTTTTTGCACACTTTCTGGATATTTCTTCTTGTTTAAGCATGTCAGTCTATGGACTTTTCACAATTACTGTTTATTGACTTAATAAATTGTTCAAGGTCAAACAACAACCATTTTTTGAAACTTATGACCGATTCCAATATCGACCAATGAGAATATGAGGCAGGTCATGTGATCAGCCCTTTTACATTCTTATTGATAATAATAAAACACATGACTAGGCAACTTGTTTACCAAAATAGAGATTGTCTATAATTGAGGACAAACAAGTATGTTTATTTGTTTGTTTGCCTGTTTATTACAAATGGACAACATGAATACTGTTCATATTCATTCATAGGTTTTTCGAATGTACAAAGATTAATAGATTCAATTGGGATTATACTCTTAACTAATGAATTTGGTCTGTTTCTAGAGTACAGATTTGTATTGTTCGCTGAGATGCAAACAGTTCTGATACTAATCAAATCCTTTGTAAATAAATTTAGCTCAACTGTTATTTTGGATAATGGTTAAATTAGATTCTATGAAGATCTTCAGTGGAAAGGAATAAAGAGCAGAAATCAGTGACATAAGACTTGTATCTCCGCTGATTTCATGTTCACTGTGTAGTGCTATTCAGTGTCATTTTAGCTAGATCATGTTAAACAAGAAAAAATAAGGCGAGAACAATATGCGAGAGAAGCTTGAATTAGTTGCGTATTTCAGTATTTAATGAATAACCAGCACATAAGTACTGGTTTCGCTTAATGATATCACGTTAGAGTTACAATTATGTTATAGGTAATTAGCTAAGTCTGATGTTTTTATTACTATGTTTTATAAATGAAGAAATCAACTGATATTAAAGCGGTACAATGAGGACAGTATGTTTGAAATATGAAAGTGGAAAGCACCAGTATAAATGCTTGAAACCATTCATTGAAATAGGAGTGAAAGGGTTCGTGAATTGGATTGTTTGAGACAAGAAACACTTGTCATATATTTTATGCTAATGAAGGAGATTTGTGGCGACTGTATTACTTTCACAGTTGACATCACGAACTAGACTACTTACAAATATACAGTAATATAGTGTTTAAATAAATAATCTGCTTATTTAGATTGTATTTGTGTCAGTAAACGACTGATTAATGAAGATAATCAGATGTTTGTAGGGCATAATACCTTTTTGTTAAATATGAGGTGAAATAAACATTATTTAAGTTGAGGCAACTAATGTTGTTGTTGTTATCGTTGTTGAGTGCTCGAATAGGATAAGGAAGGCTCATTTTAATGATCATTCTTAGAAAACTTGTAGAACAATGATAATTGTAGTAAACATCACTACACTTATCTCCATCAAGAAATTTCCACTATCCTATTAAAATAATGAAACCTACATTGGGGAATCGCCAACACTTACCTTTCATCAATCAACATAAAAACATAATCCACAACAATTTGTGTAGAATTATACTTCTTGAATAATATCTTCGAACCATAGTCTTCATCATTATCATCAATACCCCTACTATCTTTATCACTATGGGATTTGATTTGACATTTGTGTCTCTGTGCTAATGCTGCGGTTTGGCAACATGAACTTATGTACATACGTACGAAGTTCTACGTTGCAACTGACTGAATCCACAACAATTTTGAAAGATTGCGAATAGGCGCCATATAAAAACTTGTTCAATTGATTTTGTTTAATAATAAAAGAGTAAACAAATCGGAAATTAGTCATTAGATGGCATAATCCAGTAGTTGTGTAAATTTGTTGATAATATATGCTCTATTTGTGGACATATTATGTATTTTGTGGTTTACTTTAAAAAAACATACAAAAACAAATCAAATAAAATAATTGTTTAGTTACCGGAACAACATCAAGGTACTTTGGATTTGAAATTTTTCAAATACAATGCATCAATTGCACGTTCACCAGCATTTATTAACTTACGTGAAGTATGCGGTCGACATAGATTGGATCCAGGACGATATGTAATTGTTCCGTCAACATTTCAACCAAATGAAGAGGCTGATTTTATGCTGCGTATATTCTCAGAAAAAGCTCCTACAACTCAGTAAGATATTGTTTTTGTGTGTGTGTGTGTTTTCGTAAATCAAAAAATGTGTATTAAAGTAGTTGTTCTTAAGTCATATACCGTTTAGAGATGTTCTTTTGTTACGTAGACTTATCCTAAACCTAGATACATAAACGCTTTAACGAGTGTATTCAATTTTATTGTTAGTTTGGTTAGTTTTTAGATCTATTGAAATTAGTTATAACTTTGGAAGTTCTAGTCAGCGTATGTTGCCAGTGAGGTCCTATCATATCTGCGATGAAATGAGTGTCATCGTTGAAAATAAGGATGATGACCGAATAATATTGCGAATTAATTGGATCCAAAGTTAGCCGTTCAAAGGCTTAGGCTCTTTCCGTTGGGCACGAATGATGAGTTGTGAACGCAGACCACCGAGAAGTCCCATGAGATGACGAACCAGTTTTCTAGTCTCTCTTCATTCTCATTGTTGCAAAATTACACACACACAAACGAACAGTCAAATGAATTTATTTCAGGTCAAAACTAGTCAAGTGTATATCTCATATATAGTGGTTGTCTATCTCTGGCTAGATAATCGAACTTATAACTGTCTTGCTAAACCAATGCATAGAAGCACCAGTCTAATGCTTCCTGATTTTAACTGATTGCCTAACAAGGCCTATTTCGTTATGCTAATTAGAGGGGTTGGAATAGTTTAAAATAGTTCGTGAACAAGTGAAAAAGTCTGTTTTGTATTTCTGTCTATCCAACTGTGCATATTGTCATTGTCGTTTCATTGATGAATTCTTTTAACTATAGAGAGTTGGATGAAGAGATTGGTGAAACTGAACCAACAGTAAGTTATGTAGTTTTCAATTTAAAATCACATTAAATTTATACAAGTTTTTCAACTGATTAGTTCAAAATTGTTTCTACTAACGCTTCTACCATATATTTATTTATTTATCAAATCAGTGGAGATACATTAGTGATTTGATTTTATTCATATATTAGACAGTCAGAAAATAATTCACTTGAGTTATTATTTAATAGTGATTGACTTATATTCGTAAATGTATTATACTATTAGATTCCTATGTTGCAATATAGAACTGACGAAAGGTAAGGGCCCAGCCGGAGAAGTTTCAAACAATGTAGTAACAGCTAAATGAACAGATTCTGATAATGTTTGACATTCGAACAACCGTACTGGCTCATATGATTCACATTCGCCTTAGTTTGCTTGCATATGAAGAAAGCTCAACTAGGTTTAGTTTAGAAAGCGATTTAATAATGATGATGATGAGTTTTACATCGTAAACAATTTAAATATTCTTTATCAAAGATTTTTCACTTATTTAAGTTGAACAAGAAACTTTTACAAGTTAATTATAGCAGAAAAAATATCACTTTCCAGATAGGATCCATTATCTCTAAGAAAAAAAACATAGAGATCAAATATCAGCTTGAATGGTCCCAATCATTTTACACATTGGTCACTTTTTCTGTAATATAATGGCCGTTTCAAGGTCAAGCAATCAGTTCTACTGTATACAAACAGTGAAACAAAGCACACTTAGAAATGTACTAATATATTAGTGAAATTAATTTAATGTTAACACATGAATTGGGGTTTGTTCTGGTTGTTGTTGCTTTCTTTTTCATTCAAACAAATCATGTTATTAACTCAGTGAAAATATAACCAATTCCATTGATTGAAAATCTAAATTGTATAACTATATGCATCAATTTGTCTAATGGTTTTGAGGTTATTTGCCAGGTTTGATGTGTTTGAAAATCCATCTGTCTCTGGTCCCATATTCAAATAGTCTAAGAGTAGTGTGCCATCACGTCCACGAGGTATACATGTTCGCATCAGTTTATGAATGTCCGTTGTTAAGAATTCGCTACTTGACATCACTTTATAGTGAATAGTCATTGTTTTAGATGATAATATGGCTGAAATTAAGTTAAAATTTATTGAAATGTCATGGTGATTGGTTGTTGGTGAATTTGACAAAACATTAAAATTTGACCAGATCATCGAATACTATTTGATTGAAAGTACATGTCATTATAAGTCATTGCTTCCTGTTCAGACGATGATAGAATATTTTAAATATTCTGTAAGGTAAGTTACTTCCGATTCCTGAAACGAGTATCTGTTCAGCAATGTTCTTCTTATGAGTAAATTTGATTGGTAGCTTTAAAACGGTTGAATGAAAAAAGTAGTTTCCAGTTAATCAAACAATCAGAATAGTTTATAACGAATTGATTGATTATGTGGATGAATAAAGTAAAAATTTATGAAAGCTAACATTATTGAGAAGTATGTCGATCGTTTGTAAGATTAAAACAGCTTACCGGCGAAACCTTCATTTCTGGTAATTTCAGTTTATGATAAAATGTAATTACATTGAACTCACCAATGTTAGATCACCGGTAGAAAACTGGCAGCACTAAACGGCCCTTTCGTCCCAGCATGGGACTCATCAGTACTACGCATCCACTGCCTCTCACGCACGGGAATCGAACTCAGGACCTTCGACCATGGGCGCAAATGCTTAATCTCTAGACCACAGAGACGTCATCCGGTGGTATTAATGTCTGTGTTTAATCACTCCACGATATTGCAAGACATCATCAGTTGTCTTCGGTAAGTAACTGCCTCATACGCTGACAGGGCTGAGCTCCACTGGTCACGGATTCTCACTAGGACTCCGAGAATTTCTTCACGAAGCTAGTTATTAGTGAATACATGATAATTTTCATTGTAGGGTTGTGGAGATTGTCGAGCTTCATTGAAATCATGAATCGATCAATGTTAGGCTACATTCTTCCCACACTAGGACGAAACGGCCGTTCAGTGCTTCTAGGTTTCTAACAATCTCCACAACCCTATGATGAGAAATATGATACGACGAATTATTCTGAAAGAAGTAAGGATTTCATTCTCTTATCTATTTGATAGATTTTCTGTCATATACAAAAATTTTTAAGAATTCTCTCAACTTATGTTGAATAATTTGATAATCGTCAATGAAAATACGAAATAGTCTGGATATTAGTGTGTGTGCGGAAAACATCATGGTCAATGAAACTGTAACGAATGCTGTGACTGACTACACTGCAGAGTGAAGTAAAACAGATTGAAATCTTTCCATTGACATGTATTATTGTACTACAAATTTGTGTAAACAACAGACTGTATCACAACAATTCACACGAATAAATACAAGAGTTTTAAACATTTTACGCTGTCCTCATCCATGTTGTATGTGAATATTTATTGTTTTAGAAATTGGAACTATTTCAGTCGATATTTAAAGTATGTAGTTGTTCATTTTATCCATAAATAAATTTTACTTTCATTACGACAAAATATAACAGTAATAAAACAAGCTTTATTGGCATTAAAGCTTTGAAAAACATTGCGGTTTACAATTGAACATTCTGTTGTAATACAATAGATCAGTGAATTAGACACATCAACTAAACGAATATTTGCACTGTTTTCCTTCGGCGGTTGTATGTGATCAGTTTTCAATTGAAATTTTTAATTAAAAGATAAACACACTTGTGTCTTTTAGGTTCAAAAAGATGACAGCATTCTTAAAATGACGGTTTGTTCACTGCAAAGAAAAAACATGTAGTTTTTTCCACAAGTGTTGATTTCTGTCTTATTATTTTTTCCCAATGAATGTTTGTTGGCAGTTAGTTTAGGCCGGTTACACTTGTTTTCAATGTGTTCTTTGATTATTTGGTTAATAAGAGGACAAAAGTTGTTTTTCTTATATTTGTTTTAAGGTTTTATTTTAAAAATGACACTGATTGATTTTTCTCTCTCTGTGTGTGTATGTTTTGTGCACTAGTCTCGTTTAAGTTTACAATCTGTCTCCAATGGTTAGGTGCTTTTACTCTCCTTACTCACCTCAAAACAACAACAAACAGTGTTACACTTATGCACAATCCATAGACAAGTTTGTGTTTTGTTCAAAAAATAAACTTTAGTGTCGTCTGTTCAACAAACACACAACACAAACCTGTTTTGATGTATTTTCTTTATTAATCATTTAGTTTTTCTGCTGGCATTTTAGGCACTTTTTAAATAAAAGCATTAATCGATGTTTGACGATCACTAGAAACGTGGAAAGCACTGGACGGTCGTTTCGTCCTGGTATGGGACTCATCAGCAGTGCACACCCACGACTCTTGCAACAGAGAGAATCTGTAACCAGGACCACCGGTCTTGCACTCCAACGACTAACCTCTGGACCACTGAGTCAGTATCTAACGGTGTTAAATCTAACTTCGATCTATTGACGGTCTTGCGCAGCCTCATCCACTCTCTTTGGTGAGTACTGCTTCACACCGGAATAGGGATAAACTCCACTAGTCACGACTTCTCACTAGAACTTGGAGAGACTTCCTCACGGAGGTAGTCACTAATGAGCACATGATAATCTTTATTATGGGTCTGTGGAGATTGCTGAGTTACTGTTTGAAATCATAATTAATCGTATACTAGGACGAAACGGCCGTCTTTCAGTGCTTCCGCTTTTCTAATGTTTGTCTAACATTGATCAATTCATGATTTCAAAAAGTAACTGACTAATCTTCACTTGTGTGTTTGCGAAATTCAGTCGCAGAAATTGTTTCAGCAAGTTGAATGAAATTAAATAGTTTGTGAAAAATAAAATAATAATCATAATAATAAATCTAATCACAATGGATCACAATGGTTTATGATTTTTTTGCAGAAGCAACAATGTAGAGCGTAGTTAGTTGTTCAATGATCTATGACTAGTTTCTAGTTTATTTTTTAACTGAAGTAAACTGAATTGTTTTTAAATATTTAATTTGATTATTCCAAAATGGTTTTATGTAATATTTTTAACTTTTTGGTTAGTTTGTGTTTTATGTATATGGAATATCTCATAATATTGTTTGAACATTGTGTGCAGAGTAGTAGCATTGCAGTGGATATTTTTGAAAATAATTTTGATCTATTTAAGCTACAATATCCAAAACATCTGCAAGCATAAATATAATTTGAAAAATTTTAAAGCCATAACAATATGCGGTCGAATTAAAATCAGTTGGTTTTTTTAACATTGAACTCTGAGTGACTCACTTTAATCAATGCCAAAAATAACAATATTCATGGCGAAATTTCAAGTTTCAATGTTATTTTTTTTTTTAGTTTATGTGAAATTTGTTGAATTATTGTCAATTGTTTACATTGTCTTTCTACATTTCTACTTTTTATAGCTCAATTTGGATGATAATGTATGTGTTTTTTCTTTTTACTATGCAACAAGCATCTATTGCCTGTGATTTTTGTGTTTTCCTCAGCATATTCATTAGTATTCGCTTTTGTGGATTTGCAGATAGAAAATAACTTAGCTTTATTCTTGATGAAATGACCTTTCAAGTTTTTCTTCCAGTGATTCCTTACTACTTACTGAATGAACACTGTTTGTTGTTCTGTGTGAAAAAAAATATCTACAGTTTTATATTTTTGTGTGATTGATTGCTGTGTATTGTAATTCTGTTTTGAAAAATCCGTTTTACACATTGAGTTTATTCAATTAGTACGTTCATTGAAATTGTAAACTTTCTATCGGAAATAGTTTAAGCTACACTATTTTTTATATTGTCTATTCACGAAAACCACATATGTGAGATAGTACAAGTGTTTAATCTCCGTTCTTATTGTTTAAAACACAATTAAATCTGTTAATATTCAGTGTTTGACAACAACACCATCGCTTCAAGTTCACTGTCTCCATATTATACCGATTCTCGTTTGTTGAGTGACCACTTCTCGGTTCAAGGAAGTTTAAGGTGGAGAGATTTCTCATTCAACGAAACATTGATTTCCTCGGTTTTTGATGAGTTATCAGCAATAGTCAAATGATTTATGTGCTAGTTTTTTTCTCTCAATTACAAATGTTTTGTGAGCATATCATGTACACATCATCCTAAAATGTATTTGATCAATAATTATCTCGACAGCGATAATGATAATAACAGGCTTGAATTGCACAAAATAACAGTCATACAATTCGGTAGATGATCTTATTGATAAGAACGAATAACTTTTATGCTCAGATATTGCAATACAGTTCCGGTTGTTAGATTGTACGCCTAATACACTACTGCTACTATTGTCACAATTATTATTGTTAATTCTCTGTAACTATGTTTGATAGTTTAAAGCATAGAATATGAATGCAAATTGTAATTAAAGTTTTGACATGTTACAACATTAATTTCACAATTTTTTTTTCATACGATCACTTAGTTTTTGAAAGCCCATTCGCTTGTGTGCATGTGTTTGCGTTTTGTTTGGCATTGCTGATCAACCTTTTTATTATTTGAAAATCCTTTTAACGGAAGTGTTTTGATTTTAGCTTAAAGTTTAAGTGATGTTTGAGAAATGTAGATTACATGAGCTGAATGTGTATGTTACTTTTAAATTATTGATTTGTTTTTTTAATCAATAAGTCAACATGAAGACATGATGAAAATTTTATACAAATCACTGTCTATTTGATTTAAGTTGTCTAAGGAAGTAAGTATAGTGTGTATGGTAGGCTGAAGCAGAAAAAACTTCCGATTGGAATTATGGTTTTGATATGTAGTCATCTATTGCATTTTTGAATTTCATTCAATCATTTCCAATTAAATTTCTTCTGTTGTTGTTAACATTATTATGCTCATATTCATTAACTCTTAAATTTCTTAATGTAAATTACTCGTTCTTTTGATGTCAACAATAATAACATTTCGGATTAATGTACATATGTGCCTGCTTGTATGTTATTCGTTAAGCGATTTGTATATCTGAAATGGAGAATTGATGAATTGAATCATTTTACTCATAAATGTCCATAGTTACTTATTACATACTGAATAGTGATTAGTCTTTTTTAAGGTATATGAAAACTGAAAAGCTACTTAGATATTATTAGCCTTTTAGTTGCAAGTTTTAATATGCATAGATTCTGACCAGGAATGGAATCCAAGACAATGATTTCATTCTATTATGCATTCATCAGGTGAATGCACCTGGATCTTAGTGTTGACAATTGAATTCAGTCCCACATTTGTGGTATATCTATCCACTTTTCTTTTTCTTCTACGGTAGTTATCCTGAAAAAATCTTGAAGATACTCATTGATTTAAACAACTAGTATTATTCATTGAAATTGCCAATTCGAAATTCGATCTTTATAAGCATTAATGACATAGAGCTGGATTTTCTCTGGGAAGGTTGAACATTTCTAGTAACATGTAGATCATATTCACGTTAAGCTATTCATATTGTCTACTTTTAATACTATTCTTATTGTACTTTTAAATAAGTTTTATCTTGATGATTTTAAATGATACTTGTTAACGAAAATAACATAAATCGAAAGGGTTTGTAGTCTTAATAGTAGTCTAAACAATAAACTACACAAAGTAGAGTATAAATCAACTCTACACAGTATAGATTCGATAGTAACAGCGTAATTAAAATCATTTGATAGACAAGTATTATCTCACTGTATAAATTATGAATTGAAAGTCATCCCTCTGAGAGTGGTGATTAAAATATCTTACATTTTATGCTGTAATCAAAAAAACTTGTCTTCCAATCACTTTTTAACATTTCATTAGCTTGAATGATTTAGCTTCTTATTGTTGATTGGTTGTTATTTCCCAATAAAAGATTTCCTTATTTCCTCCATTAATTTCATATTATTAATTAATGCATGTTTTATGGGAATGTGAATGATTAGTAAATAGATTCTCGTAACCTGTTTAATTTAGAGATTTCAGTTTCTTGATATGTTTATTATTTTGAAATTGACGATCTTTATTGTCATTCTGTGGGTTGATGGAAATTACTGAGTGCCATTAAAATCATTGGTCGACTAAATTTAAATTACTTTAGAAAATCAAAGAGTACTGGACAGCTGTTTCGTCTTAGTGCAGACCTTCTAGGTGTAAGCATCCATAGTCGCACCATATGCTTAACTTGTAGTAGTAATGAGAAACTGTGAACAGTGTGCATCTCTGTCGTATTTGGTGTGCAGCAGTCACCTGCTGAAGACAGTGAAAGATACGATGACCAATAAAGTGAATTGATTACAGTTAGATATTTAAACAAAAGAATCCCAGCCCAGTGGTCTTATTATTTCAGCTGTGTCAGAGAAACTTGAAGATTCTAGATTCAATCTCATGTAGGGTTGTTGATGTACACCACTACAAAGTCTTATACTAGAACAAAACAGATTTCCAGTGCTTCCTTATTCTGATAGTGTACAATTTCGATTATTTCTATGTGTTCTATTCCAATGGTACCCGTTAATGCAGATTTGTTAGTTAAAACAAATTCAAAAAGAGAAGGCCATTATTAAATTACTGCTGCCTATTTGTCAGTGTATGTCAGAATCCTAATTTGCCATTGTTTTGTACAATCTATACAACAATATACATACTTTTTGAAGCCTATCTCCTTCTTTCAACTGTTTCTTATGATGAATTGCACTTGCATTGCTACATTGAATACCGTTGTGTCTTTGTAGATTTCCTCTATCTTGGCAGTTTTATTACAATTTATTCAGTCAAAAGTTTATGCAATTGTTTTTGGATAAGAATTTCAAATAATATGATGAATGTGAAAAAGCTGGTGCTCTCCGAGTTCTTCATTGCATGATAGTTTATTTGTGGCTTAGGTTTTTATTTCATCCGGGATTCCATTGATTGCGTCAATTTAAATAATATTTAATTCAAACAATCCTAACTACAACAACACCTACTACCAATACTACTATTAAATTTCTCTTTATTAAACAAGTAACAACATTCTATAAAATATTATTTCCTTTCTCCATCTCTGTGTTTTTTCATGAATGTTATTTACTCGTGTATTGCACTAGTTTTTTTCTCAATCAGCATATGTCACTATTTATCTCTCTCTATTTGTGTGCTTTTTTGTTGTTGGTTACAATAATTTCATTTTTGTAGACGGTTGTCAAACCATTGACTGATGTACAAGTGGAAGCATTACAAAGAGCATTTAATAAAGTTGCTGGAGATGATGGTGAAATTGACGCGGATGAACTACGTGATATATTGAATTGTGCATTTACTCAAGGTAAGAAAAGATAAACAACATGGTAGAATATAAATCAATTTATTTGTTTTACTGAATTATCTCCTCTCTCTCTCTCCGTCTGTATACAAATTAATGCTAAAAAAAAAAGAAAACTCAACTCTGATGAATAGGATTATTTGTTCAATTAAGATGGTGATGTTATGGTGTTAACTATAATTCATCAGTCAACAATAATCCAGATTGTTTCTATACAAAAATTTCAACTTTTCTAAATTCTCTATCTTTCACCAACAGCACTCACTGAGTAGATTCCAAACATGAAGCTTTTTTAATACCATTTATTATTGGGTTGATGAATTTTCAATTGTGCACGTAGTTAGGAATTAGTGTTGTTGGAACAGTTTTTATAATTTCCAATTATTCCCCTTATTTCATTTTTTCCGTTAAAAGAACAGATTTACGTAAACATCATAGTTCACTTCCAGAGTCCAATGTCTACCAGAAGAATATATGTCAGTGAATTAAGTATTTTGTGCCGATGAAACAATCTTCATAACATAGTTTATGTTATTTTACAGATAAGCTTAGACAAGCAGATAATATTGTTGTTATCGAAAATAAGTCCACATGTAAATTGAAATCATTTGGATTTTATGCTTTTATGTCAATGATAATAATAATTATAATAATTATAATAATAATGATAATATCGATGGACGATTAGGTCAAACAGATTACAAAAGAATGAGGAAATTGTGGACAGCAAATGCAGAATCTAGTACAATCGATATATGATATATATACACACATACATGTATACGTTAGGCAATAAACAACAATTGTCCGGCAAATTACCTCATCATACGGACTGGTAGTTATCTACCGTCTAATTTATCAATACGGTCATTTGTGTTGTGCGAACTGTGATAGTTTTTCTCTTGTATGCTTTGTCGCACTGATGATGTGTAAAAGTTGAAAGAAAACTACACAAACAAATCACCTAGCTAATAGAATGCAACTATATAATGAGAAAGAATTCTCGCTCTTGTTTGCAATTGGTTACCATGGTTACCATCTGAAGGGAAGCTATGGTGACTTTTGAAAACATCATTTTAAGCATTTTTTTCTTACAAAAAAACAAACAATCCGAAATACGTACTTTTGTTTAATTTTTGAGTGATCTGATAAAGTTACGTCCTTACTGAATAGTAATTGTTTTTATTTTTTTCTTTTGAATAATGCAAAAACTTTGAAAATTCGATAAAAGCAACCCATATATATATATGTACATACTTCACGTGTTTTTTTTGTAAGCATAATTCCGATCATGCAATCGGGGTTTATTCTTCTCATCGGTGCCATGCATACATCCTATTGATTTAAATCAAGTTTTATTTTTCAATCAAAAATCAAGGAAGAAGTAGTTTCTTTTGATGAAATTGCTCCTATAAATTAACTGTTGATAACTAGAAAAATACAGTGTTTAACAATTTTCTGCATAGTGGTAGGATTCAGGACTAACGTTTCTCTCCTATATACGACTGACTTCACAGTTGTGTTTACTCACATCCATGTTAATTTCTCATGTGAGACTTGGATTCATTTAGTTTTACTGCAAACTATTACAGTTCCACAAGCATTCTTTATTATAAATGCGAAAAGCCGGCTATCACGTTCAACGGTAAAAAAACTCTTTATTTTTTTATACTGTGAATAGTGTCTTTCAAACACTTGGTACTTGATATATTGACAAGATTTGTGAGTTGGTCAATACCACGTGCTCCAATGAGCAAAGTTCCACTGGCCAAGCAAATCACCTAACGCATATTGGTACAAGTAGGAATACAGTATTATACTGAGTTAGTTTTATCGATTCAGAGAAAGAGAAAGTAGGTAATGTCCGTATCATTTAGAAAATATATCCAGTTCTCGTGATAACTATTAGCCTTAAACCATTCTAGATCCTTTGCAGTCATTGTAGTTCATAGTTATGAACTCTAAACTTTATGTTCCAAAGTGGATATATATATTTGCTCGTTTTCGTACAACTTGTTTTTCTGTAATTATAATTTACATAAACTATATATCTAATGAGATTTCTTATTTTATATATATATATATATTGTCTATTTTACAAGACTCATTCGGTTGTAAGCTAAATAAATACTAAGTATTTAACTAGTTTGAATTAACCACATATTTCTATTGATAGCGTGTGCTCAAGGTGATTCTTATCTTGTCATTTCTATCCTTAGTTTTCTTTTATAGAGAAGACAATTCATGCTTATTTTTCATTGATCAGGTTGTATATGTGTTTCCTTGTACACTGTAGATTAGTGAATTAATATTAATATCTTAAATCATAGAATGTTTGATTGATTCAAGTTGATGGCTAAATACATGTTTAGTCGAAGTAGAAGTTGGTTTTTATTTTTAAATTCGACTTGAAATTCCCTTGTTATTCTGCTTCTTCTTCCGTTACTTTCTTCTGTGCTTTATTTCTCAAATTTGAGCATTGCTCTACTGAATAATGTTGAATTTTTTTTCCCAATTTAGTTGTAATCATTGTCATTGTGACATATGTTCGTTAAGATCAGTTCAATGATGATGGTCACGGTAAACTGTGATTACATTTCAACATGAAGGAGCTAAGCATTGTTATTGACTTTCACATAGTGAAATGATAAGCTTTTCAGTCTATCTTGGTGGAAGATTCTTTTTCCCCACTTTCTTGTAAGATGATAGAAGTGTAATTATCATTGCATATTTCTTTTGCCTTTTTTCTAATTCTTTTGATAAACTTTCAAACAAAAGCACTGCTTATAAATAGGTGTTTTCAATTCGATATTCATTGATTCTACTTAAACTTTGCACTTTTTCTTAATTTACTATAATACTGTAATCACAATAAACAAACCTTTATGGAATAGTTATTTTCTCTAAAGAGTGTGTATGGGCATAGTAGCTTGAAGCGAGTAATTTTTTAGCGATTGCAATTATACTGTTTAATAATATCAAGTAGTATAAACTGATTTATTTTTATTTCTATGCCTTTCAAAATTATAGATTTTCCTTTTGAAGGATTCAGTTTGGAGTCGTGCAGAAGTATGATTGCTATGATGGATGTATCCTTTTGTTCAGTCTTGAAATTTCTACATTATCATGTTTTGATGATTACTTATTTGATGGGAAATCACTATGCAAAGAAAGTCAAATCACTGGGAAGATAATACAATAGATTTTGAATTAAGCCAAAAGATGATACAGTTTGTGACGCTTTTTGTAGCCATAGTCTATTGTGTTGGAGATTGATTAATATATTATAGTTGCTCTGAGACATGTTTTCTTTGCTATAGTTTGCATTTCAGACTCGCTAGGTAGTCGCTAGATACTCAATAATGCAAGGTATGAAGTTCCATATTCACTAAGCACCACTCTCGGATTCTAATAAGAAAAGCATCCCTGAACTATGATAAATTACTCAATAAAACTATCGTTGGAATGACAGATTTTATGAGAGCTTCAAATGAGACATATGACAACGAATAGAATCTGTTTAGTCAGAAACTTATCAATGTCGTCACAAATTGACTATAGACTGTTAGAATTTAGATGGTCTTGTTTTCTTTGTGATAAACTAAAGTTAGTTTCAACTTTTTTTATGATTTTCAATATTGTTAGTTGTATATTGGTTACACCAATATAATTATCTGCACCTTAACTCAGTCACTCCTCGGTAGGTTGATCGATCTGGTATGTTAAGCTTTCCAGAATTCAGAAAACTGTGGGACCTGTTGCGTGTTTGGAAGGTGAGCAATTGATTTACAAGTATACTTTAAAGACATCTACGATTTCTACTCTAATTTAAAGGGAGCTTTTGTGTAACAAACAGTTAACTTTCGTCCTAGTAATCTATTGCAGTGTACGAATGTAGTAACAGTGTTTGTCCTGTCAATACAGTTAATAACCTTCACTTTATAAATATCTTGATATTGAAACTTTCATGAATCAACCAGGTGATACTCAAGGACCTTGTTTTTCTATCACGATTTAAACATAGGACACTGTTTAATGTTAATCTGTTGCATTGAATAAGGTCACTTTATTCTTCAGATGGATAATTTACTTTATGTTATGTGATTAATAAGTCATTTTAATTCTAATTTTGACATTCATGTTAATGAATTTTGAAATGGTCGATTACTAATCCTATTGTTACTGTTACATATTAACTTTGATTCATTCTTGAAACATTCCAATAATCATCTATCGATAATCAATATGAAGTGAAATTAAATTGAATCATTAATCATAAACTGTGAACATATTTATAACAGTGTTGATATTGATTTTTACATTGATTAAGGTTTATATTAGAGATTAGAAAAAAAAGAAATTAACTGTCTATACATTAATCCGACAATAATTCTACAGCTGAACAATCATAAACAGTTTTTAAATATTAACAAAATCTAGTTGGATTAATTCATTTATTTATTAGTATCTGGCTAGTTCACCGCCACACAATACTCTTGAAACATTTTAGTTTAAAAATAAGTTCATTGGTTTACTTACTTACATACTTACTTACTTACTTACTTGCTTACTTACTTACTTACGCCTGTTACCCTCAATGAAGCATAGGCCACTGATCAGCATTCTCCAACCTACTGTGTTATGGGAGTTCACTGGCCACGTATTACTATTTTCGTGCATGAATAAAAGCAAGGAATTAATGACAATACAAGTCAATAAACTGCCTCTTCATTTAATCAAACAACCAGTTAGAAATCAATGTATCAAATAGTTCACTGTGACATTCTTATGCATAGTTTGTTCATACATAATATATGAGAATTGCCGATGATGAATGAAGTTTTCAATGTATATTTAAACAAGGTGAAATCTAAGTGATAGATACGCTGGCAAGTATCTATGATTTGCACCCAGACATAAACAGGATCAGATTAGAATTAATATTACTGTCATGTTTATTGATATTGAATTCACATTGATTGAGTGAGTTTCTATGATAAAGCAAAAAGGATGTTTTAATTAGAATTAATTTAATGTGTTACAAATACTTCATTTATGAAATTGCAATTGTTTTATTCAATGTCTGTTTCATTAGTGATTGTTTTATTTATTTTATTTTTATTTTTTCATATTCTAACTTTTGTTATCTTTTTTTTCTTTTGTTTTGCCAAATTTGCAATTAAAAATTGCCAAAAATTTCACCTTCAGTCTGCATTTAAACAATTCGATACGGATAAAAGTGGTTCAATGAATTCAATTGAATTAAGAAATGCATTAAAACATGTTGGTAGGTTGAGTATATTTTTGTTGTTGTTGTTGACATGTTCATGTGATGAATGTGCGATGAATGTATGCATTTACACAAACATATATATATATATATATATATATATATATATATATATATATATATATACATTTATCAAGAAAAAAACTCAGCAAAGTAGCTAAGAACCATCCTTAAATGGATGACCTACTCCAGTTGAAATACAGTTGAAAAATATAATATTAGGCATAAGAATTAGGATTGAGAGGTTTTTTTCTCAAACTGATGCCACAACTATGATGCAAGTATCATAAATCTGCCTATCCGAAGTCCCAGTTGTAGAAATAAATAAAAATGCATCGGTTGTTACTGTTTCCTGATTGGCTAAACGGCTTAAGATCGGTGATATTCCTCATCTTTACATGCAAATCGTACATATTCACCATGAGAGGTTGATAAGTTGGTTTAACCAACTTAAAGACAAGCAGTGAGCTAATGATAAGTGTATATGAGACTAATTATTCACAAATCTGACATCGATACGATGAACATGATTGGTTCTTTCCTCTTCATTTGTTTCTGGGTAACTAGAGTGAAACGTTCAAGTTTGTGTGGAAGCTTTTCTTTGCATAGACCCTTGAAGAATTCAATAAGATTTAAGTTACAAGTTGCAGATCAATTTAGTGCAGTGATTAATGATTATAGAATTTTATCAAAATGCGGAATTTTCACTCAACACAAAATCACAGTGAATAAGCTTAATGCAATGAAAATCAAATGGTTTCAAATGTGTAAAAACACAAAGCTCCAAAACTCTGCCCGAAAATATCGTAACAGTGCTCACTAGTGACTAGCTTCGTGAGGGAATCTCGGAGTTCTAGTTGAGAAGACGTGACCAATGGAGTTCAACTCTGTCGGGTGTAGGCAGTAACTACCAAAGACAAATGGGTGTGGTCGCGCAAAATAACTAGATCCATTAGAGTTAGACATTAACACCGTTGGATGCCGGCAAGCTCAGTGGTCCGATGGTTAGGCGTTCGCGCACAATACCGAAGGTTCCGGGTTCGAATCCTGCGAGGTGCAGGAGTCGTGGATGCGCACTGCTGATGAGTCCCATACCAGGATGAAACGGCCGTCCAGTGCTTCCAGGTTTCTAATGGTGGTCTAACAATGATTGATTGATGATTTCAAATGTGTAAAAACATAAACCTCCATAACTCTGCCTGAGAAAATCAAATAATCGACTGCATATTGAATGAAAATTAACTGAGACATAATAAACTAAATTCACTCTTCGTTAATCGATACAATGAAAATGCATTGGCAGTTGACAGAACATAAATCACTTAACATTAATTAACTAACTTTATGATTGATTTTGTAAGAAAGCGGTTGGAATTAGTACATAGGAAACTCTGAATCTAGGTTTCTAGCTCCTTGACACTCCTTAACATGGTGTACTTGTAATTTTGAGAGAATTAATTCTCCCTGGCAAGTTCTGTTTTTTTGTTACTCACAGCCTCATTGTCAGATAGGTTATCATTAAGTAAATTGATCAAGAGAATTTGATCATCACTACTAAATTGGACTTGATATACATTAAATTGGCCACTACTCAAAGATCAATCCATTGTAAGATTGATTGTCTTTCTTGTATGTTATATCTTGAATAATAAAACTTTACATGTAATGAAATTAACTCTTATTTTGTATGTTCAAAAAGAATTTGACTGATTTGGTAAACTAACGAAATTAATCTCTGGTACATGATGTTTTGACTACCTGTGTGTGATTGTGTTATGCAGAAATATCATCTAGACTTTTTGGTTTTAACATACATAGAGGACATAGAAATGATTTACAACATTTTGGTACTGATTAAGTAAGTCTATCTCAAATCCTAAAATCACTAGCCAGTATCACGTGAAAAAGTACAAATAGCACCGGAAACACTGTGAATCTGCTTTGAATGCTTGCAGGTGCACAACTCTCTATCCTGCTGCTTAGTTTTCAGGCTTAGTTCATAAGCCAGTCTGCAGCACAAAGTTCGTTTTATTTCAAACAGATATAGTTTATATAACAAAAATATACTAGACTACATTATATCATAAAATAAGAAAATACATTCACGCATAATCTAGCCAAAAGTGATTAGGAACAATAAATTACGCATTCATTGAAAGATCACAATCAACGTTAGTGAATAATGATAGAATAAGTTTACACATGATAATAATAATTCATAATTCAATCAGTCTATGATGTTATCATTACTCTAATCATCTTTCTAATCTAATTCATTCATTCTATCAACAACAATAACAAAAGTGTATTTGACATATCAATCCAAATTTCACTTGTGAGTTGTGCCAGTTAAAAAATTCATTTAGTTAATAGCTTCTACAATATGAATGATTTGCTTGAACATTTTTCTTTGTTGTTATTATTATTTTAGGTTTTTCCATTAATAATGCAACATTTTCAACGTTGGTATTGCGTTTTTCACGTCGAGATGGCAGTGTACCATTTGACAGTTATGTGATTTGTTGTGCACGTTTACACATTTTATTTGAATTATTTAAAGCATCACCAAAAAATGCCAATTCACAAGCATTATTCACTGAAAGTGAAGTAAGTTAAATTATAAAAACTGTTGATTAGATAAATTATTATTTGATAAGATTTCATGTAAATTATTTTCTAATTATTATTTTTATAATAAGTAAGATAAAAAAATTTCACAATTCAATATTCTGTTGGAATTTCAAGTTGGAAATTTATTCAATTGAACTTGTATGTGATTGATTGTAACGAGTGTGTGTGTATATACGATTATCAGGAAATTTCACTGAGAGAAATAAATTGACTCTTAGTGCATTGAAAATTAGTGGACATGGGAAACTAATGCAGGAATATGCATAAAATGAAATAAAATTCTTTTTCAATTCGAAACCAAGAAAGAAAAAATTTTGATCAACATGGCAAAATATAAAAATGAATATTCATTGTTTTTCTTGGTTGTTTTTGATTTTCACTTTTTTTTATTCAACTGTTTACAAGTGGTTAGCATTAAATTTTTTTTTGTAAGATCTTTAGCGATTTATTCTTGTAAAAACATCTTAGAACTTAGACGTTTGTGTTAGGATGTTCACCAAATATCCTATGAAGAATCATTTTATAAGTGTAAATTCTGTTGGTTGATTCCTATTCGTCAATATTATGGTCGTCCTAGTTATCAATGTCACTTCAAATATTTCTTCTTATTGGTCGCCTTAACTGTCAATGTCACAGACTTCGATGCTGTTTCCTATTCTACCTAAATGTTTAAATACGAATTATCTGTAACGTTTTAAAACCGGCACCCGGACCTGCATCCTCAGTCCCGGATCCATGTCTTCTTATGGTCTCGGGCCTCGTACCTTCTGGATGTTTGTCGAATACAGATTCTACTTCATATCAAGTCTTCTTCTTTCACTCACTCAATGGAGGTTGGGACACTCGGATTAGGGTAGCATGTCGTGTCGTTGGATCCTCGACCCTTGCTCTCGTTTTCCGACCAAGGTTAACTCTCAATAATTCAAGCATATCAAACGACGTGCTTTTGTGCGTTCTTAACAGTATGGATGGGCAGAATATCATGTTGGGAAATTGATGTTTACAGAACTACTAAAGATGACATGGACTGCTATCACTTACATTATCCATCAGAAGGGAAACTCGATTCTCTCAAGAAAGTAAACTGGAGCATAAACATTATGAGATTATGCAAAACGTGTTGAGCTTTAAATTTTGAGAATAAACAGATTGAATAAAATGAAACAAGTTTAAAAGAGTGCAAACCACAAAGAACGCTGTAAATAAGTTTTATGCCTCCATTATAAGTAACCTTGTTTGACAGTAATTCTTCAATTGTGAAAACCTAGTCATTGTTGTTATTTACTGGAAATTCGGTTGATAGTTCATGTCAATTCACCTGATGACGAAAGCTAAAAGTTACAGTCAACCGGGAGCTAACAATGGCTGAGAAATTTTAACAAATGTATCATGTTAGAATTTGTCTTAGTGTATTATTATTTGTAGAGATTGTTGAATTGTACAACAAACATTGCTACAATGCCCAGCGAGATTGTGAATGTAGATTCTTGAAAATTCACACAGCAATTAAAGTAGTAATATTCTTGACTTTTTATCATAATTATCTAATTGAGATTATTCTGTTTTATTATTATTATTATTATTTATAATGATCATTTAATTATTTTGCTACAAATTGATATGATTGTTTATTTTTTTCTTTATCAAATTAAAGTTTGTCAACAGCGCACTCTACATGTAAACAACGTAAATGATTCAATCAATATATACATGAACGTGATTACTTCATATCAAATTACACCTTTAACTTATTTAACACATATTGTTGTTGTTGTTGTTGTTGTTCAGTTATTGAGTTATTCAACTTGAAATATCATTTAAAAAAAAAAGAGACAGATTTGGAAAAAAAAACCTTTATTTATTCATACTGCATATCTATCTATCTATCTATCTACATATATATATACATTGTGCTAAGCCGATACTTTTCCATTTATATATCGAATTGAATTGTACTTTTCCTCATGCAATAATAATATGGCTTTTTCTTGTCAGTTTTAACATTGAACAGTTGAACTATTTATATTTACTTCATATTTGACACAATCGTGTATCAGTACAAATTTCAATAGTTCAATGTTTCAATATTTGCTAAAATTGTCACATGCCAATGATGTCGTTCGTACGTGATGAATTAAAAAAAAAAACAATATGTTGTTTTGACCTGTTTGAAACATTTGAACTTTTCATTATCAATTAGTATGCATTGAATATGTTAGTCTTGTCGATATGGAATACTTACTTTTTTTTTCTTTGCTATCGATGTATCCTATCGATGGAAATGCTTCTTCATAACTTGTTGTTATTGTTTATCAACGTATTTTTTCTGGCCTTGTTTGTTTATTACCAAATTTGAATGTTTTTATGTTTTGCACAAGTAAAACATAAATGCGAGAAAGAGAGAGAAATGAAGAATTTTGTCATTTGTTTATTTCTGTTGTAATTTTTATGTCGATTCAGTGTTTGTCCAGTCTTATTAATCCTTTCGATTTCATTCAATCAATACTGATCAAGTTAGATGAATAGAATTCATTAAATTTTCGAAATATTTGCATGTATTTTGTTTATTTTGTATGATTGATTAGAATAGTTTAGTGTTGCAGGTTGAATTCCTACTCGAATTTAAAGTTGCATGTAAACTAGGACTTTTAAAGTTTACATATACATTTCTGCACAATTGAATGACATGTGTATGTATGTATATACAGTAAATGAAACTTAAGTATTTCACATTGGTTTATGATATTACCTTTGAGCTATGCTAATCGACTCGGTCACTTGCTACATACAACAATAGCAATATGCATTCTAGTTAACAACTCATCTTTGCACTCAAAAACAAGTGAACATTTAGAGAAAAATAAAGCTAATAAGCTTTTCATTCTCACTATATCAAATGAAGTTAGAGAATTTAAAAATAAATAATTTTATGTAAACCACCTTTGGACATGTGATATGTCAGTTATGAAATATGAAAATTTTTTCAAAAATGAATCATGATAATCATGACATTGAATGTGTCAGTGGATTTATTGAATCGCAAGTGTACCATATACGTGATTTATACCAAATGGGATAAAATGTGGCAAGCACTGTTTTGCGCATCGTCTGTAGCAAATTGTCCCTGCATTTTGGAGTTGATGTTCACTTTGCTACACTAACCCACCACCATTTAAAGTTTCACAGCACAGACTGATTGTGATAGTGGATGCGTACTCATGAAAAGACAAGACAATTATCAAGTGTTAGCTGGTTTTCGATGCTGGTCTAATTTATTTCAGATCCCAATAATGAAACACCTTGTAATTAAATTGATTTTTAATTCATCAACCCAAAAGACTCAGATGCATAAGTTAATCTGCACAAAATGAGTGTTGAATTAGAGATTACGTATCCGCGATATTCAATAACAGTAACCTGAATAAAAATACATTTCATCATTTTGCAATTTCTCCATCCTTGTGTTATTACAAGTTTTTTTCTATATCCAGTGACAAATATAACTCCCTCTGGAATCCATATTAGGCTGTTGCCTGTCCCAAGCTTGCATAAAGCAGAAAGATTGAGCATAGGACTAGTGACCCGCTGGCTAAAATATCGCTAACCAACACACTTAACTTGCTGATTGGCGGCATCTGCCTCATTAGCAGTAACGGGCATAAGTTAGGGATAATTGTAACATTTATCAGTACAGTCTAAAATATTTTAGTTGTGATGATTGGAACTTAATTATGACATAGATCAACTGTTAATTATATGCGTACTACATAATTTACCCAACAAGTTGAAACTAATGTTATCAATAAAACATTGTACCTACAGATATTATTGATATGGAATAAAGTGTGACAATGTTTATTCAATTCAGTGTTATGGCTAAGATCATACATCTGAAAGTAAGTGCACGTGAATGTTTATCAAAATTTGAATTTTATCAACAACAAATATTGAATAGTTTTCATTTTCTTTAAAATTTCTTCTTGGAAAATAAGTGTAAGCTAATTTTATTTACAAATCTTATCAAAACTCTATAAATACTGTAACGGAAAATTTGACGAAGTTACTTATGTGAAAAATCGGTAGCATAGAATACTCATTCTTTTTTTTAAAATAAATTTCAAAATGACAAAGATGTGTTATCCTAAACGTGTTCACAACTCAATCTGGTGGATGATAGATATATAATATTTCGAATAAAGAATTCACTGAATTTTAATCCAGCTGATTCCATTTGATATGTTTATGATGAGGGGATTCGTTTCTTGGCAGAATTGTGGTTATGAACTATCTAGGACATCGAAAGTTGGATTTTTACCAACCAGTTAGCACATGTATAGTATTCATTGGAGCGTCACTTAGCAGTTGCTTCTAAGAAAGGGAGTTTCTCGAGATTTGAATGTACGGCGCAATCAAAGTATATTTCAGACCAGGAGATATATAAGTGAAGAAATTGTTTTCAGTGGTAACCGAAATATAATCATCTCTCGGAGTAAACCGTCTTCCTATCTAAGTATTTGATGTAGTGTACGACCAGTAGAACAAACATAAACAATCAGTTAGACATTATCCTAAAATTCCAATCCAAATTGTCATGGTGATTACTAATTTTGTAAACTCATCCTCTGAATAATATACTTGCTGTGCATTAGAAATATCATGATGGAAACTATATATCATTGAAAATGTATTGTGAATAATGATATTTATAACATATTCATCTTGTCGGACGAAATGCACAATAAATCTAGACCATAAACATGCCAATAATGAATATTCACTGATATCATTTAAAGTTGATTGTACATATGGAAAGCAATAAATATGGTTTAATTTAAATGCCCAATACTCCTTAGTTTTCAGGTTATACCCTGGTTGAGGTTACAATCTACATAATCAATATGAAAATTTCAAGTGCCTTTTGTGCATATATGCACTTGCTTGCTGTTTACATTGTGAGAGACAAGAAGAGTCGTAGAGGTTGTTGCCAAAATAAAATTATGAGCCTGGTGATACTTGGAATTTTAAAGATTCCCATTGTGAAAATGAGAACAACACATATAAGCGAACAATATTGTTTTCGATTAGATCGTCATCAGGCTTTACTCTAATATACATGAATATTTTTATGAAAGTCAAGGCAATTTGAGTGATAATCACAATGAAATGAAAAAGATTACGTCACTACATATAATAGGCGAAAGTACAAGTGGATAGTAGGAAGACAGGTGTAGTGATAGTAGTAAGAAAATTATAAAATATGATAACTAAAGTTTTATCAATAGTAGGTCAAAGGTGGATGAATAGACTTCAAATAAACATTAAAAACATCAAAACCATTGCATAATAAGCAAATATGTAAAAATAAAAAATAGATCGTTTATGAGTTCACTTTCAAGATAGAACATATGAATGTTAGCAGGAAAAATATGATCTCACTGGATGTGATATCTTTGCTTACCAACGTACCACTCCTTGATACCATTGAATTCATATGAGAGCAAATTAAGGATGAAACAACTAGTCTTGGTCGCTGACAGCAATAGTCACTACTGACGGATAAATTTTTCTCGAAAGTAAAAGAAAAATCGACTTAACCGAATGTTAGAGCTCGTAAGGAGCTTAATGGACTGAAATACACTGGTTTCAGACCTGTACATCACAGTCATACCGTCATAGTAACCAATTTCATCGTCTTCTGAAGAGTTAAACGTATGATAGGAGATTCAACTGTTGACGTAAAATATGCAGACAACAGATCGCTGTTTAGTTTTAAGCAACATTGTCAGCATATTCGGTGTAGAATTCTCTCCAATCAATTGTTAAATGTTGCCAAATCCCTGTTTTATGTTGTCTCCTGAACTAGCCATAGGCAATGACAAAGGTGAGTATTTCAACCGTTTCAATGTCTTGAGAGTGTTACCAGATACGATGATCTGATTTTTGGCAAAACTTAGTTAGGCAATAGAGAAGTTTCGTCTTACAGGATCTGATTCTAAATTTTAGGAGCCGTCAAAGATTCTTTGGAAAAAACCTTTCCTTCAATTTCCGTATTTCATGCCTAGGAGAACCTCGTTTATGCAACGGCAGACAGTAAAAGCGCAATCCAGTTTTATGCTAATGAATTTGTTCCATACATTCTTGTAAGCAGGTAAATAACAGAATCCGAGGTGAAGTGAGGTGAGGGGAGGAAGGAGGGTGGGTGAACTCAACGTGAGAAGTATGATTTGCTGTTTATATTCAGACAGATATAAGCTACACAAGCGATGCACAATGTACACAATACATACAAGCCCCTGAATAAAAATTAACCATACTACAAGGGAATAACTGATGAAGTTCAAGAATTAATACTAGTTACTCAGAGAGAACAGGTTAATTAGTTTGTACAAGAGCTAGGACAAGCTGTGTGGGTTCGAAATATTGGTGCACACACTTTAGAAGCCTGGAACAGCTTTCGCCAACTTGCTTCAACTTCAGAGTAGACATGAAATCGTGCTTCTAGGCAAAAGTTTTCTGCACGGCAATCACATCCGTTCTACTTAACGGGTATATGATGTAGTCAGTAAAAATAGGGGATATTCGTAGATTTCTAACCTACTAATATGTGTCTTCGAATTGCTGTTCATGTATTGTAGAATCATTGAGTGACCGGTCGAGTGTTAGTAAAAGGGTTACCGGGCAAAATTTGAAAGTCATTTGATAAAACGTTGAACCTTCATCCACACAGGTGCTTGAGACACGTCACCTTTGTCGAACCACTGACTAGCTTGACGGGAAATGGTGACGAATTATGCAGAGCTAACCGAAGGCTCTGCCAAACGAAAACATGACATTAGTCTATGAAGTTACTTATATTTGAGGTGAGCAAAAGTAACAAGTGTGTAACAGACTGTCTTCTTGGTGATTATGGCAGTTTCGTAATTCAAATAACATGGACTAAAGTTGTCTGCGATGGTGCAGATGCATCCATTCTTTGTCTTCACATAAATGTTAAGCTTCTGAATTTACAGTCAACCTCCTACCTTTCTTTTCTATGTTAACCTTTCCGGTTTAAATTTTCTTTCTAATTACCATATCACTCCTAATCCCTTTAAAACTCTGAATGAATATGAGTTTCTGTAGGTCTGTTTCTGCGTTTATGGGCAATATGATTTCGAATAAAGCCACTGTGCTGAAAGCACAAAGATATACAGCTCAGTCACCATTCGCCTTCCTTATTGCAATCACTTCATCCACATAATTTTTAATACAGAGTGTTTTCTATTTAAAACTTAAAATTCGACTCCTCTATTGGAATCGTTGCGAACTTCTAAATTTCTCCACGATTGACTGCAGACCTCCACTTATATGATTCGTTGTCACCTGTATATGTTTAAGGCGAAGGACGCTGAACACATCTATAAAGCAGTCAAGTTGGTGTTCCAAGCATTTCCCCGAATCCTTCATCGGAAAAACGAACGCAGAACTGACCGTATAAAATAAGTGTATTTGCTGGCGATTTTTCGGTATCGAAAGAAAACCGATATGTTTCAGAGGATTGGTCAAAGGGTACAGAGCAGCAAAAGAAAGATGATGACCGGAAGAAAGAAGAAGCCTGTTACGATAGTGTGGTCAGTTTGTATACAAAAGGTACAAAGGTCAATGCATAAAACGGAAGTATGAATAAACAAATGTTTGGCAACACGTTCACTGGTAAATTTGGTTAAAATAATGAATGCAGCGTTTTAGCC